TATAAATAAATTAATAAAGTTCTTAATTTACTTACCTTATAAAGAGGTAATAGATATAAGAGTTATAGCTTATATCTTTTATAATAAGGTAATAAGGGAATAAGGATTACTAAAAGAAATCTTATTAAATAAAGAATTAATATTTGCCTTTAAATTCTAATAATTACTTATAGCACTTATAGGAGTTAATTACTAACTTATAATAGCTTTTAGGCTATAAGTAAATAGTTAAATAAAATAAATAAACTAAATATTAAAATAATACCTTTAATATTATATTAATTATAAATAAGATAACTAGGTTAAAAAGCTATTAAGTGCCTAGCTAGCTTATAATATTACTTATAATAAAAGTATAAAACTTATATTATTTAATATAAATATTAGATTTATACTTAATATATATTATAATACTTAAGAACTAAAGAATATAAACTTAATAGTAATTATTATAAGTAATAAGTTAAGAGAAATATATAATAAACTTAAAATTAAGTTAGAATTTATTAAGAAAAGGATATAGAAATACTATAACTTTAAAAGGTTAAAGGGATTAACCTTTAAGAAAGGAAATATAATTTACTTATTTATTAAAAATATTAAAATAAATTAATTAAGTTATAAACTAGATTATAAGTATTTAAGACTAGTTAAGATTAAATAAAAGATAGAAGAAGATTAATTTAAACTAGATTTATCTTTAAATATTAGATATTACTTAATTTATTATATCTTAATACTTAAATTAGCTATAAATATAATATATATAAAAACTAATAATAAACTATAATAAATTATAAAACTAAAGGTATATAAAGTAAAGGAAATTAAAGATATATAAAGAATTAATAAATAAAAGATATATTTAATTAAATAAAAGAATTACTTAAAAAGTAAAAATATATAAAAACTAATAAAATACCTTACTAATATCTAGTAACTCCTAAAGAACTTTTATTAATAACCTTAAAGAGTAAAGGATTAAAAATTAGGTTTTAGTTAATAATATTAGCACTACTAAAAGACTAAATATCTAGAACTACTATATCCTCCTCTTAAGTAATAATATTACCTATAAAAGAATTTATATTATTAATAATAAATTAGATACCTTGCTTATATAATAAACACTTTTAATAATAAATATAAGATAACCTTATAATAGCTTTATTAACCTCTTATTAAGCCTTAAGAAGCTTTTCCTTAGCTTTCTCTTTTGCCTATTTTAGATAATTAGATTTATAATTTAAATACGGAATTAAAGAGAGAATAGTTAGCAGAAGGTAATAATAATAAGGGAAATAATATATAATAGGTAATTATAATACTAAAAGCATTATAAGATTAACCTTATTAAATATATTTAAAGTAATAAAAAAATACTTAATTATTTTATAATAAAGGCCTTTAGCCTTATAGAAAGAATAAGGCATAATATTAAAACTAAATTTTATAATTAAATCTGCTAAATAAATATACTTTAAAGTCTTATAAGATTTTAACTAAAGATTTTATAATATAATAATTAATAAGGTATATTAAGAAAATAATAAAGAAAGAGAGTTAGCACTTACTAAAGCCTAATATAAGAATAAGGAGATATATAGGTCTTAAGGGCAAGACTTAATAAAGGGGAGAGATTATATTATAATTTATATAGCTATATTATATAGCCCCTATAATTTCTACTTATTATAGAAAGATTACTTCTCTTAGTAATAATCCTCTTTTATTAAATTACTTAAATTATAATACTTTAAGACTAAATCCTTATAGATTACTAATAATCCTTAGAAATCTAACCTTTAAATTACTATTATTTCTTATTAAGCTATTAGGCTACCTTTAGTATATAAAATATATTTATTAGCATTTTTATAGAACTTAGCTTATTAGCTATTAATAAAGCATTTTTATATTAATAAGCCTAATATATATTACTTAATTATTAAGAGATATAATACTTTATAATACTTAGTATTATGCCTTATATAATCTGTAAACATAAACCTAGTATAGACTAGTTTACCTATTTAGAAAACCTAACTATTATAACTAGCCTTAATTAACTGTAATATAGCTAAAGATTTAAATATTAAATTATTTACTTTTTTATAATTACTTATTAAAGCAAAATCCTTCTTTAATACCTATAGACCCTTTAACTATATTAAGCATTTTTAATAATAAAGATATATAAGTTTTAATAAATACTTATTTAACTAATACTATAATTAAATAAGCTCTTCTTTAATAGCTTCCTTATTATCTTTAATTTAACTCTTTTCTTAAACTAAGTAATTAGCTATAAAAGATTAATAATAAAGAAAATATAGAAAAACTATATAGAGGAAACTAACCTTTAGATAAGGTAATACCCTTTTTATTGCATAAATAACTATAATAGGTGTATTTAGAATAATTTTTCTAATCCTCCTTTATTATATACTTAATATAATTCTTAAAATAAAGAAAGTAAGGTATAATTTTATAGCCTTAGGCAGCAATTAGTTTAGCTCTGGCAAGATAATGCTAAGTTTCTAGAGATAATATAGTTAATATATTAAGAAAGAATAATTATAAGGTTAAGTTAAGAAACATATTAAGGAGAATTAATAAATAATAGATAAGTAAGGTCTTAAGGACAAGACTAGAGGAAGGGAGAGATTATGTTATAACCCTAGTAGTTATATTATATATACTTTATATTTTTTACTAATTATATATAGTTACTATAAACTAAGGGATTCTAGCTATAACTACTAAAATAAAGTTATTATAAATATAATAGAAATACTAATAACTCTTACTAATTACTAGTAATTCTTACTATTACTTTATAATTATAACTAGTATATAAATATATTTATTAGCACTCTTATAAAACTTAGCTTACTAGTTATTAATAAGACTTCTTTACCTTAATAAGCCTAACCTATATTATTAATTATTAAGAGATATAATACTTTACTATTACTTAGTATAACGCCTTATAACTCTATAAATATAAAACCTAATATAGACTAGTTTACCTATTTAGAAACCCTAATTGTTATAAATATATTAAATATACTATAGCTCTTATTATTATTAAAAAGACCTTAAAGGGATTCTTTAGCCTTATTAGCCTAATTTATTTAATAATAATACTAATAAACTTTAAGGATTCCTTACTAGCCTTTAAAGCTACTAGATATACTATTCTATTTAGTTTATAATTAATAAACTAAAAGTTTAATATATTATAGGATTTCTTAAAGATAAAGTATTATAACTAATAAAACCTATTATTTATAATTATATTATAAAAGTATTAATAAATATATTTTATATATTAAAGTAATTAAAATAGTAATTAGTAAGGTTATTATATAATTAGTAATAATTATATTAAATTAATATTAATTATATTAAATTAATATTAATTATATTAAATTAGCTATAATTATAAAATCTTAATATTAATTTGTTTTAGTAAATAATATAATAATTAGTAGAAAATATAAGGTATATATATTAAAACCGCTAGGGTTATAATAAATTAGTAATATAAAATATTATAATCTATTTAAATAACTTAATAGCTGCTATATATTTATAAGGTATATTAGTTTACTTCTCTTAAGGAGTCTTCCTTAAGTTCTAAGCCCTAATAGTATTACATAGGGTTATATAAGTATACTAGGTATAAGGATATACTAATATCCCTAGTAATAAATAGGCTAATAGACTAGCAAAAGCAGTATTATTACTACTTAAGCCAGAAAGGGTTTAACTAATACTAGCATACTTATAAAAGATTATAAAATAGAAACCAAGAGAAGTATTTAAAATATAGTAATTTACTACTACTCTTAAGCAATATAAGAAACTTAATCTTAAGGCGACCATAGGCTATCTGCAGGAGCGAAAGCCCACCACGCTTGGTCTACTCATGCAACTAACGCAAAGCACCTAATCACATCTTCTACTGCAGAAAGGTACCGCCACATCATCAGATAACGCCAGCCCCCTTACTAAATACAGCAATCAACCTAGTAATAGGTAAAGATTTTACTAAGTTTATTAAACTGTCTAAAGTAAGCGCCTTCTTTAGATAGATCTGCCCTCGCTATTAGATAAGAACGACCTAAGACGCACTTGCATCCCTTCTTCCCTCTTTATCTCCCATACATCTCTTTTATTACCTCCCTTTCTTACCTAGAGTCAGCCAGATGAAAAGCGCTGGTATGCTCTTTATCTAGCCGTGACTATCTGAGGCCGCCTCGAGCTGCTGCAGCCATAGCTCTACCATAGCCTGCCTGGTTACAGGCTTGTCTTGCGGCTACCGTTTACCAGCCACGCCTGGCCAACCCACCGACGGGTAACAGACTCTATGCGATGCGTCGTTTATGCCGATGATATGCTGGATAGAGTCGTCTGTTGGCGCGTTTGCAAAAATTGCCGCTCGACAAGGACGTCTAATTTCGCGTTTGGGGGGGGGGGGGGGGGGGGATTTCTGGTTTGAGGATAAAGGCTTGCCGAACGCAAGGATACTGAGAGACCGGCTGTACCTAAGATCGGCATTACCAACTGGACTGTGGTGCTCGGCCCTACTCGACCAAGGTTGCGTGTAATTTGACGAAATACAAACAAACGGACTCGTGCACGACAGCTCGTGTCGTGTCTTTGCTAGATATTCATTAAAACACTCCTTTTCGCTCGTGCACATGGGGAAGTCCTTCCCGGTCTGGTTATATTTTACCAATTTCTCTTGACAGTGGGTTATTTAGGGCCCCTATAGAAGTAGGTATAATTATCTAGCTAAACCGTGGGAGATCTACGTTCGTGTGGCCCACCAGACAAAGTCAGGTACCTGCCTTATTTTCGCGAATTAACTCTCTTTTTGCTAGTCAATCTACCCCTACCTGAGAACGAATGTCAGGGGATGGTCGATTTAGAGACCCCCTGAGTATTGTGATGGTCCTATGAGTTTGCTTGGAGCAACGCCAGGGATTTCTCTTCGACGTTCATTGGTGCACTTTGACCGTCGCATCTAAACGCATGAGCCGGGGCTGCACAGGTGATGGAGCCTGTCCCCTCAAGCAATCTGGTAAAGTTCTTATTCTTTGCACATGAAAAACGATGCACAGTTCCGAAATTAATGCACTTAGGAGCCCGACGAATGGTGTCTCTGAATGATTGTCGGGCTGGCGCCCGAGAGCCACAACCGGACATTTATGCAAGCCACGAAAAACGGCGTATTTCATCGCGACATTCTTCAACACAAGGCTGTCTTTACCCGTCCTTGGCAAGTCTTCAGTTCCACCAACTCCTCACTCTTTGGGCAACAAACCAACACTCGTCACGAATAATGGCGGTACTGGACGGCGAAATACGCCTTACAGATTTTAAAGTGCAATGGTAATTAAAACACGTGACGAATGCAGTAAAGATGTTCGCCGTAGCCCACACTTACATTAAATCTGTGCGGAGTTGCGTTCAAAGTATAGCCTGTTTCACCCCTTCCAGATCTAGCTGGTTTTGGCGTAAATTCGACCGATTGGCTGAGGGAGTTGTTCACATACGCAGATCTACGGAGTCGATGGGTTGCTCACGTTGGGTTGTCCATCAATTAGTGAATGAGATTTATTCCGCCCGGGAGGACTAATCCCATAGGGCCAGGTGCGTGCTGTGTACAAGTCCTAGAAGCCCCTTTAGAACGGAAAAGACTTAGGACGAGAAGTAGTTGTGCAGACCGGAGCAATGCGGAGGAATCGTAAATAGCTTAGCGTACCTACTAGCCCTATGAGATTCGTTCTCCCGGGCGCAATAAACTCTATCTATCTATCCCAGAAGCCCCACATTCTTCCTCATCTGATGGTTTGGTCCCGCCTGGGAAGAGAAGCGTGTCTTGTTGCATCTCCACAAATACCATGTATGTTACGGCTTGGTTCACCGTAGGCTCCTATAAGCAGCTGTATGCACCATTGTAATTGCTACAATAGCAGTTATTAGCCAATCTTTTGCCCTGTGGCGTAGTGGTTAGGTGCGACCGTTACAATGTATGCATGGCTACGTGCTAATAGTAAGCACTAGCCGCCTGTCTCAGTTATAACTGTCGATCACTTCATGTCGCACTGAGCCTGCTTAAAGGGTTAAAGTGAATGTGATGAGCAGCAGCAAATGTGTTGATTGATTGTTCTCTTTTCGTGCGGGGTATTCTATTCCGCAGAGTTAAAGCATACGGCTAGATTACTAACACAGTTGTTTCCTAGGCCGTGAAGATCATGCCTACCCTGCGACACTAACTAAACCTAACTTATAGACTAAGGTAGCTAATATTCGGATTGATTATTATGCCGATTATTATTTATGGCTAGGGATCAGCATCCACTTGTGTCATTGTCTAGTCTACAAACTTCGACAAAGGGCGAGAAACAGAAACACGTTTTGGACAATACACACACACCATCAAATACTTTACCATGTCGTATGTGCTGTGTCCCCTGGAACAAACCATCACTGACTTCTGCAACGCCCTTCTGACCACGATTTGCCTCTGTGCCATTCCCGGGCAGCAAGCTTCAACCCACCCTTCCAGGCTGCTCGTTGCCAATTGGGTGCTAGCGTACTTGCTAACGAACACTCCTCCCGCCGAGAGGGTGCAAGTCGGCATTAACCATAACGTTGCCCTGGGACAGGACCTTTCAAGAACGGCGAGGCAGCGGTGTAGGTCGGCAGGCTGAGCCGCCACGCCCTCAACAGGCTCAATCGCCAGGCGGCGTCGCATGCGAATGCGGTAGAAAGATATACGCTGTTCGTGCCGGCCAGTATATAGACTCAGAGAATCATTGTGTGTACTGAAGTGACGAGCTTAGTCCTACTCCTTGTCTCTGATTATAATACATGTCGGGTGGTCGGTGTCCATCAGGCACATTTCTGCCGCAACTCTTTGCCCGATCCGTCCACGATCCATATCTGCTCAAGTTTAGCCTTACGCGTTGTATAATGCTTGGCTACGAGACGGGGCATTCTGTTCTTACGTCTCGAACGAGAATACTGATACCTGGCTTTTAATAAATGTAATACGGGCATATGCCACCAGAAACATTTATAGTATACATATACAAAAAGGGTATGCCACTGTTCAGCTCTCTTTCTTACCGCTGGCCCGTCTCAATGTATTAGGTATATTAACGATTTCAATGGACAACAGCAGGTCGTAGTCCTACACTTGACAAGACAGGCTTCTTCTGCCTCTTCCTTCAAGAACTACCTCAGGCTGAGAGCGCTACCTCTAATTATGGGGCCGGCCGCTAACCAGGCGGCTTGATGTCAAGTTGTGACTGGCTGGTCGGAGAGGTCGGTCGGATGGCCGGGGTATATGGGGGAGACCTCGGATCATCGCATGTCACTGTCAACCTGAGCAACTCGGCATTCTCTATCCTACACTGCTATAATAACGACGATCCCACTGGCTGCTACTTGCGGGGTCTATGGCGGTCAGTCCAAGAACGGCAATGGATACACTGTAAATCGGTGCGATGCCATGGGGTCGTAGTTGGCCGCTTCGGTCTCATTCCTCGACCACACGATATTGATCTTTCAGCTTATGCACAAAGTCTCATAATCAGATCCACCCAGCCATCTCTTGTGGATATTCCTTCTAATTGTACCCTACATCCCCTGTCTCATAGCGGTGCGCTTGGAGAAAATTGACTCTGGCGTCTGATGTATACAGTGACGTGAAGACGGGCGTAATCCAAAGAGCAGAAAGGGGCTGGGATTGATCGAGAAACGTAAGACTGGTCCGCTAGCTCTAACGCTTGGACATGCAATATACCTATAAAAAGGCCTTGGTTTGTCTCCCATTTCCGTCTCTACAAGATTCCGACAATCTCGCACCTTTACTTTTCGTCAAGCGTCTTTTCTCAACCTACTCAACATGAAGGTGTGTGATGAATCCTGAGCATGGAATAATCATAACTGACTTCTGCCTCAGGTTACCGCCCTAAGTCTCGTCGCTCTTGCGACCGCCGTTTTTGCCGGAACTCTGGACAGCTCCGTATGTCTCGCGTCATTTTATTTATCTAACACCTGGATCAGTCGTAACTGACACATTCGCAGTTGGACAAGAGGGCCTGCACTCCTACCACCTGCCACTGCAATGGCATTCAGGGACAGTTCTGCGGCTATGATGACCCCGCCAACCCCGGTTGCAAGACCGGGTACGTTTATGAATGCCAGGCGGGTACCGGTAACGCTTGCTCTTATGGCCCTCGGAACTCGTGCCAGCAGTGCGGTGAACTTCAGTGTTAAACATGAGAAACTATTACTACGCGGAGCGGGTTCTACTTAGAATGGCGGATCAGATGGACTGGTTACTGGGACAACTCCACCTCTACCGCTCCAACCAGGTGAATGGCCAAGGCTTGGATTCACAGTCGTTACCTTGTACAATATATAAGCATCAATCTACATCTACTGTATAGGTTTCATGCTGCCCGCTTAAGTGCCAGGTTTCAGACACACATACTTCCGTTTAGGACCCATCTCGTCCCATCGTTTTCATCTTATCCACGTGGCCATAATCGAGGTGGTCATTCAACACAGCTGGTCCACGGTATGAGAGGCTCGTTCCTCTACGGTCTTTGTCGCCGATATAATGTGGGAACCATGTCTTCTGGCGGTTACCAGTAAGCTGCTTCTCAGTATCCCGCAGGCGCGATTGTACAAGTATTCTCGATATAAATAAGGTTTAGAGTTTATAGCTACATAGGATTTTTTAAAAAATCTATAAAATATATATATATATAACTTATTTTAAGACTTATATATAACTTATTAAAATTATAGCTATTTTAAGCTTAATTTGTATTTTTAAAGAATTCTTAAGAAATCGAGTTTAAGGTAGAAATAAGACTGGGTCACATACTTATCTGGGTCACAAGCTTATTAACCACGTTAGTTATAGAGTAATTATTAGGGTTATCTGGTAATTCTAGGGATTACTGGTGATTCTGGTGCTTTCGCTTTGATTCAGTCTTGGCGATCATAGACAATCCTAGTTACCTAAGCTTCTCAAAAATACAATCTGGATCCGTCTATTCTCATGAGCTGAAAAGCTGCTCAAACTTTGACTTTCCCTCCAGTTTCTTAATCTCCTGCTTCATCGCATCGATGCGATAGTTCTTCCATGCCTTCTCTATCCGTTCTTTGGCCTCGGGATTCTTTGTGATAGTGCGTGACGCTGAGGCAGTACCTGAGAGAAGGCCTGTTTCACCACCTAGGAACAAACCTCCAATGGAGAAGAAGAAATATGTGGCAGCATCACCCCATTTTGAAGGCGCGAGCTGGGCGGTGAGATCTGGGATGGGTTCTGTGAAGGAGTCAGTATAAGAGCATAATGCGTATTGCAAGACATGACGTACGGGTACGGCCATCTGCAAATTTGACCTCGACAGGCTTCTCCATCGCTCTGAAGGCGTTGAAGTAGGCCAATCGCATCTTTCGTAGTCTGAAAGCGCACAAGATGCCGAAACCAAGGCCTAACAGGGAGCCTACTCTTGTATGGGTCGAGACTTTGCTTCCGGCAGTTCTCAGGATGTCGCGGTCATTATCGTTCAAACTTGACCAAGTTAGTATTTTTATTCTTCAATTCGTTTTGACGTACTCGTGCTGGAAGTGCTCTTCCGCAAGCTTCCGGAGCTCATCACTCCTCCCAGATCGGAAAGCGGCAAGAGATTCAGACATTTTTGTAATTATTTAAAGTCAAGCAATTGAAGCAAGACGTAGAAGTCGTTTACAAAGCTGAACGGAAAATCGAAAGCCAAAAGGAACAGGAAGTTGTAAATAAATACGGAGACGTCTATAGAGCTCGTAACGCTGACGTCACCACCTTGAATCCTCGTTGCTTGTCCCGATCCCGCTAGCGGAAGAAACATGAAGAAGTCCACAACACGTCATTGTCGTATCGAAAAGTATCTTCATGATTCGGGATTTTATGCAGCATTGAATAGTGGATCCCATTGCTCAAGTTTTGGTAGAGACTATCACTTGTGCTGACTCTGAATCAGAGCCTCCCACTCTGTCAACAGACCCATGATCTCAACGCTCTGATCAACATTCGGCGAAGGCCGTTCCGCCGTCCTTACACCGCGGGATAAACAATCTTCCACCTTCTTCACCTGATATCCAAATGCATCCATGTCTGCAGGTACAACAACTTGTTCCGTTGAACCGGTGTAGGTTTTGACCTCGATGATGTTGTCGCCTGCGATGGGTAGCCAAGGGTTCGTGACGAACCTGATCCTGCCTTTATCTCCTAGAATCGCAAATGAAGAGTCGTTGCCGTAGCTGTCAGTCGATTGAAGACTTGCCAGCACGCCGTTGTCGAAACGGACTGTCAGTGATGCGTCGCGGACATGGACACTGCCTTCCCTCGAGATATTGCCGAAGCCGTGCAATTGACGCTTTGCAAACGCATCGCTGCCGAAAGCTGTCTCAACGACGAAGTGCAGCAATGAAACTGGATAGCAGCCCAGGTTGTAGATAGTCCCCATGCTCAGAGGATTCGCTTTCTTCCAGATATTGGCAGAGTAATACCCCGATACGCCTCTCACCGTCCCAATTTTGCCCTCAAGAAGCAGCTCCTGAGTCTTCTTCATCAACGGATGCGTAAGATACATAAGCCCTTCCAAAAAGAACACATTCGCATCCTTAACAGCCTTCTTAATCGCCTCGGCATCCTCCATCGTAGTCGCCAATGATTTCTCTGACAAAATCGCCTTGCCTCGCTTAGCAGCTGCAAGAACTGCGGGGGTGTGCATATGGTTCGGCAGACCGACGTACACGACGTCTATCTCAGCCGTGTCCAGCAGCTCATCGATAGAAGTATATCGCTCTGCAATGCCATGTTTGTCGGCGAATGCTGTCAGGCGGGTTTCGTTGCGGCCAAAGACTGCGGCGATGGTGGAGTTTTTGCTGGCGAGGATGGAGCGGGCGACCACGTCGGAGATGAAGCTCGTTCCGAGCATGCCCCAGCGCAACATCTTGATGTCTGACAAGTCAAAACCTGAATGAATGAATAACCTGAAAGGTATAAAAGAGCTCAAAGTTACTTCACAGGCGTAGTTTTATAGCTTGGGCTCTCGAGTCAGCATTTCGAGCTGTTGTTGTGAAACCCTAAAGTTACTTCCTTATCTTGCTTATCTAAACCCGGTCATCTCCGAGTATTGCCGCTTACAAGCTGTCATTTCCGTACTCCGCTGGGGTTATTCACTTCCGAATTACAAACCAGTAGACTAATTCGGTGTCTTCTTGGCATTCATAACTCAATAGAAATCCTTTACAATCTCTCTTATATACCTTCAACGGTATTCTTTCTTCGCAGCCGTGAACGTCTTGCCTTGAGCGATATCCCGCGCCATGTTATCATCAGCTTGAACCTGCCCCGGCAAGATTTCAACTATCTTGGATAGCACTTCCTTGGGGACACAAACAACTCCATTTAAGTCTCCAAATATGATGTCTCCTGGATTGATCGTCGCGTCAAGAGCCGGGTCCTGTAATTTCACAGGCACATTGATCTACTCTTTGTTAGCTATGAATCGTATGTATTTCATGGGTAGCAGCGTGACACGTACCTCGCTGGGGCGAGCAACCTCGTAAAAGCTCGGCGTGCCGACATTACGGGCAAAGATCTATCTACTATATTAGCGGGAACAGAGCCATTTTCAGGCTGACCTACTGGATAATCAAGTTTGCGATGATCCTGCAAATCTCGAAAGGTACCATCGACAACCGTGCCGACGGCTCCAGAATACTTGGCACGAGTGCTCATAAGACCACCATACACAGCGTTGAAGATGCCATGGGGCGCTGAGATGAAGACAACGTGATCCTTTGGAATGGTATCAATCTTCAACCCATTAGAAGAGTTTCACACATAAAGATAGTCTTAGGAGCGTACGTAATGCTCTTTGAGCTTTGGCGCATTGGTCTGGGTATTGCGGACAAACTTGACGGTGTATGCCGGTCCGATGAGCTTTCTATCGCCTTCTTGTCGAACAGGTGACCACATGCTGAGGTTGGGAAGAAAGCCGCCATGAGGAACGCCCACTTTGAGCAATGCATCTGATACATCGCACCTGCACCGAAGTTCATATTAGAACCACTTACAACCGTGCCTTTTGATGTTGACACTTACGTGGAATAAGAGCGCAGCTTTTCGGCGAGAGAAAGGTCTGAAGATACCATTGTGGATGAAGCCGCAGCTGTAGAGATGTAACGGTGAAATGGAGTTCGATTGGCGACGAGGACCTTGCGGAATGATCTTGGAAAGTTCATTGGTACAAATTTGATGTTATTATATATAATATCATCTGAAAAGAAATTGTGAATGGGCTGTGGCGAGTTAAAATGCGCGCATCGGTCTTTCGGCAAGTTTCCGGGAGGTTGTCCGGGACAATTTCCGGGAAACTCTCCCGGGCGAACATCCAGTGAAAACACAGCCCAAGTGGAAATCGATTTGTGGATAAATCATATACAAATACCACATTTGAGGCTGCATTGAATTGGAATTACCAACCGGACTCTTTTACCATTTTATTTCCTCAGACCGTCATCATGGCTGACCCCAAACCAGCAGTCTACGTCCTAGACCCATACCATCCAGACGCCATCGCAGTCCTGCAACAATCATCCGACATCAATGTCATTCTCCCAAAAGACCCAAATAAGAGCCAATATGCAGAGAATGCCACTGCAGTCATGCTCCGCAGCGAGACTCGTTTAGGCGCTGATGAACTCGCCAAATGCAAAAAGCTGAAATACATCGTCAAACAAGGCGTTGGCGTCGACAACATCGATCTCAAAGCAGCTACGGCTGCGGGCATCAAAGTGTACAACACCCCCGGTCTGAACGGAGAAGCAGTTGCTGAGCTCACACTCGCGTTGGCTTTGACGCTGTCACGACGAGTCGCTGAGATTGATCGTCGAACGCGAAACGGCGAGTCTATCGTGAGAAGTCAGACTCTCGGAAAGAGCTTGTTCAAGAAGACTTTGGGAGTGGTTGGAATGGGAAATATTGGGTTCGCTGTTGCTAAGAAGTGGGTTGGAGCTATGGAAGGCAATATCGTCGCTTATGACCCCTTCTCGAATGGAAACCAGTGGCTTAGAACCTTTGGCGAAAGCAACTTCCGCCAGGTTTCAACGCTGCATGATCTTCTGAGAACATCAGATGTTGTAACTCTTCATCTGCCTCTTACCGGAGACACCGAGAACATCATTTCCTCCGCAGAGTTTAACACTATGAAGGACGGTGCAATTCTACTCAACTGCGCACGAGGAGGGATTGTTGATGAAGTCGCATTGCTATCTGCACTGAAAAGTGGAAAGCTGTTTGGTGCTGGCTTAGATGCCATGCTCGTTGAGCCTCCGACTGTTGAGGCATACCCAGAGTTGCTGTCGCTGCCAAATGTTGTTTTGACGCCGCATGTTGGAGCTTCAACGGTTGAGAATCAGAGTCAGAGTGGAATGGCGGTTGCGGAAATCACGATGGCGCTTTTGAGAGGGGAGGACAAAGGGAATAGGGTAGCTTAGTTGCTTAATCGAGAGTACAAAATAGAGTATTATAAACAAAAAAAAAAAAAAAAAAAAAAAAAAAAATAAAAAAAATAAAAAAAATAAAAATAAAAATAAAAATAAAAATAAAAAAATAAAAATAAAAAAGAAAACCGAAAAAAAAGAAAGGAGTGCGTTTCTTTCAGTACAATGATGTTGATCTCATTAACTCTCCATCTTCCAATAAGATGACGTCCATCTCAGGATGATGCTACGGAGTGGAGAGCGCTAGCCCAGAATAGATACAAGCTCTTCCGGGATCGGCCACTCCAACGCTTCATCTCAACTTCTCATCAACCTGTCTCTGCCTTCTTCAATGTCCAGGATGAATCAGCCTATACTGAATGGCATTGACACAAAACTGAGAGGACATCACTACTTACACATCTACATGAAAGCCTCGCGATGCCAAAGACGAGGCGTGAGCGAAAGGATTCCCCGCCTCGACCCAAGAAGGCAGCCCGATTGACATGCAACAACTGCCGTGCCCGAAAGGTCCGATGTGATGGTGGCCAGCCCATCTGCGGTATCTGTATAGCATATAACGAGACCTGCCAATATGATCGACCACCACCTATGACGCAGATCCGTGCTATGGCGGACAAGATTGCACAGCTTGAGCAGACGATTAAGGACATGCAGAACAAGGGTGCAACTAGCGCTGCTCCTTTGCAAACTTGCACAGCTGTTCTAGCAGAAAGCGCGAGGGTACCAGCGCTTACAAAGACTCTTCCGACCATTGAGGTTGCGGACGGTACTCTAGATACCACTCGTGCTTACTACGACACCACGTCAGCAGTTCATGCCCCCGGAGATACGCCATCACAAGCAACGACAGGTCAAATTACCGTGGCACACAGCCCTGAAACTCGTCAGCCTCTTCCTATGGAAACACCTGAGCTGAAGTTCTGGGAGGATCAAGCTGTCGAGAGCGCAGCAGTTTATCTCAGCATTCCTCAAGACGTTATACAGCGTCTTTTCGCGACGCATTGGACGTGGGTTCACGCGAATTTCATGTTTGTCCCGCGGGCTCTGTTTCTGCGCGACGCTGCTGTTGGTGGCAAATTCTTCTCTCCGTTCCTACTGAGCGTGTTGTGTCTGCATTCGACGCGTTTCAGAGAGCGTCATTTGACGGAGCAATTACTCGCCAGGGCGAAACTCTTGTTCAGTCATGAGATACATAATGAAGGGTCTATACCACTGGTACAAGCACTCTTGCAGTTCAGTGCTCGCGAAATTGGTAGAGGCTCTGTGTCACAAGCTTGGCTGTACGGCGGGATGGCATTTCGGGTCGCCATTGATATTGGTCTTTTCTCGTTATCACCTGGGAGATGTGAGGATGTCAGGTGGACGCAGCTGGGACGGCATCTCGCATGGTCATGCTTCTTCTGGGATAAGACTCTAAGTCTCTACCTCGGGAGAACGCCATCATTACCTGAACCGCCGAAATGGGAACCTGCTCTGCCAGAAGAGCCAGAGACCGAATTATGGCCACCTTATCCCATCCCCGATGATGAAGCACTCCAGAGCTATACGCCGAGACCGTCGCATTTGTTGCTGTGTTTTGCCTGTACTTGCAAGATTAGCGTCATCATCAACGATATTCTTTTTAAGATTTATGGGAGCAGGAGAACGAAAGATGTCTTGGACTTTGTACAATCTACAAGGGATAGGTTGTACTCCTGGCGTTCAAGTTTACCTGCCGCTTTAGATGTGGACTATCATGCGCAGATATGTCCTCCTACACATTTCGTAGCCCAACAGTAAGTACATATTGCCTCGCAACGGTCATTCAGCTAACAGGCGTCAAGAATGTTGTACCATACCACTATAATTCTACTCCATCGACCCTTCCTCACCAACACAGCTTGCTGGAAAGCATGCCAGGAAGCCTCTCAAGGCGTAGAGCAGCTTCTCAAACTTCTCGACAACACCTTCGGCTTCCAACGCTTCACATACATCATGGCTTACTGCACATATACCGCAGCTACAGTCGTCGTCCAGGATATGAAAAACGGAAGAGCTGGTACTACTGAGCGATTCAAGATGTTTATGAGAGCTTTGAACGCCATCACAGTTAGTTGTCCTGGCATCCAACGCAGCATCGATATCTTGACACGGGGACTTGGTGCAACTACAGTCGAACAAGAAGGTGTATCAGCGTTGGAGATACCACCAGCAGTTCCGCAAATGCCAGTTTTCCCTTATACTGATTTTGGATACGTCTTTGCCGAAGGAGGGGATGAGACTAGTCACGACACGAGTACGAGCTCAGATCCGTTCTTCAGTCTGGATTCCTTTCCGCAGTTGTGGCTTGACGAATTCTCAGACAGTGTGTTCAATGACTTTCAGGTTGGAAATTCTTAGTAAATTATTGAGATATTTTTATCTTGTTGCGCATTTCACGAGAGAACGTCAGGGGATTGACCCAACTCAAAACGGCTACCCTGAAGCTTTTTACTGGATCTAGAAACTCATCAAAACATGAGAAGTCCACAACAGTGGATACGCCCCGTAGATCCATATCTGTACTAACTCGTGAGCCTCGACCAGCCTCTCTGGAGCCTTTTTCTGCCGCTACTGGGATAGCTGAAAATCCCGGAAGATTCCGCGTTCGTAGATCCTCACGAACGGTCGCCCCAAGCCCCGTGCTATGAGATCCGGCGCTGAATGCTAATACCGGGATAGGAAATTTAAGCATAGGGATTGGGTTCATGAGAAGCCTAAAGCCTAAAAGGGAAACCCCATCGTGACGCTTTAATATCAATGATACTGTATCAAATTATTCAAAATGAAAACTGGGGTCTTCTACCGTAATGCCCCGAGAACTCTGTGCCAGTCAATGCGACGTAATAAACTTCATGTCATCCCCTATCCTCTCCGCCATTTTACATAAATATTAGCTACAAGGTCGAGTCCAGTCGCAAATTGACTAATGATGGTTTTTAGCCTGATACTAAAGATAAAATATTGGCTCAGTAGCGTCGGCTCGGTGCGCCTAGTCATGGGATAGTGGGATATCGAAAGTCGCTAGAATCAACCACCGTTTAGCAGGCCTATCATTCTGTATTTCTCCAAGCCACTCGGCAGTTACGATGACATGTGAGAATGTCTGTGGCGTCGGTGGTGTATTCCAACATCGGCGAAGCTCCGACTTGTGGCTTGCGTCTTTTCGCCTATCACACGGCCAACATGAGAGCTAAACGAAAAAGCCACGGAAGAGAAAGAAGGTTATTATCAGGCATTCTTCCCCGGGTCTCGAATTGATTCTACCCCAGGAACACAAGAATGCAACGGTTACAACGGGTGCTAGAGCAGATGAATATTGCGACGCAGATGGTGTGAAGGAGGGAAGAGATATTTAATGCGAAGGATTTATAAAGTTAAAGGATTCTTTGTCTCTGACACATGTTGTTGCATGAACAAGACGCCTTGTCCTTGAGCGGACGACAACTCGGCTGCGACAACACATTCCGTGAGCACTGATCACATCGGGAGACGGATCACTCGGTTAACTAGTCCCCCTAACTCATTCTAGATCTCTGACTCTGCCGTTTTGCGTCCTATCATCAGCCCTGCTAATTGAACACATGGCATGATGCAATCAGGCATTGTGTGCATTAGCCCAGCCAACATTTATCTTCCGAGTGAATTATCAGGAGAGAGGGTTCAACACAGTTTGTCCAGCTCATTCCAACGAGACGGGGGTTCACATCCTGATACGAATTACCGTAAGGGAGGGTTCAACCTTTCCCCTTACCGGCAACGAAAGCGAATACTGCCTGGACCAGATGCCGAAGTCAAAACTTTAAATGGGCGCGCATCCTCCCCCTCATTTCTCCCCGCGAGAAACCACGAGTCAGGACCTTACGAAAGAGGGTTAGTTGTTTGACCAAGGTCATTAGTTCGAAACCGATGTGCCAACCGTTGACGCCTCCCCATGGGTTAGGCTGCCACTTGCGGAGAACCCGTCACTTCACTTGTCAGGTAGTAGAGCAGCTGGCCAATCTTTTACCGCGGAGCGCACTGTCTCCGACGCCATGGAATCAAGGGTAATCTTTTTAATTTACAATGGTAGAAAACTAATCGACCTCTTGCTTTTATCAAGGGGGGGTTATCGGGAACTTTATGATATGACAGCAGTGCAGCTGAGATCCAACTAACTGGAAAGGAGGGTGATCATCGAGGCCAAGATCTTCATTTAACGCCATCAGTGTCACATTGCTTTTTCCTTCTCTCTTTGTTTCTTCTTTTTTCTCCGACGTTCATTACTCGTTTTTCTTACCATCCTTAAACTTTCGGCGTTACCTGATCGACAATGGCGGATGCACCAGTGCCGGTGTTTTTCGAGCTGAGCTGGTCTATCCTGATGACCATCTGCATGGGAAATGTTCTGCTGGGATGTCTCGTCTGCGGTATCACCAACTGGACGCTCCTCGCTGCTGTGCCGATGCTTTCGTCAGCGGCGGGAGCTGTCGCTAATGGGTTGTGTTACTATGTGTATTATCAGAAGCATCCTGCTATGATGCTTGCGATCGCTTCGGTGTTTGCTGATATATTCTGGCTGGTATGATTGATGCATGACTCAATTGGGAGTACTGAGCTGACGGTTACTAGCTGCAAGAAGCCGGTCTTCTTTTCTATAGTTACATCATCCTGAAACGAGTCCTTCGAGGTACGCGATGGAGGGTCTTCATGTCGCTTTTCTGGTCAGGCATTGCCGGCATTTGTGTCGTTCGCGTCGTCATCATCACCTTCCGAGTCCGATCCATCCTCGCCGGCAATGAGGATCTCTTGGCTACCATCAACCATATTCACATCGCCTACTTCGGTCTCATCGCGTCGCTTGAATGCCTCAGCGCATACTTCCTCATCGTTCTCTTCACGTCGGCCAAGACTTCATCTGCTGAGATTGCGCGCAATGGTGGTCTTTTCCAATACTTGGCTCGAAGCACGGAAATGAGAGTCGCTCTTCTGGCTCTGCAGGGTACGCTTCGCGCTGTGACGCATTCATTCAAGACGGCTGGCCAGACGGCGGAGAACATTGCTACCCAACTGGACCGATTCTTCTACGCCGTCTTCTGCCTATACTCCATGGTGTTATAGTAAGTTCTCCTCTATGCTCACATACCTTTTTAGTCATTGATCTAATTCTCGTAGCATCGATCTTCTTTCGTCCAAACTCAAGTTCAATGGCACCCAGGATTACCCCTCCTCTCGTGATCGCTATGTCCATCAGAGCAGTCAACCTGGTCGCTTCACCTCAACACAAAAGGATGACTTTGCCCAAAATAGAACAGAGCATGTTGTCGGCGTTGATGGCGGCACACGCACGCATAAGACACGAAATGACTCTACAGACCATATTATTGAAGGCGGCTCTTCACAGGGCGATGGGTCGATTAACCTTGAGGATATGGACCTCAAGGGTAATGTTATCAAGAAGACGGTCGAGTTCAGAGTTGTGTAGAATATTTACCATTTTCGTTCGGCGTGTTGAAGATACCAGGTGTAATGTTTAGCTCATTTCAATATAACTTTGTAGTAGTTAGATAGCATATCTCAAGATTAATGATTGTTGATGACGAGGAGTGGTTACTCCACAAAGTGATCGGCTCGGATCGTGAGATCGGTTGATATCTTCCGAACCGAGTAACAACTAACATTGCTGTCCATGAGTCAGAAACAAGACGATCCGGTAGAATGGTAGAAGACCCCTTTTTGTATCCACTGATCAGCGTCCCGCCTTGTGGTGATCTTGAAGCCAAGCCATCGCCGTATTCGGGCCTAGGCAGAAGCTGAAACACCGGAGAGCGGGAAGATCGTCAGCACTGGAGATTTAGAGAGCTTCGTCTGAGCTGCGACTTTGAAGAGTAATGGCCAAGCTGAAAGTATGCTGGCAGGATAAACTTGTAGTAGATTTAAAAGCTATTAGAAGAACTAGAGTATAAGTCAGCTATATTTAACGACAGCAACGACGGTTGACGAAGTGTTACTTATACAATCCAAGCTATGTATCCGTATATAGCATATCTATATATGACTCGGATACGACGGTAATCATGTGATGAAAGCCTTGATATCAGCTTTTTGGACAAACCTTGGCGAGCTGGATGGCGGTAGACTTCATGCTCTGTATCGATGGCATGGGGAGCAAGACGCGTGACACCATCAACAGGCCGTGAGAACTCAAAATCGGTCAAGTAAGGGTTATCAAAGCCACATTCTCTGCCATTATGAAGAAAAAAGGCCTTTATGGCATGAACTCGAATATTCTTGTGTAGCCATCCGTCTTGAATGGAAGGCTCCGATTGCGCGAGCAAGTGTCTGCTACTTGGAGGCGCTGCTGAGCTCTAGTTTGAAGCCTGATCCGTCTTCACTCGACAAGATAGAATCGTTGAGGCTTTTTGGCCTGTGCGTGGATGTACCCGGCGGGAAGTCGAAAAGGAACGCATACTGTGCATTTGTCGAATTGCAAGCATATGAATTGAATGGTAGCGTGTGAAATGAATGTTTACCAGCAGGGCGGAGGAGCTAAGCCAGCTGTGAGCCATAGAGCTCCTCATCGGCTGAGTGACGTTAGCAAGGCCACCATCATCCATGTTTGCCTGTGTAGGGGTTCTTGTACTCCACGAGGATTCTGGGCTTCGCGATCTAGCACTGTACGACCTCCCACGATATGAGGCTATCTACATCTTGATTAGAGCTGGAATGTTCGCGCCAAGCTTGTTATATACCACTCATACCTTCGGTGTCCTTGGAAATGGTGTCAGGGCTGATAGTGGGTTTGTTGAGATCAAGGCGGCCTGGGAAAATATTGACCTGTCGATCTGGACGAAGCCTTTTTTGGAGGTCTTTGTTTCCATAGAACCCGAAGCCATCAAGAAGTGGCGCGATGAGGTGCTCAAGATCATTATTTCATGCCCCGAACTTCTTCAATGTCTTCTCCAATTCGTTACTCGTCAAGGTTTATTTAACACCTGGTTGGTGGCAAGCTCTTGAGTGATGTTAAGCTTTTCGACAATTTGTGGTATTTCCTGTTTTCAAAGCCTTCGAATCGCCCCAGACAAAGGGACGAAATAACCACCGTTTTATACTGCTCAAGCTGAGATTCATGACCTTATTAATCAAGGCCTGTTTTTGAGCTTTGGTCTCCTCTGTAATGCCAAAGTCATCAATTTAAAAAGAGTCTTTAACCAGATCAAGTTTGAAGTGTGGACTGGGAGGTGAGAACTGTTTATACTCCTCATTAAGAGTGACAGCAAAATTGTAATACTTTGATAGCGCCTGCTGAAGCTGCCCAAACGTTCCTTACTGGGTTGATGTATTCCTACTCAGATTTAGAATGATTGATAGATGAGTATATTGCATGTCGCGCACCTCTGGAACTTTCTAGTACTGTTATATCAACCTTGTCGCCGTCATTGGCCTGGGAATGCCTGGACAGAGCTTGAAGACAATAGATTTGCACCGTGAAATGCATTATCATTTGCGATTGCTCTCCAGGGTAACTTTAGATAGTGCGGATTGTGTTTCTGTCTCTAGATGCCGCTTAGTAATATTTGTCTAGACGAAAGCTCCGAGGCTTATTCGCAGCCCCTCAGCAAACCAGACCAAATTAAGAAAAGGTCTCGGGGCTACCTCACCAAGCAGGCTATCGGAAGACTTCCGATTTCCGAATTACTCATCCTGAGACCACCTGCGCTAAATTCCGGGGTAAGAAGTGGACCCTGCAGCTGATCTGAACCTTGGAAGTACGGGGTAAGGAAATCATCGAATAGAATCCAGACCTTTTTTCCCCAAACTTCAACGTCTTCAACAACGTCAGGACCATATTGTTTTACATATTTCACTCTTGAATACCGTCAATCCCCGGCGTGCACGTAAATATTGAACAACGTCATATCTTAGCACATCATTACAGCTTGGGAGTAAGCATAATCATGAGCCCGCCTAGCACTCAGGCAGAGTTTTCCTGTCAGACGTGCAATCTCCCATTCCAACGCAAGGAGCACTACCAGCGACACCTACGCACTCATACAAAAGAGAAGCCATTCACATGCTCTGAATGTGGACAAAGCTTTGGTCGGGTGTAAGTAAACCCTACCTGCGCAGCCCCCAAGCTGCACCAGCGCTGACCACTGTAGCGACTCTCTTGCTCGTCACCATACAACTCTCCATCTAAGCACCGATCGTCAAGACAGCCGTGATCGTCCTAATGATCGCCGTCGAGTATCGCAGGCTTGCAAGCCATGCAGTACCTCAAAGGTGAGATGCGATGGCGAGCACCCATGTCAAAGATGTCGGCAACAGGACAATGACTGCTACTACGAGCCACATGCGAAGCGAAAGATGTCAGAGACTAGCTCTGATAGACCAACCGCCAAACGGAATCGAGAAAAAGCCCCAATCAATGTTGAGGTTCTCGAAAGCATCAATGTCAACCTGAATAGTAGAAATTCACCGCTCTCACCGCCCGCAACTGTTCAAGACAACAGCTCTAACACAGCCAATTATGCCAACAACTACATCTCTCCGGTTCATGATCCATTCATCGAGCTATCCAAACCCAACGACCTCAATGCCAATGCCCAACCTATCGACCCGCTGCTTGTTGCACAACATAGCGCATCTATCGGGTATCATGGCACTCAGCCTGGCCCCGCTGACGTACTTTTTGACACTGACGACATGTTGACAAGTTTCAACTCTGTGAATACGGTGCCGGCACCCCTACCTTCTCTACTATTCGGCGACGCCTTCGAAACTAACGGATGGCTCAACTATGGCGCCGATCAATCATTTGCGCCCCTCTTTCTTCAGAACGATGCATCTCTCGACGCCATCAATGAGCTCTGGTTCGACCATGCAGGTTTCAAAGCGCCCCAGCAACCCATCACCTCACAGCTTACACCAGCCTCTTCAATGGTCGATCAATCAGCTGTGGCAGAGCTCTATAGCCGCAGTCACTCTCCCACTATTGACAGGGATGCGGTTGAGCCTAGAGAATATGTGCCTGTCTCGATTGAACTGGACGCGCAACTCAATTTTCCCGATTTGTCTCACCTGACGGCCGAGGACGTTGATCATGAGAATTTGGCACATGTAGATGATATCCCTGAAGAAGTGGCCAAGAATGTGGCCGAGGCAGCAACGGAAATACAGAACAATGGTAATTTCCCGCATTTTAGGAATCTGGCTATTCCGCCAACGCCAGTGTTAAATGCATGGGTCCAGCTGTACTTTGAGTACTTCCACCCAGTGATGCCTATTCTGCACAAGTCGACTTTTTCCTCGTCTAAAAGGCATTGGCTGCTTATCTTTACAGTGGCCGCCATCGGTGCACACTTTTCAACCATCAAAGATGCCCAGGCATGCTCAAGGGCAATGCATGAGACTATTCGACGACAATGCTCAACGATGGTAAGTGACTCTAGATGGCGCAGAACAAAAGGACCCGGGGCTGATAGAGAAACAGTGTGAACGACAGAACTCCAACGGTAGAGAGCTTTGGATGTCGCAAACTATCCTCCTGAACCATATCGGCCTGCTCTATGGTGGTGAACGGAGGTCTCTGGAGATTGGCGAATTGCTGCAAGCCTTGCCCGTAACTCTGGGACGACGAAAGCGTCTTTTTACAAACATGTTTCCCGTCGACAAGTTTGCTCAGCTTCAGTTGCCACATGCTCAGAAATGGCAGATTTGGCTGCTGGACGAAGAGCGGCGGCGGGCAGGCTTTGCCATCTGGGTGAGTCGAACTTTCATAAATGTGACGTTTGGCCAGTATTTACTGAGTATTGAACTATCTAGCTCTTGGATGCTGCATTCAGCGCGCATTTCGACCTTACTAGTCTTATGAGGCTGTCTGAACTGCAGATATCTCTGCCTCGGCCGGATGATCGTTGGGGTGCATCGACGGCCCAGTGCTGGGCCAACTTTCCTGCCGTTGGTAAGTTAAAACTCATAATACTCTTGATCCGATCTGTACTGACATGAGGAGAAAACTCTGGCTCTGGTGGACTTCCCACGATGGAGCGTGTCATCGCCGAAGATAGTTGGCGCTTCGTATGGTCGAGAACCAACACCTTGGGCAAACAGGTTATGCTGCAGCATCTCACAAATGTTATCAAGGATCGGAGCGCAGACCAGCCTGGTACTCCAGGCTTCTCGTATCACGACAAACTACAGGCGTCCAATGTCTTGACTGACTTTCTGAATCTGATTGAGACCGACCAGATGGAGCAATCCATTGATGAAGTAAAGGCATCGACAACGCACAAGATCATGGCCCTGGCTGCTTTGATGACACACAATATTCCAGTTAAGAGCCTACTTCCAACAATTATTCGATGCATATACGGCAAGCTTGACAATCAGGACTGGGCGGCGATTAGCGATCGGTGGAGAGGATCGTCCGGGCAAGGAAGGCTTGGGTGCTTCTATGCCTCGCGCATCCTCCATGTAGTGCGGTCAAGCCGGTCATCGCACTTCGGTACACCTGTCTCGCTTCTCCAGGCAGTGTTGGTTTTGTGGCTTTACTCGGCGCTTGCTGAACGGTACCGTGATGGGTTTTTGTTCTCGCGCACGGCTCCAGCTGTGGTGCTTGGCCCGAAGCCCCTGGACCAGATGGAGACTAACTCCTGGATCGAGATGGGGTGGAGCCGAGTCAAGTTACCGGGCATCGGTAATCTGCTTTGTGCAGAGGGCAGAGCCAAGTTGTTGGACGATGCGGTGGTGCTTATGAGATCGTTGAAAGGCTGGGGTATCAGTAACGCATATGCTCAGATCTTGTTGCGTCTGAGAGCGAGTGAGACGTCTAATATGGCCCATGGATGAGTTCCGAGGAGCTTGAAAAGTTTACGCACTACGTAGCATGTTCCGAGCATTCAGGAAGGGTTTTGCATGTCTTCTGCTGGTGATTATAATTGAACACCATACATTCTATTAAGGTTGAGTTTAGAAAAGCTATACTGAGGTTTGGCCATCATTCTGGTAATGACCTGTAGCTTGCAATGTGTCACTGTACAGTACCGGGTCTGACGCGGCTGTTCCATGGGTTTTCATATTGCTGGGTGTTCTTATGATCCATCATCTGCATCACCACCGAATGACCTCCCCTTGCAATTGTCAGAACAAGGATATGAATTCAAAAGACAAAATTCCTAACCCAATCGATGCCTCAAGACAGGGGACGCGCCTGTCTTCTCGGCTCCATCGGCTCCACACTGGTTCGCAGTGTGCTCATTCCATTCCGTAATTCCGACTAGGATTGATTTGATTTACAATGACATTTAATAGCTCATCTACCCATTAAACCTAAATCTTTGTTTAAATTAGTTGGTCCTGACTAAATCGTGTCTCTTGTTCCCAAACATACCTGACATACCTCTTATCCAACATGGCGCCCACCGTTCTTGGAACAGTTGCATCAACTCGCACCCAAAGAGTCCTACTCACACTGGAAGAGCTCGGTATTGAGTATGACTTCAAAGTTGTAGACCTCTCCAAGGGACAGCACCACGTCGGTGAGAGCACATGCACCATTGAGGCTAGCAGCTTACACAAAATACAGAATCCTGAGTATGTCAGAGACCACCATCCATTCGCCAAGGTTCCAGTGTTCCAAGATGATGGAATCGAGATTTTTGAGTCTAGAGCCATTGCTAGATACCTGGCTGTGAAGCAAAAGTCCCATCTTGCTCCGCCCAGCGATGATCCGGAAGCTTTGGCGGCTTTTGAGCAAGCTGCTAGCGTGGAATATGCTTATTTTGAGCCTGCTGTCTCTGCCCTTGGATTTGAGCTCATTTTTAAGAAGTAAGCTACTCCAACCTTTTTGAAAATTACTTGAGAAGAACGTTCTGGCTGACGTATGGCTAAAAAGGATGTTTAACCTCGGAAACACCGATCAAGCGATAGTTGACCAACAGAAGGCTTTGCTCAACACCACGCTTGACTACTATGAGAAGAAACTCGAGGCTCAACAGTATCTGGCTGGAAAGGTTTGTGATTTCCAAAGCGTGTGTAACACAGTAAGTGCAATTGCTAACCCATATATAGGACTATAGCCTCGTTGATCTCTTTCATGTCCCCTGGTTAGGATTTATTAGGAACCGCTTGCAACTTGGAGAGTTGATCGACTCTAGGAAGAATGTGGCGGCATGGGCCGAACGCATAAGCCAGCGTGACGCATCAAAGGCTGTTTCGGCAAAGGCCGTGCAGCATTAGATAGCTTTCAAAAGTTTTCATATACTCCAACAATAGACAAGACAACTTGTTATGTAGAACTTGAAGATAACTATGTCAACGAGGTCGTGTAGCACAAAGCACAAAGCACAAGGAGCAGGCTTATGGGTTTATCGAATTCATTCAAAAGTTATATCTGCTTTAGAAAACTCTGCTCATGACATTAAACTGTAGAGTGCGACGCGATGCTAAGCTAATGGGATTTCGCATCGCTACAGGCTCCTATAACGCTCCTACGAGGAGATAATCGTGATATGTAATTGGAATGTTCTATAGGCTGGAAAAGCATGACTCTTTAATACAACTTCATTTCTCCCTCGCTCTTGCAAAAGATACACTATACAGTGCCACCGCCACCAAAGCACCAAATTTTCAACAAGACTCTTGCTCAATCATTTCTTGGTAGGTCAATAATCTGAACCTTCTCTACCAAAGGGCCCAGCTCTGCCACGACAGCGAGGTGGACTGGGTCTTTGAGGGCGTAGTAGTCCCTGTCTTCAGGACTGTCGAATTGGATGACGAATGCATGAGTGATACCTTGCTATTGTTACTTATCAGTGATCTCGTTCGAGGTGGGACGTAATCAGCAGATGAGAGGAGTAATTGCTGATGGAGAATAACATGAGCTGTCTCACCTGTAAGCCCTCTGGCGCGCTATCGGCGCCACCTTGAATAGATTGAATATAAGGCTTTTTGGATTCAGGGTGCAAGCACGTTTTCCTCAACCCTTGGATCTTGGCGGACACCTAAAGTTTAAAGACTGGATCAACAGTCACGCCTTGCGAGATGAGGGATTGGGACACTGACCTTGTCGATAGCATCGCTGCCAATGTCTGACTTGAACTGGAACTGGACGACACGGTTGATACCCATTTTGCAGCTGGCGTTGTATGACACAAACAAGGTACAATACTTAAAATAAAGTGTACGGGTGGCTTGGTACAATGAGTGGTAAGTAGCTTGGCGGTGAGTTTTGTCCACAACCCAATATAAGTAGCGCATGAATGATATTCGGAAAGGTGCTTGGATTTCCGAAAGTGCCGATCATCGATGCCTCTTTCCCGGGCAAGTTATTGCCCAACGTGGAGCCGACAGATCGTGGGGAAATCGATCTCGGCTAAAGTATTCCCCAGATTATCAACCCAGCAGCTAAGCCTTTCGATCTCGTGACCTGTAGGTGTCAGGGGCTGGTAAAGCCTCCAACTTTCTGGAGACTCTATAACAATGCTTATGCTTCTGAAGATGCTGTCGTGAATGCACATGTAGAGGTTTGAGTAATTATTAATTTTGACGAGGTGGCAACTGGAGATTTCGGTGATATACCTGCACTACGGCTGGCCAAGTGTTTTTGTCCTGGGAGTCCAGTTTGTCATCAGCTGCAAATGGCTCAAGGTTGGTATCTAGCTTCCAAGCTTTGTCGAGTCTAGTTAGCATAGCCTCATACTTCGCTCTTCCAACAAACTCGCTTAGCATGCTCCAAGCCGTAGTGGGGTAACCGAAGTGGTACCCGTGAGCCACTCGTATGTAATCACGAAACTATTTATGATAATACATCTCCCTTTATCGTGTCAGACGTCATCACGACAAAGTGCTTTGAACCAAGACTAGAAGTACACGCGCAATGGATTCCTCAAGCACAGAAAAGGCAGAAGTGTCGAGAGTGGAGAATACTAGCCGAGCTCCAAGCACTCCAACAGGTCAAGAACTGCGAGACCATCCCAAGGTGAGTCGGCTCTTTTACTCCCAGTTCAATACTGACATTTATCTCTAGACATGGAATAGAGGCCTGAAGCTGATGGTTCTGGCCAATCTTTGCTTCATGGTCTTTTGCGGTAACTTTTATTCGGTACTATCTCTTAGATCCGCCAGTCTAGACATCCTTAAACTAACAATTGTGTCTAAATAGGCCGGTATTTCTGCTGGGTTGACCGCTCTCGTATACGACTTCCACAGCAACTACGACAAGGCGGGCGATATAGTCGCGTACTCTGTGCTCTGCATAGGCCTGGGTTCCTTCATATGGATCCCAACCGCTGTAGTGATTGGGAAACGACCTGTCCTGCTAGCATCTCAAATAATGTTCATGGCCGGATGCGTTTGGTGTTCCCAGGCAGCCTCAATGGACAGTCTTCTCGGTGCTCGAATTCTCGGGGCCTTCGGTGCTGGCGCAGTTCAAGCTGTTGGTCCTGCCGTTGTAGGAGGTAAGAAAACACCCCTTTGGTCCTAATACCAGTCAAGGCCTGACTCCTCCCATCACAGAAATATTCTTGGAGAAGAACTACTCTAAGGCAATGGGATTGTACGCCGTGAGTCTCTGTATCGGAGCTCAGGGTGGTCCTCTCATCGCCGGCCACTTGATCGAAGCTAGAGGATGGAGCTGGTTTTTTATTCTCCTCGCTATTCTCAGCGGCTTCAACTTTGTTACACTTGCACTTTTCTGTCCAGAGACTGCTTTTAACGTCGAGATTGAGGCGGGCGCAACCAGTGCTGATGTCGACGCCGATATTCTTGACCAGACCACTGGCCTTGGTCGCACCCAGAGCTCGCTCACAACATGGAAGCAGAACTCTTTCTATACGAGACACCCGCACGTACGAGGTGGTGGGTTGAGGCAATGGTTTCTTTCGTTCTTGCTGCAGATCGAATTCATGTTCGATCCCATCGTGATTCTCTCTGCAGGCATGTGGGGAATTGTGTTAGCTTGGTAAATCTCACAGTGCCTTTGCTGTCAAATCCATTTCTAACTCTTTATAGGGTCGCCACTATCTCTGTTATCTCCAACCAATTGTTCGCCGCGCCCCCTTTCCTCTGGGGCCCTGCTGAACTGGGCAACTGGGCGTGTACGAGTCTAGTCGGCGTAGCCATTGCCTTTCCCATTGCCGGGCCCTTGACCGACACTGTCTCCTCATTTATCGGCCGCCGCAAGGGCAAGCATATGCCTGAATACCGACTCGTCACTCTGGTGGTCCCGTTTCTGTTCTCGTCATCTGGCCTCTTACTGTTTGGGTACACATACACCAAGGGTTCGTATGTAGGGCCAGCAGTTGGTTATGCCATGCAAGCTGCCAGCCTCATGCTCATTCCCACCTCTGTCCTGTCCTATGGTGTCGATAGCTACCCTTACGACGCGGCCGAGGTAACGGCTCTGATGAATGCCGTGACCCATATCATCCCTTTCGGGCTGACAAAGACGGCTTCAAATTGGCTTGCAAGGGTCGGTGTCGAAAAGATGTTTCTGCAGATGGCCATAATTCAGTGGGTTTTGCTAGCTGGCTTTACCATTGTCCTGTTGGTCTTCGGACCTTGGATTCGGGTCAAGGCCTCTTTCGTTCATCAGCATTATGGCGCTAAGAGATTTCTGTAAAGTAGACGGGACCGAACCTGAGTATCAAACCAAACATCTCTGACGGCCAGGTCCTCTTCAGCTCACTTGGAGTTCTCAAACAGTCCATAGCTTAGGTATGAATGGCCAATATCTTAGTTTTTCATAGTTGTATTCTTAGACTTGTGAACACCGTTACCCAACATTAATCCAGTTGACTCAAAAGATTGAGCTAAAAAGTCAAACCCCGCTTGACTTTGTGTACCCTGTGTTTGAACTTCTAAACAAATGTCAGCACAATCACCACACATCTTATTAGAACTTCTCAAGCAACCCTGTGTACTTTCTATCTTGCCTGTCGAACCGTCTCGTCCTATCACTAAGATGGATCAGGTTCACGGTAAACGCGACTCCAACTTAAAGTAGGTTTATTAATTCTTGAGCGCTATATTAAGTTTGATGAGGGGAGATAAGTAGTGGTTTTATTAGTCGTAATTGGATTGGGGTCTATGGTAAAGTCACCTATTAGACACTTCATAATCAATGTTGTTTACGTTTGTTGTGTAAAGGAATAGGTTATAGAATATCAGATATTTGGGTGAGATTTAAGAGAATTCCGTAGCCTGTGGATTGACACGATCAACACTATCTAAGCAAGAGGGTCCAGCAAAGGGACGACTAGATGACTGTCAGAGTCAGCCCCAATATGGATGGTATGACGACCCTTGTTTGAATGAGCAGCTGTGTACAGAAAGTCAAACTCCATGAAGCTCATATAGTGGCCAGACACCTTCAAGGTCAGGTACTCTCCCTCCTCAAAGATGATACCAGTTGGCCAGATGGGAACCTCGAGCCTGGCAACGGTGCCAGCAGGAATAGCCTTTCGACTTGTGTTTGTATACTCAGGCCAGTCACCGGTGAATCTGCCAGGTTTAGGTGTCACCTTTGTGATGGCATGACTACCTCGTAGAGAACCTGTAGGTCCCAGATATTTGAGGAAGCATGTGTCTGCAGCTTCTGTGTGCTCGCTGACAGGAGGAATGAGGTCCTTTAGAGGGACGTTCATGTTGACCAACTGAGTTCCTGAAGCATCCTGTTTTCCAAGTTGAGCGAAAACGTCAATGTCATCATCGCCGTCGTTGGAGATGCTGACGTTGAGCCATGAATAGCCAATAAGCCAGGTCTTTTTGGTGAATTTGTATCTGAACAGTACCTCCTCACCGCCCCCAAGAGGGTGCTTCGGAAGGTATGCTGCATCATAAGACACGGTGTGTGAATCTTTTCGGGGGGCTGTTTCAAGGTTCTCGCCTGGGCCGAGGTAAAGCTTGGTGTGCTTTGTGTGAGGGATAGGATATGATTCGAGAGGGACATTGCTGATGTTTGGCTAGTTCGTGTCAGAACTGAAATAGAGTTTTGGGTAAAAGCAGAAAGTAACTTACTAGGTTGAACCCGACGAGAGAACCTCGTACTTTCTGGGTGCTTGGCCAGTCGTTCTGAATGCCTTTGACGAAATAGTCGTAGAACTTGTTCAAATCGTCAACGCTGTCGGGATGATACAAATCGGACCATTCCTGCTTAGCATGAATGCGGAGCCTATAGAATTATCAGTATTCGGATCTCAATGCCAAATTCAACATACCATTTGTCCTTAGAAGATATATCATGATAACCACGAATAGAGCCCGTGGTGTGAAGAGCCGTTGAAAAGCTAGCTAAAACATAGGTGGGAACCTGGATTTTCTCAAGCTTGACATTCTTGTCCTCCCAGTAATCGTTGAACAGGGGATACTTCTCCAGCATCGAGATTGGAGCCTCAGCAGCATTGCGACCAACCATCAGATCTTGTAGGAGCTTCCACATGGCACTGTAGGGATATGGCACACCACCACGGGCAAGAGTGTCGCGATAAAAGTCTGCATTAGCTTCCCACGGAGCAATAGCAGCCAGTGAAGGAGGCTGCTGAGAAGCAATCTGCCACTGAACCATAGCGAGCCAACTGTTGCCGCCCAAGGCAACCTTGCCTGTGCACCAGTCAAGCTTAGCAACATGTTCGATGGCATCATATCCGTCTTGGCCGTCTTGGTTGCCGACCCATCTGACCACGTTAGTTACTCTTTTGCAGTATTCTGATAAGACATGAATCTTCCACTTACGGAATAATTCCTTCGGAGTCCCAAGACCCTCGCAAGTCAACATTAACAATAGCATATCCCCTTGCTGGCCAGACAGCAGGGTCTAGCCCTTCAAACTTTTCATAGCCACTGACCTGGTCTTCAGGGACACCAAATCGACCGGGGATCATGCCAAGTCCATGAGGACCTATCAAGAATGTCAGAAGTTTCAACTATGTCTGGGCATGAGAAATTACCATTTCCAGTCTTGCCATAAGGGCTCCAGATAAGAACGGCTGGAACCTTCTCGTCAGTCTTGGGTCGAAAGACATCAGCGTACAGCTTGATGCCGTCTCTCATGGGAAGAATAATATCCTTCTCGAAGATTGTGTCGACTTCAAAAGCCCTGTTTGCCGGGGTCCTCTTGTGACCCTTGGGTAAGACTGTTACCGAAGGGTTAAGGGGGTCATAAGGGCCAGCCTCTTTGGCCCCAGGTGTGATGACTGGGGTTACGTCAACATCAAAGCCGTTGATCTTGAGCGACATGATACCGGTGTTTGAGGGATACAGTGATAGTGTTTCTGAGAACAATATTGCTCTTTCAACCTTGGCCGTTCGAATCACTACCTAAGTTATAAAACGACAACTAATATGCCACTATCGCCGCTCTTCTGTTAAGTCCGTTAAACTGGATCATGCTGCATCCACGAGCGTGGGGCCGCTAACTAAGCATTCCCGCCGGCAGCTTGGATAGAGGATCGGCTCGGGACCACAATCCCCTTAGTAGACAACCTCGCGCGATGAGGCCGCCAATTTCAACCCCAAAGAAATGCCCGAACAGGTCAAAGTTTTGCGGATGTAAAAGTCCCAATTGGGGTGAAAACAACGCTGCTTGTTAGAAGCCATATCCGCTCCCCCATATTTCTCGTTTTCAAGAGGTACTCACGAAGCTCAAGTGCGCAATTCTTTGACGATCGCTTCTATCCAGATTTGTGTCTTTACAGAGGTTTGTGGAGTTCAAAGAGTGCCGGATTAAATATATTCTGAGTAAGCATGGCGTAAGTAGATAATGCACAGACGCATTACACCCGATAGTTAGCGGCTATGAACCAATCGAAACTGAAGGGTGAGGGAGAAAACTGCTTGAATCGTAATTGAGCGACTCTATTTCACTGCCTACACTACGCAAAGTCACCTATGTATTTCACTAATGGTATCATATTTAAATTGTGATTTGACTGCGTTACTTGAGGTTGAGTCTTATGGCGTAGCTAGCCTTCCCACCAAACTTTGGCTACTTTCTCAGAACCGCATTGATTCCACCTTTCAACTTTTCCTCATGTCCACTATCAACCCTCGTACCTCGCCAAGCAATAAACCCATCAGGTCGCACCATGATCGCCTCACCCGGCTTCAGACGGCATTTCTTCTCAACGTCGCCTTTTGTGTCTCTATAAGGAGATGATGTAGCATTCAAAGTATAGACATCAATCTCAATCTCAACTTTGCTGGCGGCGGCAATCCAAGGGGAGTTAGGATCTATTGTGATGAGAACAAAGTTCCTCTTCACCAAGTCAATCGTTGAGATCGGTTTGCCGGATGAAATGACATCGTCGAGATAGGAATGAGGGAATCTAGATCCAGGAACAGCCGAGGGGAAAGCTGGATCATCGTAGAGCTCCTTGGGAGTTGAGTACTTCTCCTCAGGGACAAACGCTCCTCCGCGAGGATACCTGAAACCCAGCTCAATAGACTCATCCGGGGCTTCTGAAGCTGGAGGCTTCTGCATAACGATCCTATTTTGGAAGCGATTGTATGCCTGGTTGACGGTAAATTCATCAACGGGTTGTCGCTCAATGTTGTACGTTGCAAGCAACGAATGCGAGGCCTTTCCGGATAAGACGTATGCCAACTTCCATGCAAGGTTATGAGCATCCTATAACAGTGTATGTTAGCAATATATTCGGTAAACAGGCGGGCCAACCAACAGCTATTCCAGTATTTCCCCCCAAGCCTCCAGTGGGTGGCATAGTGTGGGCCGAGTCTCCAGCAAGGAAAACACGGCCGCCCTTGCTCTCGAAGCGTCCAGCAGTGTATGCCGCCATAGTCCAGTAGTTCATCGATACGATTTGAGGATCCACCTGGTCAGGAGTCAAGCCGGACAATTGATAAAAGTATTGTTTGGCATCGTCCGTTGTTACAGTTCCGGGCTCGAAGCTGGTCTTGGATCCGACATTATTAACCATGATAATGCCTTGCTTTCCTTCGTTCTCCAATCGAAAGCCTCCACCGATGTCCTTGTTTGCCACATAGACAACTCCGTGAACCATTCTCTTGCCGATGAAAGGACTCAAGTCTGACTTGAAGCTGACTCCGAGACTGTTTCGAAGAACACCTGGCCCATCCCAGCTGATACCCTCATTTTGACGGGTCGGACTTCGATTGCCATCGCATGCAACCACATATGGCGTCTTGTACTTCTTGATCTTGCCAGTGTTGAGATCCTTGACGACGACAACAACATGATCCTCTTGTTCCTCATAGAGAAGGACTTGATGGCCATGGCGCTGCTCGCTGTTGAACCTTTCTGCATTCTGGCCCAAAATGGGCTCAAACATTCGTTGCGATATCCATACCCAGTTGGAAGGAGTAAAGCTCCTAACATGTTCAGGATCGTGCTCTTGAAGATGTTTTATAACTTTGCCGCCCACAAGCTTTTCGACAATAAGCATACCGGCATTGAGATCAAACTCTTTACCGCTCTGCTCCAGAGTGAATTCTTCCAAGCCCAATTGGCGGAGGATCTCGCTCGTTCGGAAGTTGATGCCCGCTGCCCGGGGGTGAGCTCCGGCTTTGGAGTGGCGATCAAACGAGACCGATTTAATGCTTAAACTCAGTGTCAGCTTGTACATCGTTGGTCTATGGGCTATTGAATATTTTCGCCTACCCGTGATAACCGAGGAGAAGACCAAGGGTCTTGCCAACCATGCTGGAACCAATTATTATGACTGGCCATTCTTCATCCTCGAAAGGGATGTTGGAGTGGTCAACTGGTGTGAACTTGTCCTTGGCCAAATTGGCCGAGGACAAAGTATCATCAAGTTGCTGCGCAGTGACTGTCATTGCAATCGATTATCTCTTGAACCAAGTTCTCGAATGTTTCTAAGTAGCGCCGTATGATGGAACTGATGATAACACTTATTACATCACTCCGCGTGGTAAATATAAATTATCATCCTCAAAATTATTAACCTTCCTTGTAGCTGCTAAACCGTACCTCACCCCACCTCCAATGAAGTAAGCTTCCCTGCGTGCAACAACGATCCGGTGGGGTCGGCCCCGAAGTCATGATGACCCGGCGCCCACACGGCATTTGTAAGCAGAGGATTACCCATCATCGTATTCGAAGCGAGAATGCTGCTTTGATATCGGTTTACGGCTTTCTTCTTAGTGACGTGTATCAAAACAATGAATGGCTCTGTCATACTGGGTCACTGTAGAGGATGATTCCGTAAACAAGTATCGATACGCCGATTATCCTTCTCATGACATGCTGAACATGTGAGCCACGATACATAGTGGTGGTCCATTGTATCCATAGTAGTGTCTAATATTCAACTCAAGTAAAGAATTCAAAGATGAACTTCACATTTCACCAGATCATTTATCATGACATGCACAGAGTATGTAATTATATAATTCTGAGAACGATATTGGTGATTCAATTTGCCACGGATCTATTTCCTTCTTTTATGAACACTATCCTTAATCAACCGTAGTGATCAAGCTGCTGCTGCAAGAGCCTTTTGCGCATCGTCAAGCACAAAATTATTCCACAAATAGGGGAAGATGTTGGGAGGTAGTTCCGCATCGGGGACAAACTTGCGGAGATCCTCCATCATCTCACCTCGCCTCTCGTCGTTGATCTTTGACATGAACATGACAGTCACGGATCGTGGATAGCGGACCTTGTTGTAAAGTTCCAGTCGCCGAGGTACATCGTCCACCGTCGTGTCGGCAGGAAACAGGACTCCAAGAGCTGCTGCATCTTCAAATGATTGCGCTCCGCCTTGTCCTTGATCTAAGATACTGTCAGTTGGTCTTCATGGCTCACATGTAGCTATGGCAACATACGTGGGAGCATGGGATGAGCTGCATCACCAAGCAGCACAGTTCTGCCCTTGTAGAACTTGGTAGGGGGGTCTCTCGTAGCCAAACTCCACAGCTTCAAGTCTTCGCCAATCCTGCACATCTCGATAAGCTCAGGTCCAAATTCCTTGTAAACATGGAGCAAATCCTCCACTCTTCCGCCTGCCAACCAAGAGGATTCAGAGTCGAGACCAGCATCCTCAGCTGGGTGCATGGCGACGATGTTGAGCAGCTTGGCGTTCCGGCATGGGTAAACCACCATTCTCCGATCCCTTGTCGTGAAGACGTGTTGACAGTCGAAACCAAGCTTTCCGAAAAAGGGCCCGGTGATTGGGTTTGCCAAAAGCTTGTCGATCGGTACCAGGAATCGAAACGTGTTTTGTTTTGTACTGACACGGACAGGTGGACTGCCTGCAACGGCGGAAACAACTTTGGACTATAGAACATTAATGGAAATCTTGACAATCATAGCTAATAGGAGACTCACGTGGACGCCGTCTGCTCCAATGAGTAGGTCGCCTCTGTGTTTGACTCCGTTTGCTAAAGTAATCTCGCCCGTTTCCGCGTCCTCCAAATTGTCAGTCAATCAGTCCAAGGTGGTCTAGAGTGCCCATAAGCATGTACATACTGCGTGAATGACTTTGCTTGCGGTGTGAATATTGATCTTTCCCGCAAATGCCTTTTCGGTGGCTGCCTTGAGCAGAGTACTGTGCAGGTCGACGCGGTGTGTCAGGAGCCATTCATCCTTGGTACCGATAGTCTTTTGAAGTTCTTCGAGTTTCTTTATAAGGATCAAAGCATTAGCCTAAACGGAAAGACAGTACTGTTGTAACAACTAACCACGGGAACAAATATCAGCTTCCCTGTATGATCGTAGATCTTGATGGCGTTGCATAAGACAGCTTGCAGCTCTGTGAAGTCGATATCCCAGGATTTCAGTACCCTGGTTGCGTTGGGTGCAATGTGAATAGCGGCACCGATTTCGTTCAGGAATCTTGATTGTTCGAATACCTGCTTCAATCAGCTTCCCTTGATCGGGACGGTGCAGGTTATCGGACTGTACCTCTACGTCGTGGCCAGCGCGGGCCATGGCGATAGCGGCACCCAGGCCACCCAAGCCTGCACCTGCAATGATAACTTTAAGAGGCATGTTCACAGTAGCTGGAGATGTCAAGTTAGTTCAAACACCAAAGTATCCCCATCGGGGGGAAACTGGGAGGTCACCGTTATAAGATGAATACGTTCTACGACTAAGCCTACTAACGCTTAGACGCCTCCTTTCCCTCTTCGAGACACCCATCACGGTGGCTTTCCAATATCATCGATTTGAACCACCACCATTTGATCTATTACCATCTGCACCAATCATTTCAGTTCTCCCAGCAAGCTCGGAAACAAGCGTACCAAGATCCCCATACATACAGAACGTATCTCACTGCTACATCTCGGCTCCACCGGTTGGTTACTTTCCCCGCGTTGTGACGTCTGACGCGGGGAATCCGGGCTCACTCTTGTATTCCCCACTGCCTCGGGCCCTCTCCACACGCAAATGTCAACTCCGAGGAAAGACGAACCCCATGACCCAGAAAGCGGAGTTAGGGCGAGAAGAAACTGCCGCGTTGGGGCAGTATCTCAAACCCCACCTTGAAAAGATGTTTAAAAATCAAGAAACCATGGCGATCATTGTCTGCTTGGCAGCACAAACACAAGACATTCTGTTTAACAGTCTGACTTCACTTATTCCCTACTAAAATTGCCAAGATGGTTACCCACGAGCACGTCCGAAATATCTTTGCAGGCCCCAGCAAGGGTGATATGGCCAGTTTCTGGCCCCACGTCGAGCCCAACGTCGAGTGGACCGTAAAGGGTACAGCCCAGCTCCCAATGTCGTCCATTTTGGTTCGCTTCGAGCTCACCATATCACAGGCGCCCACTGCCAAATCGCTGGCCACTACAAGTCCATCGAGGAATTTCAACAGGGAACAAGGGCATTGTCATCCACTTGGGCAGGTCCCCTCCATCTTGTCGTTCAGAACATCATCATCGAGGGAAACCAAGCTGCCGTGGAGCTCAAGGCAGTCGATACCAAGACTAGGAGTGGCGACCCTTTCCCCAATGAATATACCTGGGTGCTGGGCTTCAACGATAGCGGCAAAATTGCAACTGTGAGGGCGTACATGGACACGTAAGTTGATGATGAACTTGAACTTGCACTTGAAGCAGAAAATACTAATTGAGGTTTTATAAGTGATCTTGTTACTCGTGTTATTGAAAAGAACCCCAACTAGATTATAGATATTTTTGGTACTGCTAGCTAGAAAAGAAGAGTTTTGTCTTTTGATTTATAAAGCCATGATAGTCAATGTTCCCTGCAAACCGTCAGTGTCGAGAAGATAAAGTTTCTTAAACCCCAAATAATTTCCAACTTTTCACTTTTTCACCAAGTAATAAATATTAACTATATAGAATTTAAATTCTCTGCTTTTCCTTTATACTTTATTATAGCCTAAAGTATCTATCTGTTTTTATCTTTATGTTTAGATTTAAGTAGCCCTTGTGTTGCTCAGGTAACTGTTAATGCTTGCTAAGCCCGTGTGGAGATGCCATGGTCTGTCACAGCTTGCGTACTCTGTATAAGATGTACATTTGCCATTAAACGGTCTAGCCTTATTTAGCGGAGGCTGAGTCCAGCTCGTTATCGGATACATCGTTGATTGGTCATGATCAGAGAAGTCCCGTATTTTTACGGTCAGAGCGTAAGCTCGGTAGACGTACGTGCATCTTAAGCATGAAATTAGACTACAAAAACCTCGGCACTCTCGATTCACAGATATGAACTACTCACTCTCTGACTAACTGATGCGCTCCGCAGTATATACTTCTGCAAAGGGTACCTAGCTATGAAGCGACTAGGCTACCGCAAGTCCCGCACGGGGTGCCTAAGATGCAAGGAGAGAAGAGTCAAGGTCGGACACAAGTCAGCACGGTAAATTTACTGAGCCGTTGGACTCGGTAGATCACTATCCGAAGGGCATCGCTGACAATTATTCAGTGCGACGAGAAACGACCTTGCTCAGCATGTGTCAGACATGAGGTCTTTTGCAGTCTTGGTGGCTCGCCTCGTAATGTTGCTACTGTGCAAACAGTGGAGCAGTCTTCTACCCGTCCGTCATCATCCAAACCGAGGTCCAGGCGTGCTGAGGCGAGTCATCTCTCTGAACATACATGTCTTTTATTTAAGCTAATAATTCTTCCAGCGCTCGCCTTATCGAGCAGACTCAAGCCCTGGTAGCAGTGTCTCACTAAAAACTCCCTATTCATCTGCAGAGCACTGGTCTAAAGTCAGCCGTGGCTTCCCGCCTCCAGGGAGAGGGCAAGAAGATGGGGCCTATCATGACCATGACGATCCATTCTTCTTTTTTGCCGCACTTTTCTCCAACCTCATACTAGGGGAAAGAGCCAGCTGGGCCTCTGACATGGAGCTGATGCACCACTACACTAGCATATCCTATGCCACACTCTCAAATGACGCTGACGTACAGAAGGTCTTGCAGCAAGAATTGCCACGTTTGGCCTTTCAACACAAATTCCTCTTGCATCAGCTACTGGCTTTCTCTGGCTATCATCTCGCATACCTGAATGAAGACAACCGCCATGCATTCTTTTCGCAAGCATCTCAGCATCAGAATAGTGCTATAGAGGGTTTACGGACGACACTTGCGAGCGCCCATATCTCCGAACACTGCCATGCGCTCTACGCAGCGTCTATGTTATTGACCATCTGCTCATTTGCCAGTTTCCCAAGCTACGATAGATTCGATGGCTCCTTGCACCCTGTCGACAACATCCTCGGTGTCTTTAGCCTTATCAAAGGAATGAACATGATACAGCTTGAGTCGGATGGTGAGATTAGGACGGGGCCACTTGCAACCTTCTTCGGTCGGATGCAGTGCGGAGGTCCCAATAGCAAAGATTCAGGCCTAGGGCTCATCTCTGCCCATGTCGAGCAGCTGGGTATTGCATTGGGACAAACCACATTTCTCGGGAGCGATGCTATTCACGACTCGTTCGGGACTCGGCAAGCAATAGCGTCCATTTCCAGTTCCATTGAGCATAGCATTAGCAGGCTTTCGGCCACGTCAACTGCCTCATTGCGAGCGTGTTTCCATTGGCCCATCCTTATTGGAACTGACTACATCGCATCGCTTCGCCAACGTCACCCAGCAGCCCTAGTTGTCTTGGCATTTTACTGCACTATGTTGCGAATGGCAGAAGGAAGCTGTTGGGCATTGGAAGGTTGGGCAGAGTCTTTGATGAAGTGTGTTTGCAACTCTTTGATGGGAAGTCACTGGGAAACGTTAATTGAATGGCCAAAACAAATCGTGATGGATGTTGACCGGGACATGGTCGTGAAAGAGTAAACAAGTTAACAGCTTCAATTGAAATACCTTGGACCGTTGGTGTAGCTCCGTGTTTCTGATCCCGAGCACTTCATAGCCTAATCAAAGAAGAGCCAGGTGGTACTCTAACTCGGCTAATATCGAGGCATGCCGCATGTGCCAATCTATTCTATTGGCTTGAGAGATCGCAAGTAGCATTCATTCCAGATGTTATCATAGAGCAGCCATCTTTTCCCTAAAGCCACATGTTTGTTAGGAGCTAGGTATGTAGACTGTCGCCGCCTTGATTTGCCATAAACTGTGTGGAGATGCTTTAGGTGGTGTAGGGCTGTGTAAGCTCTTATCCTTAATAACTTTCAACTATTTTTAGCATTCTTGCTCCGTCAAATTAAATACAAATCCGATAACGAAATGCTCCGCCTTTGCGGCTCATCAATCTTTTCACTGTCATGGCAATTTAATAAGGCCGAGAAACGTAAGCAAAATAAGAATGCGAAACTTTATTACGGCCTACTCTGATAACCTTATTTTCCAAATTATGTTAGCGCGACAGGGCGACGTCAGTTAAGCTCGTTCTCGCTTCTCCATGGCATTGGTCAAGCACTCTTGAAGCATATGCTATCTTTATATATAAAATGAGGATGCCTAAGACTAGAGGAGAAATACAATACACTTTATCCAAATTCATCTCGTCATCCATACGCATCAATCTTGGAAAATTCAAAAGGGCAATCAAATCACCAAACACCAGAAATGGCAGAAGGCAATACCCGCTATCACTATGACCCGTCCATGGCGGCGGCAGTCATTTTTATTGTTGCCTTCTCCCTCTCAGGTATCTACCACACATACCAGGTCCTACGACTCAGATCTTGGTATTTCATCCCATTCATTGTCGGCTCTATCGGTACCAATGCGCTCCCCTCCTCCATAAGCAGCCAAGACAACAAGCTAATGACTTGATCACGCAGTCGAGATCGTTGGGTACACAGGCAGAGCCGTGAACGCCTCCGAGCCCTCGGGAGAATGGACATCTGGGCCATATATTATCCAAGCTCTGTTCCTTCTCCTCGGTCCTCCTCTCTACGCCGCCTCTATCTACATGGTCCTCGGACGCCTCATTAGACTCCTCAAGGCCGACAGTTTCTCCGTGGTTAGGTTGAACTGGCTGACCAAGATCTTTCTATTTGGAGATATTGCTTCCATTGCTGCTCAAGGAATTGGTAGGCGACATACTTGACTTACATTAATCATTGGTTAACTAGTCCAGGTGGCGGCATGCTTGCTGGAGCTGAGAGCAAATCAGCAAGTGATAACGGCCAGATGATAATCATCATTGGTCTCTTTATCCAGCTTATCTTCTTCGGCATGTTTATTATTGTTACAGTCGTTTTTCACCGCCGAATCCATAACATACCTACTGTCGCCAGCCTTAAGACTCGAGCACCCTGGAAGAGGCTCCTTATAGTCCTCTATGTTTCCAGCGGCCTCATCATGATTCGGTCCATCTTTCGAGTTATTGAGTATATCATGGGTGAAGACGGTGAGCTCATGGCCAAGGAGGCTTATCTCTACATATTTGATGGTACCTTGATGCTCCTTGTTTCTCTACTATTCAATTGGTTCCATCCCTCTGCCACTATCAACAACGAGAATATGCATCGATTCAATAATGTGGACTTGGAAACCCAGCTTGATGCCTTGAACTGAGCAACAGCTGGTAACCTACACTGCGGCTTTATTCTTTGTCATTGTTCAGGGCTCGAGTCTCGTCTAGTCACCTAGACTGAAACTTAGCTACACTACGAAATATGGAGGATTGGCGGGATTTAGGGGCTATAGAGTAATAAATAGCAATTGTATTCTTTATTTCTTGCCCTTGCGCCCAAGAAATCATATAGGTTAGGTAAAGCCTATATACTACTATGATCTATGGCATTTTTTAGACGCCAGTTACATGCATGCTCTGAAGTCCTTATGAGATCTTTGGAAGATATTTCTCAGGTACACCAGTCTCTGAAACATTGACCCCATTGACAGTCTTTTCGGACGGCAACAGCACAAACACCAGACGAGCTGGCCTGTCTGTCAAGTTGTTCCACTGATGTAAGGTCTTGCAGATTCAATACGTCAGCGTCACTTCTTCAACAGGGCACAAAAGTACATCACTTACCGCCTGCTGCACAATGATATCGCCTGCACGAACAATAGTCTTGGATCCATCTGCCAAAACCATCTCTAGCTCCCCCTCAAACACAATTCCATAGTCAAGCGATGCCGTCCTATGGTTGTGCCCTGAGGAATTTGGCGGAAAGTCGACAACTCGAATTAGTGAGCCGGGTGTATAGATGACTGGGTCGGTGCCGACGGGATCTTTGTCAACGAGCTCAGCTGGGTACTTTTCGTTTCTCCAGATAGTGACGGCGTCGCTACCAAAGCCAGACGTGAGTCTGAGCGCTTCATCTGACAGGATGGCAGAGTTCTGGCCCTTGTGATGGGTGACAACCCTTCTCAGAGAACTACCAGCGTTGAGACCCATGGTTTGAGAAATTGAGGTTTTGTGAATAGTGCATGCAAACCTTGCTTATAAGAGGCCGGCTTATTAGTAGTATGGAATGCCAAAAAGCGAATGGTCAGGCGTTAAAGGCAACAATCCGTGTCACCGAGTGTGATCTACACGCCTCGTAACATCAAGATCCGGTGGCCGGCTCGCCCACACGGCCCCACAAGCTCAGTGTTCAGAAAGACCATTAGGAGGGTACTGTCGCCTCACGTTGCATAAGACTATTGAAGTGATATCCCGGGAAGATTTGAACAGGATGTTGTAGGCAAAGCGTTATATAATTAAGAAATCAAATGTCACAGGTAGCTTGCAAATATTAGAGAAGTTGATATGAAAGGGCAAATCTGTCTGTTCTTTTGCATCTGATCTTTCAGCGACCCTTCTGACACATATAAATATGTGGGGCTGGTGAACGTGTTTTAGAGACCAAGCCTGCTTATTCCGCGGCGGGAGAATTCCGCCACCACCATGACAATATTTTGGGCTAACTGGATTCATTGCGTTGACTAAGGGATTCGGGGAGCTCACCCTAGAGCAACGCGATTTATCTTTGCCTTCACACAATCACTTTACATGCATTTCTAAAGCCAAGATGAGGCTCTCTTATTATGTCTGACATTCAATGAGATTTGAGAAATTTATTTACTAATCGTACAGTGAGAACATTTCAGTCCGTTAGTCGAGGAACTACAGAACACGAATAAATGGTAAAGCGTATTCCGATCCAGAATTATCTGTATACAATCAATGATCAAAACCCCTCCTATATCAAGAGTGTCTGGCAAAATGTGAAATGCCTCGGTAAATACCAAATCCCGTGCCCGAAACAGCGATCAATGACAAGGCCAGTCCAACCAACAAGCCACGCTCGAAATAGCTCAGCCTTCCACCTTTTTGCTGCTGGATCCTACCGAGTTGCAAGCTATGAGACAGGAAGGGCCAAGCAGAGTTTACTACTGCTCCGATGGGATCAACGGGCTGGAGCGAATCCTGTAGGATAGGTTTGTTGACAGAAAAGTCTTCTCTGCGGTACAGCAAGCGACCCTCGACGAATGATGTCGAGGGAGCTACAGCGGCTGTATAAGTCAGTAATTAGCGGAATGCGCGAGCGTAAACACATCTTAGACCGTACCCAGTGACCATTGAGGGATGGCGTTGATAAACACTTGGAGGGTGTTTGTGAACATAGCGACGTAGGACGAGGCCTGGGACGAGGCAAAAATATACGTTGCCTGGGAAGGGTTATTTGCGTTTCTGATACTAATGTGTTAGTTCATAATCTTAGGCTATCTCGATCACTGCTGAGACATACATCTTGCCGAGAATATCGATGCCGTGGTCCAAACTTCGTATTGGGACTAGTAGAAGACCGTTATCACTGTTTGCGATCAATTCCGCAGCTTTTTGAACGTGTTCGGCTATATTGGCACTGATAAAGAGTCAATTATATAGCAGGTGTAAAATTCTTGCAGGAAAACATACTCGGCGTTATCTAACGTGATGACGGCAGGCAGACGACCGGATACATGTTTCGGCAGCTTCCGTTTCGAGGTTGGGAATATGGATGCTAGAAGCCTATCGAAAGCCTGGGCTTCGTCTCTGCCGTTGCTAAAGGACAGTGATGAGTCCGTACCGGACTCTGCACGTATGAGTTTGTCCAGGTGCGCGATGTGTATTTCGTCGACAAAAACCAGACGTGGCGTTCGCAAGGGGTTGTAGCGAGGTGCTCGTGGGCCAGAGGAAGCGAGGTGACTTGCGACGGCGTCTATATCTTCGACAGAGCGATCTACAAACGCAGATGGGATTCCAGAGGGTGGCGAGAGCGCCCTGATCAATGGGTTCGTCTTATGGAGAGACATGAAGAGAGTATCACGCAGAGACAAGTTCTGTAGGGCAGCAGCACCAAAGTGCTGTTTGCTTAGCTCTCGACGGATATCGGTCGAGTCACTCTCTGTTATGGCAAAGGCTTCGACGTCCAAGCTCTTGTTGATGAGGATGCGAAGCTCGGTATTGAGCTTATGTGACGCTGATGAGGCTAGCACAATTGCAGAGCTTCCGGCGGCAACAGCCGCAGCGAGCGGTGCAACCGTGCTAAGAAATGGCGATAAGGGAGAGGGATCGATTAGAACGGGGCCCAGAGCAATCAAATTGCTAGATGAACTGGCTCCCTTTTTGACGTGCTTCTCCTTGGCCAAGGTACTTGGAAAGTCTAGGTCATCATATAGATATTTGATCGAATCGAGGGCCAATTGGAGCTCATCAGCTGCGCTTGCTTTCGAGGTTTGAAGATCTGTCGCAACTTTGTCAGTCTACGAACGGTAACCAACCACAAAATGTGTACTAGGGCCACTCACCATCACATATGGCCTTGATCAGATTCGAAGAGGAACTCTTGATGTCGGCATGTAGTAAAGCAAGCTCTTTCTGTCGCTGTAACACATTTTCGAGTCGACCCTCCGCCCACGCTGCATTGACAGTGTGATATTGATCCAATGCAGAAGTCATGATTATTGTGCTAATGCCGTTCTTGTCAATAGAGCTCTTGACGACTTAATTGACAGGTGTTCAAGTCTTTTTCCAAGCCAAAATAAAGCAATTTTAGAAAATCTTTCGCCTACGCAACCTCAACGTGCCTCGGTAGAGTCATGACCGATACTTCCGTCCTCCGATACAGCGACTTCGGCTCGGCTCCACACGGGACCGAAGATTAGAGTAACATTGTAATATTGGGTGTCATCAATTCCGAACCTTTTCTCTATAGGCAATACATGCGAGGCCCAAGGTACGGAAGGATCGGAGATTCGGGCAAATATGAAAACAAATTATGCCTTTTAATCAGTCCCAAACGGCCACGACATAGTGATTCGCAAACAACAGTGAATCAACACCAGCAAGAACCGTCACAGTCAACATGGGTAGCATACCAGCAAAGAAAAAGAGTAAGTCTTATTCGAAGACCACAAAAAGTGCCATGAATCTAACAATGACATGTAAGAGCCGACTCCAGTCTTTCTATTTGCTCATGGATCTACCATGATGCTAGGAGAAGAGTCAGAGCCTGCTCGAATTTGGGAGAATATTGGTAATGAATGCCTACGGCGTGGAGTCAAGCGCATTGTCATGATGGTTCGTAGAACAAATTTGTACCACACGACGAGGCGATGGCAAGAGCTAATGATTGTTAGGGTGCTCACTGGGACTCTCCCTACGATACAGTCCGAGTGAGCATGAATCCCGACGCCAAGAAAGATCCTGTGGGCAGTGTCACAGAAGCTCGATACATGCCATACAAAATGGTGGCAGATCTTGAAGGAGGACAACGCGTCATCGACATGCTACGAGCGGCTGGAATCAAGGCCCAAGCTGATCCCAAGTTCGAATGGGTTCACGATACCTTCTTGATTGTCATTCGCATGTTTCCCCATTGTATCCCGCTACCTACAACGATCGTCTCGATGAACGCGCGATACGACCCGCACCTGCACACAAAGATCGGAGCTGCTTTACGGCCTTTGCGATACGAGGACACACTTATAATAGGTAGCGGCGGATCCGTACATAACTTGTATCGGAACCATTGGTATCAAATGCTCACCTATCGAGACAACTTTGCGCAGCCTGTACCACCTGGCGACTTTGCCCTCGAGTTCAGGCAGGCCTTGGAAGATGCCGTCACGCAGAACACTGGGCCTGCTTTACGAAGAGCTGTTACTAGGTTGATGAAACATCCGCGTTACAAGGAGGCTCATGGAACGGATGACCACTACATGGCCACTTTGTTTGCTGCTGGCGCGGCTGGCCACTATGAAGATCAAGGTCCTAATAAATTTCTGGGGGAGTGTTGGGAGCTCGTGAACATGTGTAACAGTCAGTATCAACTCGGCGACTGGGACGAGTCTTTATCGTAGGAGGACTGTACTGCAACCGAGCTTATAGAGCAATGACAAGAGCAGTGGTACCTATTGCAGACTGTAGAGTCACATTTGAGAGTGTAATAAAAATGTCAAATAATTGCATCGCATGAAACTTACCCCTTTCATAGTTATGTAGGAGTTGGAGTACGTTTTCTTTTTCCTATTTTGATCAAGGCTTTAAAGCGATGGAGGAAGAATCTTTAATAAAAGGCAATAAGAGTGCTTTATGGAGTCAAGTCGAACATATCTTTACCTCTGTCCAATGCAACGTCTTGGCTCAACCTGTACCTCGAAATTATGTGTACAATTTGAGACTAATAGATTATGAAAACGTTCTTTGCGGTCATACATGTAAATACACAATTACGGCTCTTCCAACAACCCCGGTCTTGACCGTGGTTTAACATTGATGTCTACCACTCTCCTCCCACCTTTGAGAGACCAATGTCCGTTAGTCGTCCAGCTGTGTTCCTCCACGCCTGTGCCCAAACCTGGAACAATAATTAGTGTCTTCACTAACAGGCAAATCTATGTGCATCTACCACTTACCGACATGAGCCAGCATCCTCTGACCATAATGCCGCCAACAATCGTAAACAAAAGCATTTGCCGTCTCTCATTGAGATCGAGATGTTGGTTGATAGGTCGATAGTCAGGAACACGCCTGAAAGTGTCGGTCCACCACCCTGGGTTCGATACTGGATATGGAACTGTGGGATGAGGAGCTAGAGAGGAGTCGAAATCGCTTGGTTGGGCCTCTCGAGGGATCCCGCCGGCGACTATCACGATGTTGCGATCGCTGCTCTGCTGTCCATCCGATGATGAAGGTTGATGCGATGAGTGATGGATCTTGTAATCATGCAACGCATCTTCGACAGAGGAATTTGTTCGGAGTCGTACATGGCTGCCGTGAGCGTTGGCTGTGGATGTTTGGGTAGTTGACATTGTGTGATGGCGATGTTTGTGACAATTCTGGGGTTGTTAATTTGATGAGGGAATGCGCGATGGTGAGTAAACTAAATCATCACCGCTAACGGAATTTACCTCTCCCAGAGTTCCGGACTCATCATCCAGAAATGGTGGTAGTCTGCAAAAGGCAAGGGTCTTCGTTTTGGGTTTCTTCCTTTCTTTGCGGCTTGTTCAGGGGAGTTGTCGGCTCGGGACCACATCACCCATGCCAGATATTACACACGAGTAATTACGGAGATAACTCCGGTATCACGCAAGCAAGTGCCCGATTGGTGACATGTAAAGCCACTCGGAAAATAAAACATAATAAAACTTTGATAATAAATGTGAACGCATGAATTCGTTTCAATGAGGCTCGTCGCATCTGAGTCATCAACACCGTATCATCTCAAGATCAGCAACTATGGCTGAGAACAAGTACCTGACAATCGACAAGGATAGCTTTCCTTATGTTTTTATCAAGAATGTCGACATACCACTGAAGACATATGAGAAGGGTCTTCTTCGAGCAAATGTCTTTCTGCCCAAAGATGCGGCTCCCTTTGGAGACAGGACATACCCTGTCATTGCCACGTATGGCCCTTGTACGTGGCATTCATCTCCAAGTTTATTGTGTGGCTTCTTACTAACATGACGGCGCAGACGGGAAAGATGTTCGCTATGAGGTATTCTATAAGAAAAGCTGGGAGCAGCTGAACCCTGATATGAAGTCCACGCATGCCGCATGGGAGACCCCTGATCCTGCTTATTGGACGAGCAAGGGTTACATTGTGGTGAGGGTTGATGAAAGAGGAGCTGGTCAAAGTCCTGGACTCCTTGATACTATGTCTCGAGGTACAAGTGAAGCCTTCTTTGATGTCATTGAGTGGGCTGCCGAGCAAGAGTGGTCATCAGGCAAGGTTGGTCTTCTCGGAATCAGCTACTATGCCGGCACTCAATGGAGAGTTGCTGCGAGAAAGCCGAAGGGCCTGGCTGCTATTATCCCATGGGAAGGTATGAGTGACTACTACCGGGATCGAGTAAGACACGGAGGTATTCTTTCAGACAGGTTCATTGGTAAGCTACCGATTCGAGTCCTACTCACCTAGCACTGCTGATAATCCTCGAATCTAGATTTCTGGTGGAACAACGGAGTTAGTCCAAATCAGTACGGCAAGCCTGGCCGCAGCGCCAGAAAATGGGGCGAGGATACTCTTGAAGGTGACCTTGACGAAGAGACCTTGCTGAAGAGTCGTCGAGATCAGACAGTAGACACTGCTGTACACAAGTTCCGCGACGAGGAATATTATCGTACTCGAGACTTTGATGTGGAGGCCATTGAGGTTCCGCTGCTTAGCGTAGCTAATTGGGTAAGTCTCACGATTTTGGAAAGGCTCAAATATCATTCTCACAAGGCTATTAGGGGGGCATCCTGCTTCATCTTCGAGGAAATGTCCTCGGTTGGATTCGTGCGAGCTCTAAGTACAAATTCCTTCACTTCATTGTTGGAAGACACGACCTGCCCTTTTATTACCCGGAGTCGGCTGAGGTACAACTATCTTTCTTCAACTCTTTTCTGAAGGATGATGATACGGATGGCTGGAAGTCTGGAAAGCAGCCACGGGTTCGTCTTACTTTGCGTAAGGGTGAGGCTGGCGTTGATGACCCTGAGCGCGAACGAGGTTTTCCCAGTAGAAATGAGGCAGATTGGCCATTACCTGGGACGAACTACACAAAGTTCTACCTTACCTCTGAAAACGCTTTGAGCACGAAGCCATCCTCGCCGCTCAGCACAGTCGAATATGATGCGCTGAATGGGTACGTGACATCTTCTGAGCACATCGTGAAGTCCAGGGCGCTAATATACTCACAGCGAGCCCATCAGGTTTGCATACAAGACCTCATCTGCTTTGGAAATCACTGGTCATATCGTCGCCCATTTAACTGTAGCTGCAACTCGAAAGTCAGCTGACGCCGCTCCCCCATCAGACATTGATCTGTTCATCACGCTTCGCAAGATCAATGCCAAGGGTGAGGAGGTCTTTTACACCGGCACCATGGGCGACCCTGTACCCATCGTGAAGGGTTGGCAGCGAGTTTCCTTACGTAAGGTGGATGAAAGCAACAAGTTGCACAAGGAATATCTGCCTTACCGCAACTACTACTCCGTGGACGTTCAGCCAGTTGAGGAAAACCAGAAATATGAAGTGGACGTTGAGGTCTGGCCTACAAACGTGGTACTTGAGCCTCAAGAGACATTGGTGCTGGAGATTGCTGGTCACGACACTCAGGGTGTAGGAAAGTTCTCCCACGAGCATCCGGATGATCGCGATCTGAAGGTTTTCGATGGAAAGAATAGTATTACTGTCGGCGGTGACGCTAGTTGGCTTATACTTCCTGTTATTGACTCTCAGAGGTAGATGAAACCATAGATAGTCAAGGTTTCTGATCAAACTGGACAAACATACTATCCCCTGGACTTCTAGCCGTCAAGATCTGTCCTTGTATGGGAGAGTCAACTCGAATACCTAGGTTCTGTGATGCTTTTGACTCGGGTTACTGGGATATCTAGCTGAATCTGATTCATATTCTTCAGAGGTCCTTGTTTACCACGAGGCACCCGGGTCCTCGTTATCTAAGTAAAAACTCCGATCTATAATGACCGACGGGCTTTGGTAAATTAGTTGGATATTATATCGATATCGGAATTTAAAGCGACTATTACCCCACAAGAAGCCGAATGCTGATACACTCCGAGTGGTGGATCCTAGCGGCCGAGTGAAATCCTTCCCGAGCCTGTGCGGGGAGTAGTAAGGGAGTTCGTAGAGATTTAAAAGGCTACAAAGTCGATTTGGGTTGTTTATATCTTCTGTCGCAAGAGCTCGAGCTTGATTTACTACCTCTGTCTTAATTCTACACATTGCTTCTAGCACGCGTCAACCTTGTCCAAGAGTTGATAATAATGATGATGCTGTCCCAGTCACTGTGGGGGTATTGCATTGCTGCGTGTACAGCTTTATTACTTTATTATGTAAGTACACTTGGTCAAAATCTCTTGCCCGCTGTATCTGTTTTATTGTGCTGACTATTGACAGGTTGTTGTGAAAGTGAAGACTGCCTTGTTTGGCCCTCTGTCCAAGATACCTGGACCTGTTATTGGACGGTGGACGAACCTAGTTGTCAAATACTACACCCTTTGTGGTCGGCGTATGCAGTACATAGATTCTCTCTTTACTCAATATGGTGAGTAACGTGCTGAACGATCACTACTCGGCCAATAGCTAACATGAAATGCATCGAGGTCCTGTTGTTCGTATCAGCCCAACAGACGTTGGAATCAACGACCCTGATGCTGTCAAAGTCATACAAAAGGTATCCGGTGGCTTCAAGAAGTCTGCTTGGTATGACAAGACTGGCCCCGGAATGCTTGGAATGAGAGATCGCGAAAAGCACGCTCGCCGCCGTCGGTTACTTGCACACCCGTTGAGCAACTCCTCTCTACCCGTTTTTGAGTCCTTGATCCGTGCCAAAGTAGACCTGGCAATGCGTCAGATGGAGAATGAGTACCGAAGCTTAGGATACACTGACTGCCATAAGTGGTTCAGCTTTATGGCCACCGATATCATTGGTGATCTGACATTTGGAAGCTCGTTCCGAATGCTTGAGCAAGGCAGAGTATGTGCAGAATCGCTCAAGTGTTACTGGTTACTGACGCCTGCCGTTTAGAGAAGTCAATACGTTGAGGACCTCCAGGCTGTGATGCCTACAGTCAACAAAAGGATCGAGCTCTCTCCATTCTTCGACCTGATGTTCTTGCTTCCACTGCCTCAGGTCAAGAAATTCTCAGAGAGGTTTCAGCGAATTCTTAAATATGGGGAAGAATCGATTCGCCGTCTACAGCTAGCTCAAGTGACAGGCTCACTCGACACACCAATATTCTTCGAGAAGATCATGAATCCAAAGAATAAAGAAAACGCTTTAACCGACCTTGAGATGCAACAAGAGGCAGCGGAACTCATGATCACAGGAACAGACACCACCTCAAACACACTGACATATCTAGTCTGGTCGGTTTTGGAGAATCCTGGAATACGGGCACGACTTGAAGAAGAAGTATCAATGCTCTCTGCAAACTTCAAAGATGCTGACCTTGTCAAACTTCCGTACTTGAACGCGGTGGTAAAGGAATCTTTGAGGCTGTATGGAGCTGCATCTGGGGCGCATCAAAGGGACGTTCCAAACGGCGGCTGGGAAACTTGTGGCTACATGATCCCGGACACCGCGACCGTTTCCACGCAAGCATTTTCCTTGCACCGACTTCCTCAAGTGTTTTCAAACCCCTACAAGTAAGAGCTAAGCTCGAAAACGTCCAAAGCAATATGGCTAAAATAGTTGTCAAGGTTTGACCCGGAGCGCTGGCTCAGCCCAACTGCTGAAATGCAAGATGCATATATTCCTTTTGGAGGGGGGCCTCGAAGTAAGATAACATCCACTCACAGCTATCACATTTTCTAAAATGGAATAGTATGCCTCGGCATTCACCTCGCTTATATGGAACTTCGAGTCACTACAGCGGTTTTGTTTCGCAAGTTTCGAGGAGCCCAGGTTCACGCATCTATGACTCAAGACGACATGGAGTTGGAAAACTACACCTTGATCGCCCCAAAGTCTCACAAGTGTCTGATTACCCTGTGATGACTGGGTAAAATGTCTTTACATTATCGGGGCACCCAGCCCCACTGATTTTCTGACACAGGTCCCTTGGTACGAGGGATTCGCCTTTGCTAGCATCAATATTTCCGCCTTAGGAAGTTTGGAGCTGGTGACTCAGGATGCCAATTGTTATGTTTGCCTCAGGCTTATATCACTCAACCCCACAATTGTGGAACGTGTTTTGCTTCCTTCTCTCCCTCTGGTTCTGATAACTCCGTAAACTACATTACAATATATCTCTCGCTGTATGCTGGCATGAATTGAAAGTCTTGCTACTTGCCAAGAAGCTTGTGGCCCAGTGTGAACCCATCAGCCCTGCCCACATTTTGTCCCAGATATTGTATGTATGTTCGGAATCAAGTCCAAAGTCGACCATGCTAAACGAGCGTAGAAGCCGCAATGGAGAATAACCTGCCGGAAGAAGCGCAGGCTTACCTTGGCGAAATCGTCAAGCGTCTCATCCAACATCTGAAAGACCAACTCGTCGGCGTGTACCTTTTCGGTTCGGCCAGCTATGACGCGTATGAGCCGGGTCTTAGCGACCTCGACATGCAGGCAATCGTCAAAAGTCCGCTCGAAACCGATGAAAAGCAGGCCATCATCTCTCGCTTGAGCCAGGATAGTTTGCCGTGCCCAGCCACTAAACTCGAGTTCGTCGTGTATGCTCAGAGCTCAGTCAAACCAGCCAGCCGCCACCCCGCCTTCGAACTCAATCTCAACACCGGGCCTCACCAATCCAATCATGTCAGCCTCGACCCCGCGAATGAGTCAAGCCACTGGTTCCTCCTCGACATTGCTATAGGGCGCCAACTTGGCCGCTGCTTGTACGGTGCTGCTATGACTGAGGCTTTTGGCGCCATTCCTCGCCGCTGGGTTCTTGAAGGGATGGCGGACTCGCTTGAATGGCACCAAGCAAATGAAGCAACTTCAACAAACAGCGTGCTGAACGCTTGCCGAAGCTGGCGATACATTGCCACAGGAGAGTTTTGCTCAAAGTTGGAAGGGGCCAACTGGGCTATGAAGCAGCACGATTGTCCAGCCATTGTCGAACGTGCCATTGCGGCTCGCAAAACAGGGGTTAAACTTGATGCTTCTCAAGTAATGGAACTCTATAAAATAGTCGTCGAGGTAAATTGCGATAAACTCAAGACCAAGGTTGATTGAGCACTCAGTTGTCTATTTGGAGCCAGTAGGCAGCATATTGAGAGACCGGCGCAGGACTTTCCAGGTCAGTGACTTGCCGTTCGTTGTCGATCATGAGTTGCTTGCAGATGGACTTGCGCAATTCTTAGAGTGCAGCTTACGCACCGGGCTAGACAGGCATGCTGTAGAGATGTTTGGAATGGCATTAATGTCTGAAACACCCACCTTGACCAAAGGAAGAACTCTCCAGATCTCTGCTAGGATCGAGTCAATAATGCAGCGGTATTTTCCGTTTGCAAGCATTAACCGCTCATATTGTCGGATGCAAGATGTTTGCTGCCCAGGTACCTGTATCTTTGATCGTAAATTATTCACACTCAACACGCCCGACGAAAACGTCGACTAGTGTATCCCACAACTGTCACATAAAGGACCTTTAGCCCTCTTCCCTGGTAAGGTTACTATAATCCTAACATTTATCTGACTCTAACTAAGAACATATAAAATTGGCAAGAAAGTCTGATAGAAATAGCTTGACGCTCTTAGCCCAACATCCTCTTGCGTTAAGTACAAAACATTATATATGTGATGCCAACTCCTTCTCAGTCCAGTCCCACAGCTTCTTTGCTAAGACTTTGTCCTTAGACAACTGACTCCCGTTTCCCGATAAACCGACGGGAACATAATACTCTCCGTTCTGAACTCCCTTGGCTGTGGCCGCCCACAGCTGAGACTTGGCCCCTTCTTCTACACTTACTCCAACGAGAGGAACAACAAGCCTTTGGAATGCACTGATCATCCAGCTCCCATCATTTGACTTCTGCAAGTCTGTCTTGACGGTCCCAGGATGGATCGACGCTGCAGTAAGCTTAGGGTGGTGTGCGGCGAGCTCTCTTATGAAGAGAATATTGGCCAGTTTACTTTGGCCATAGCGATCAGTGGTTGACATTCCGCTGGCAGTAGACTTGAGAGTGTCGAACTGAATGCCGCCTGAGGGGCCGAACTTGTGAGCAACCGAGCTTACGCTCACGACTCGCACATCGTTTCTGGGCGACGACAAGGCAGTGCGGGTCAGGAGTGGCAGAAGAAGTTTAGTCAGTAAGGCATGGCCCATATGATTTGTGCCAAACTGCACCTCATACCCCTCCTTAGTCTGGCCAGGTGGACAAGCCATGATACCAGCATTAAGCAAAAGGATATCAAGGCGTGAGACGGAATTGAGAAAAGTCTGAGCGGCTGATTTGATAGATGCAAAGGATGTCAGGTCCAGCTCGAGGAACCGAACATGAACTCTGAGACTCTGTTGCTTGATCTCGGCAATGGCTACCTCGGCCCTTTCTGCGCTGCGAGCAGCAATCCAGAGCTCTGAGGGCTGGTGTTTCGACAGAGCTAGGGCAGATTGTTTCCCAAGGCCGCCATTGCCACCTGTGATGAGGATGACTTTGCCCTCAAGAGATGGGATGTCTCTATCGGGATTGAAGGAATCGCCATTTCCCATGGTGAAGGAGTGATGTGTTGGTGTACTGAAGGAGTGAAAGATGAGAAGTTAGGCAAAGTATAAGGAACAAGGTATTGATAAGTGATGAAGCAATGAAGAAGAGGAGTGTAGGCTTTTTGTGAGGGTTCTCATGGGCATCTCTCCACTCTTATATAGAGCAAGAATCACCAGGATATGGGAACCATGCCATTGCCACCGGCCGAAACCTTACTCACTTGACAATGAGAGTGTAGTGGAGCTGCGGAGTCGAGCTCATTGACAACCGATAACTCCGCAACCAAAGCAAGGCTCCTTAGACGGTTGATAATGCTCTTTACAAGATCACGACTAAACACGGACACAGTGAAGCTGTTTGCCCAATCATGTCAAGACATACGCGAATGAACCAATGATGACACCCGCCAATCAGATCGATACCACTAACCTGATCCGGTTCGATTGAATCTGTCTGGCTAAGGTGGAGAGGTAATACCTCTGCCAATCATATAGAACAACAGCCGAACTAGCCAACCATCTTCGCTACATAAGCGGGGCGTTAACCCTGCTGTTTACGCTCGGTAGTTGGTTCGCATGGGGCGGTCGGTAGAACAGATTTCGCGTGATCCTATCTCGTCGCTCTCACTCCTCCTGAACGCGTCACCCCATCCATCAGCGTTGCCTCAAGAGACGATTTCCGCTAAAAACGAGGCAGCTATGAATGCGACGGAACCCGTCAGGGCTTCCAGAGGCGGCAAGAAACCCACAAGGTCAAAATCGGGGTGTCGGACCTGCAAGTAAGTTAGCAAGCTGCAACCTGGCGCCTGGAGCTGATGTCCTCTGCTCTAGGATTCGACGTATCAAATGCGACGAGGGACGCCCTGGTTGTCTACGCTGCTCTAGCACAGGTCGCGTCTGTGACGGATATGGCATTTGGGATTCGAAACTTCGTCTTCCTTCAACAACTGGTAGCCTCTATCAGCCCATTTCCCCTTCATGTTTATTCTCCCGGAATAAAAGTACACTGTCATCCTTCGCTTGGTTTACAACTCGGGCAAGGAAGAAGATCCCCGGTATTTTTGCGTCTGACTTCTGGAATACGCTCATTCTTCAAGTCAGCGCCCAGGAGACCGCAGTTCTACACTCTCTGGTGGCACTGGCCTCCGCCCATAAGCGGGGGATGCTCTCACCCCACGACGGGCTTTCGGAGTCTGGTGTGCCTGACAACGAGAGCTTTATGTTGCAGCATTACAATGCGGCGATTATGCAGCTCCGGCACCACCTGACTGTCGGGGATAAGAAATCAGTCCGAGTCGTGGCCATCTCATGTTTGATCTTCATCTGCCTTGAGTTTCTGCGTGGAAATATGAAGACAGGCGCCAACCACCTTCAGAATGGCCTGAATTTGCTGCCCCTTCTCAACTCGCAGTCGGACGTCGAGAAAGGTACTCTTGTGCTCAAGGCCCATAACGAGTCGGTGGAAGATGCTGTCACAGAAGCATTCCTCCGCTTGTACGTCTATTCGGCCAGCTTCCATCGATTTCCCCAGAAGCTGTCCATTCTTGCACAGGATTCTGCATTTGACCGTCAAACTCATGCTTTTGCTACGATAGGGGTAGCAAGGCAGCACCTCGATGAACTTGTCAATAGGGTCTACCGACTTGAATCGGACGTTCGCCACTTACAGACCATTCGTCATCCGATCACGAATACAATGTTGCAAGAGCAGCGACACATCCAGAAAGACCTAGACTGCTGGCTAAGGCTCTATAAACACTCCTATGCCAAGCTTGTAAACGACAGTTCTGCGGAATCACTACCGCTTACACTTCTCCATATCCACCATACTATGGCAAACGTAATGGCTGGGACCTGTCTCACACCGGCCGACGAACTTAGTTACGACCTGTTCAACTCAAGTTTTGCCTCCATTGTCATCCTTGCCCAGCATCTCTTGGGGGCTGCCGCATCCGTCATGGCCGCAGATATCTCATCTGGAGCCTGCACTGAGAAATTTAGCTTCAGTGCGGACATGGGCATAATACTGCCTCTATATTACATAATCCTGAAATCTCGATGTCCAAAGATTCGACGACGTGCTCTGAAGCTGCTCATTCCCGTGTCACACCAGGAGGGCATATGGAACGGACCCTTGGCTTCATCAATTGCTTGCAGAGTGATTGAGATTGAGGAGGGGGGTTTCTACAGATGCTCTCCCTTCGAAGAGTGGCCTCTGAACACTTGCAAGGACGCCCCTATTCCAACATTACCGGAGTCACATAGAATCAGCGATGTGTACATGGAACCATTTGATAACTCTACTAAAGACATTACGTGGGTTTATAAAAGGATGCAGGGAAATGGAGACTGTTTAACATTCCAGGAAAGTGTTAGATATCATGATATAGGCCGTTCCATGCTATCCGCAACTGGCTGGTTTTAACAGTTTATTTATGAGGATATAACTTTATAACTCTTTAAAGTAGAATAGGGCTATTTAAAAAGGATAAAAGTACTTAAGGAAATATAATATGCGCATTAAAGTGTACATGCTAGTTAGCAGCTCTTAAAAGCGTCTTTTTTGTAATTTTAAGTTTTATAGAGGTATTATGCTAACCTAAGCTATATATTCAGATACATTATAGAGAGACTTGCACAGTCGACGAGGTTAGCTTATTAAATGTGGTCCATGAAACCCCTTGTATGTCGAGGTCAGGCGCGCGATACAACATTAGCTGTTAGGTCTATCAACTCAAAACAACACTCTCAAAAACACACTTCAGACAGTATACCAACTACCCACAACATTGCCTCATTATATGTCAAAACGTCGCCTTGCTGACGTTACAAGTCCTCCATTGCTGGATGGCTAAATTGCTCGACAATCGGTCGGATCAGTTTAGGAAACAACCCTTTTCCCCTCTCCACCGACAAACCAATAATTCCCGCTCCGAGGGCATTGATAGTAGATTGAGATGTTGAGCAGTCGACCAGTGTCAACTTCTCAATATTACCGGGCAAGAAGTCGACAAGAGACCTCTCATTTGGAATTCCGACGCCAGACCTAGGATAGATGAGGTTCGTGGTTATGTAGAGATCCTTCAGCTTAGTAAACTTCTTTAGAGTTCTCCTTGTGGGCCCGAAGAGAGTGGTGTGAGCCCGAAAGTTTAGGTGGAGAAATTGAAGACTCGTGTGGAAGCTGGCAAGATGGCCGAAGCAGGGGCGTGACAGAGTAGGATAGTTCTTAACCTCTCCCATCTCAAATCGAAAAGACCGCAGAGGTTGTCTGTAAGAGGTGAGTAACTTCACCAGATCACGGGTATCCAGTCTGTAGGGAGTGGCTCCTTTTGTTTGACTTCTTGACCTGCTATCCAGTCCAGTATCGTCCCAGGACTTGGGACGTGTCTCACCCGCCAACGGGATCCGATCATCCTCTCATCCAGATTCGGCGCCACGTCCACAATTGCATGGGGGAGGTGAGTTGCATATAGCGTCCTAAGTTTGATACTGCTGATACCAAATACTCTGAAAGCGGATGGCGGAAGAAACCTGTCAAAAGGGTCTCCATCGGCCATAAGGGTGGTTAGGTTGGGTAGTAAAGCGAGGAGCAGAACAAGAATCTCGGCGCAGGCAACTTTCTCCAGCCTCCGATCATAGGGAATGGTTTCAACATCGCTTCCAAACAGAAACGCTTGCAACAGTGCGAAGGAATGACTCTAGGCGCCTCTCTCTAAGCTAAAGACTGGGAACTCATAATACAGGACAGGTTGAGCGACGTCCCGGAACCGACGTTTCGCTGGTCTTGGCTCTGCTAACCTACAGCCTCATTTTGAACTGATGGGCGGGAATTATTCTGGAGGCTGGAGGGTGGACCAATAATAAAGAACAGGCTCATTTAATGAGATGCCAGGGGTTTTGAGTAGCTGAGCTGGCTCTTTGGTATGATTGGCTGGCCTATCTCCTCATGTGACAAATCATATTCACATGGGACTGCGTGGATAAATGTATATGTGATGCCAGCCTCACTGTCAAATACCTGGTCATGCCCCGCTTTGTCATAACCTATCTTAATCTACCTAATTCCTGACTTTGAATACAACATCAGCCAGCGGAATTGCTGCTGGCTTTGACTGAACTGCAATCATGGCCAGTGCAGCAGCAGCGGCCGCTCCACTGAGCCCAGAGATTCGACTTGCCCAAGCAGTCTCAGAACTTTTGGCAGATCTGTCCGATGAACAAAGACGTTCTTTCAGAACACAGCAAGATAATTTCTCACCCCCGAAGATCACAGATGTCATGAGAGTCGTAGCCGAAATCGATAGGGTTGCAGCAGGAAAGCAGAAGGCCCGGCTACGGGCTTTTGGACCCCGAATGACCAACTTTTTGCAAGCTGTGCAGGAGTTCGCCTCTCTTGGAGACGACGTGCTTGGCGCATCTGTGTCATTGCTTTCTGGCAGTGTCTGGTTGATTGCACGCCTGACTTTCATGGTATGTTCCTTCTACAAGATGTCTGTACAGACCTGATCATATCTATAGATGCTTGCGGAGAAGCCTCGCTGGCTGGAGAAGGCATCGAAAATGCTTATGAGCGCTGGCCGCTCCGCACCCCGTCGCATGGAAATAAGCTTGTTTTACGCACAGTCTAAGCAACTTCAATCGTGTCTTCATGAATACTTCGTCGTCGTTGTCCATACATGCCACTACCTAGTCAAGTCGCTACAAAGCTCGGTCTTTGTAGAAGCTATATCCTTCTCCACAGACTCTAAACTGAAAGGTTACGAGTCAGATCTCGAGCGGTGGACAGCTTCGATCAAGGAGGAACTGGGTTATCTCCAAGGCCAACCAGCTCCCCCACAAATCGGCGCCTTTGCGAACATCCTTACTAATTCTGGCAAATCTAAGTCGCAGCCAAAGAAACTCGCTCACAATCCTGAAGTCCTCGAAAGACATTTAACATACGACTACTTGACCGCATGGAAGAGGATACGAAAGTCTGGAAGCACTGGCTTTTTCACTCTTCTCCCTAAGTACCAAAGTTTCATTAACTGCAATGACTCTTCTACACTTCTCTACTCAGGCAAGGCAGGAGCAGGAAAGTCGGTCATACTCGCCAACATGGTCGATGATCTGGTTCAGAGACAATCTGGAAATGCTCAAATCGCCTTTTTCTTTTGTCGTTGGTATGATCTTGATTCCCTACAGGCCCTTACTATTCTTCACTGCTTATATCGACAACTTCTGAAGAACGTTCAAGATGGGATCCAGTTTCCCGAAGACCTACATATCAATTCATTTGATACCATAGTGATAACTAACTTATTACGCGATGCGCTGAAACCCAACAAGAAGACATATATAGTCCTTGATGGGCTTGATGAATGTCAAGAAACAGAGCGAAGTAAGGTAATTGAGGTGCTTCAAAGTCTTCAAACCCACTCATCTCTCTCAATTTGTCTCTCGTCAAGACCAGGAGTCTTGAGTCGCGTCGGATGGGCCGACATTGACTCGATCGAAATTACAGCCGACAATCCCGATATCTCATCATATGTTGACTTGGAAATATCACGGCGGTTTAAGTACGGGGAGTTGGTGGTTGGAGATCCTGCTCTAGGCCTTGAAATCAGATCTGCCTTGATCACAGCTGCGAATGGGAACTTCCTCTGGGTAAAAAGACAAATAGAGTTGCTATGTGAACAAAATACGGATTACGATATACGTCAAGTACTTGCCGACATTCTAGAAAGTTCCTCTAACGCTATAGATACTGAGGTGTTGCAAAGCATATTGCCCACTTCCACTGCACCAGTTGCGCCTTCAGCTTTCACGGACTCAGCATATGCGTCCGCATCCTTCGCGGATAGGAGCATCAAGAACACACACGATAGCCCGGCAATTGAGGAATTATCACGCGGTCTAGATGGCCATGCTGTCGACGACTCAGCCACTGAATACTCCGATGCATCAAGCACCACGTTCTCCAGGAAGCGGCTATACATATCAGAGTTAGCAGCAGACCTATACAATAGAGTCAGCTCTGCTTCTTTTGACGGGGGTGAAAAGCCTCAAGTGAATATATCTGCTACATTGCCTAGCCTGCTCAAGGCCTTCGCTTTGAAAATCGGGTATGGTGCAACCAGTCAGATGCACCGAGATGTGATGGCCTTTGTTCACAAGCACAGAAGGTCAGCAACGTTCTATCTAAATATTTTCCTTCCAGTCTGTAGAGTTAGCCAAGCCTCCATGGAGAGCTAGGACTTGAAAGTTGTGGCTAATGACCGAACGAGCTTGCTAACATATAGTAGCGATATTACCGCCGCCTTTTTGGACATCTGTCTTAGCCAGAGTGAGGTCGAGCCTGGAGAGGCCAGAGACCAGTCAGGCTCTATGAGTCTACAAGAGCGTATGGATCTCTGGGAGAAAAATGAAGATATGGAGCGAACGTCAGTTGAAGAGGGCTTGGAAAGCCTTGAAATATTGGAGCAGGAGGAGGAGGAGGATATATATGGAGATGCTGAAATTTGGGTTGCGGCGTACCGAGAATTCGCGCCTAATACCGAAGCTTACTCATGGCTACTGACCCAACTCCAAAGAGATATGAATTCTGCCCCAACAGAACCAACTACGATTCAGCTTATCCGAGATCAGGTATTATCCTCACTTCCATCGCCTCATAGGATCAGCAGAAGCATATCGTCTGAGAGTTGTAGCGTGTTGTTTGAGGTTGACTGGGATATTCTTGAATTCTATGACTCACAAGGGTACTCCAAGCCACCAGACGAAGTACTCCATGCAGTCATCACTCTGACTGGATCTTCCTGTGATGCACAAGCTTCGAGCTGTGCTCAATTTTTGGAGCAGACCTGGCCTGTCACGGGGAACCTGATGCTGCAGCTTATACGCGACCTACTGAAGCTACCTCCAGGTCATACACAGTTATGTAAGATACAGTTTCACATTCGACATTCCTTTGCAATAGAGATATCTAACACATCCAAAGGCCGGCTACCAGATGGTACAGAACTGACTGGCTGCATAATGGAGTCAAAAGTTATGGTACAAGCAGATGGGTCGGCGGCTTCCATCTCTGAGGCTGGAGAGCAGCTTGCTTGGCTGGGGGCTGCTTTAAGAAGTTCGCCACTTCAAAAAGGGCTCACTTACTGCACTCCTTCTATCAGATCCATATACCAGAGACGTGAAATGCCACAAACTTCGCTTCTCCAACCTAATGTCGTCTGTGAAATCGGATTCAATGTGGAACCACTCCCGCAGCCATTAGATATTCCTAACGGTCATTGCTGGCATGGGATCTTCAAGAACCCCATAATCGTGAAGGGGTTTCCCATTCTGACGAAACATGAGAAGAATACCGGTCTTGAGATACCTCTCAACATCATGGCAGGCTTAGCTCGAGCTCAGTGTGTTGACCGATTCAACGACAAGGTTTACATAAAGGGCTTCTCGACAATGCTGGTGCCCATGAAACAATACAAAAATGCGGTCTACTGGCACTTGATCCATAAAGAAGACGGCAGCCGTATATCGTATCTGGATGACAATCGGCATCGGGACGACGAGGCTGGGTCCTTAGATCTCACAAATTGTCGACACATTCTCGGGTGGTGTTCTGAGGCCAAGTTCTATGCTGGTGAGACTGTTCAAATCGGACTGACCTAATGATATCGCTGACGAATGAGCTCTATAGGATCGGCTCAAGCACAGTACCATATTAGACATTCAGAGCTTCCTAAGCCACACTCGCAATGTGCTCTTGCTGGCACCATCATAACTTTAGGAATAATGATTACAGGAGGCCCCAGCTTCGAACTCGGTATCAAGGACACCCCAGTACATGTGGCTCGTCATGGATATATCCCGAGACTCAAATGGATCTCGTCAAAATTCTTTCTTCTTTGGGACGAGAATGACAAACGTGGGTGGCTAACCAACGGCACGAGCGCTTTGTTACATGTTGTGAGAGCGGCTTTAGCATACGACAGCACTGACAAATTCCAATCGGCCTTTATGTTCAAGACTGATGATTTACAAGAGTCGCCCAAGCCGTTCACAGTCGATTCAGCAATTGATGTACTTATCAACCCCAAAAACTTGGCTCTTAAGCTCTATCCAGAAAAGGACGGCTTTATCGTCTTGGCAGACAGAATCGATCAATACTACAATCTGCTGGAAAAGATGCTCGATCACCAGACAGACATCACCAGGCGCAACAGCGGGAAGCTCGAGAAAACGCCACGAAAGTACCTCGAGGGATGGGATTTCGAGGACTTGAGCGCGAACCGTGATCCCTTACATCCACGCTTAGTCACCCTTGAGCCTGCTGGGAAGGGATGGGTTGATTTGACGAGGTCTCTTCAGGCCGTAACATTGACAGGGCGCGGCTTTGGGGAACTTGTCCGGCCAGTTGGCCCGGCTCTTTGTGAGTACTGGGCTAATCTACCAAGTCATCGGTACCTCCTTGCATGTTGCGTTTCGGATATGGAGAACATCGTTAGAGACCATCGCAGTTCTAGCGATAACTACGCTCGGCTAAGTGACGATCTCATATGGCATAACGCGATGAACATCTCAGGAAAATGCCAATGTGGCTGTGTTGCTGCACATCATGGAGAGCCAGTCCATGTACTTTTCCCATCTACGCTATCTCACAAGCTATGTACCAGCAAGAGCCCCACGAATATCACAGATAGTGGTGCTGTTGTTTTTGGACACAACTCGGGCTTTCCTTGGACCTGGGGAGATACTGGTCCTCCTACGCAACAACAACTAGAAGAGGGGTTAACTGTAAGCCATCTATCAGACGGGACAGATAAAGACAGTGGAGTTGGTGCAAGTTTGGTGACCTCCCCATCTGAGGATCCTATCTCGTCAATACCAAGCTCGAGAATATCACGTCCACCATCGCCACTGAGGAGGTTATCTGAGACCAGAGCTATGCCATTGAGCGCAGGCAAGAATTATACACGAAGCCAATATACGGTCGGTATCCTGTGCGCATTACCGATCGAGCTGAAGGCAATACGAGCCCTTTTCGATCAAAGACACCAGAATGTAACAAGAGTGCCCGGTGATAACAATCAGTATGCACTTGGGGAGATGGCGCAGCATATGGTGGTAGCCACATCTCTTCCAGCTGGAGAATATGGAACAAACGCAGCTGCGTCAGTTATATCAGACATGATGCGCAGCTTCCTATCTATACAGTTCTGTCTACTCGTTGGCATCGCTGGTGGTGCACCCTCGGAGGATAGTGACATCCGACTTGGCGACGTTGTTGTTAGTTTACCTACCAGCACGTTCCCTGGTGTGATTCAGTACGATCTCGGGAAGGAGCATGAGGGAGGTGACTTTGAGGTGACAGGCGTATTGCAACGACCGCCTCGCATCTTGACTAATGCCATCAGCAAGCTCCGTTCAGATCCAGAAATCGGGCTCGACGCACTGAGCCCATATCTTACAACAATCGTCGAGTCACTACCAGCTTATGGCAACCCAGGTCAAGAGCTCGACGTACTCTTCCGCGCTGCTTGTGCTCGCAGGAGTTGCAAGTCTGACTGCTCCCATCTTGAGCAACGCCTCCCACGGTTGACGACGGAGCCTAGGATTCACTATGGGCTTGTAGCATCAGGCAACCGCGTGGTTAAAGATGCGACTTTACGTGATCGGCTGTCACGAAAGTATGGGGTTTTATGCTTCGAGATGGAGGCTGCTGGCGTAATGAATAGGGCAGATTGCCTTGTGATACGAGGAATATGCGACTACAGCGATGCTCAGAAGAACAAGATCTGGCAGAACTATGCTGCTGCTGTAGCCGCAGCATACACTAAGCTTTTGCTTAGTGCGGTAGCGGTTGTAAACGTCCTTTCCGGTAACTATGTGGAAACAGATGGTGAGCCTGCGTATAAGAGGCGAAAGATCGACATTGACAATGATGGATGGGATTAGACAGCGTATCAATGCTGACTCCCAGTTGGAAGGCCGTGGACAAATGACAGGTATAGAATTGATTAAGAGTGTGATGGTGATTAACTGGAGGCGAAAGGACCGACATTTCGTCCCGGGGGTCTGGGTGATATCTTAGTACAAGAGCAGGCGACGTAGCGACCACTATAGATGCAAGTCGACTGAGCACCAGGATCTTAGCTGAATAGGGGAAAGTTCCTTTGAGAAGCGGCCGTTGGAGAAATTGCAGAGTGTTATTGAGTAACATCAAAAGAGGGTTTGCCATATCGAGAAGATGATGATGTGCAACCTTTTCTTTCGTGGGAAACCCCAAATCCTGGACCGTAAACAGGATCTGCAGATCTCAAGATATTCACTGAAATTTGAAGTTCTCCACAAGACTCATTATGCGCATTGGCAGCCAACAACTGTCACGATTTGATCAATGAGTCACTGTTTATAGGGTAACGTAAGTGACAAGCGTACTCCCAGAAGGTTTGTTCATGTATTGTGACACCAAGGCAACAGTCTGTTACTAGCCCAGAGACACTTAATCACCCACCCAGTTTAACTATAAAAGTCACCGAACTCAACTCTTTCTCCTTTTCAACTTTACCAAACACAAAACACCACAAAACACAACAACTCACCTAAATATACCCCAACGGAATCAATCAAGCTATATATTATCAAAATGTCTTACCCGTACATTGGATACTTCCGCTTCGAGCAGAAGGCCGGCGTCTCATACGAGAGACCATCATTCAAGCCGGTTGAGGATGCTTTCGGCTCCCGCTTCAAATCTGCTTCAATCAGTGGTTCTACAATGACTGTGGAAATTCTCGTGGCCATCAAGGATTGGGCACCAACACGGAACGAGCTGTATGATGTCTTGGAGGGGATGAAAATGAATACTTCTTTCTTTCCCTCTGACAATATGGTTTTTGAGACAAGCGGAGACAGGTTTGTCGAGCATTGGCACAATGGCAGTGGTAGGATGCAAATTTGTACCGATTGTAGTAAGAGTCGTTACTGCACGAACCGCAAGTGAGGTGGGAAAGCCTGACAGGCGAAAGATCAGTTTGGGCGAGGAAATTGACTACACTAGGATTGCTTCTACCATAGTGTAGTATAAAATACAACTCTGGTTCATTGCCAGAGACGAGAATAACAAACATGCTTCCAGGTGATATTAAGACGTAGCTTTCAATAAAATCTGATGGTCAGAGTAAGAGTTCAAACACCTCTCTTTTGGCCAAAAGAAGCACCCAGCCAGCAATATCAAGCTTAAAACAGAGCCAGACTTTGCAGGCCTTCTGAAGCAAATGTAAATAAATAAATTAACATATGGTGAGCTGCTTCTGGTCCATCTGTGTGAAATAAAGCCGAGAGAATTGCAAGCGATCAGTGACATGTCTCGACCGTGATTAGATCACTTGTTTTGCATGCCAAATCACATACCCAGGTAACGTCGCGCAACAGAGCACTTTCCTATAATTGAGTCACTAATATTACTACCACATGACAATCATTAACATGTAAATCACTGGCTAATCACTGGTGAATTGGCTCAATTAAAGATTGAGTCAGAACGGAGATTTGGGTATATAAACATCCCACCAAGCTCCAATCTTTCCCCCTTCTAATTTCACTACAAACTCACCGTCCAGTAAAGCATATTCACTTGCAACAAGCCCCAAATATAGATAACTCAATACCAAAATGGGTCATCCATTTGTACATTTTCGATTCGAGCAAAAACCAAGTGCAAAAGGAAAGAGATCATCTGTAGAAGATGTATATGACCAGGAAGCGCTGTAAGACTTTCTCGACGGCGACGATAAGGTGCAGTTCAAGATAGCTTGCTTCTACGACCCAATTTTCGCAATCACGATGTGGAGGTTCGGAGACATCAATGTTGAGCAAACAACGAAGAACTTGTTGAAATTCTTGGAGGGCTCCGGGTTTCTTGAGGATTTTGCACCGCTTACCGTGGAGACCAAGGATCAAAATGGAGAAGAAACAGCTGTGGATCTGCGGACAGGTAAATCTATCGAGAAAGGTGAAGAATTGCCTGGATTGATGGCGAACGAAGGTCGCTAGGGAAACCTCATAGGAGTAAGGTTAATGTTACTCCATGGAGGCAGAAGAATAGTTACAGAGCAGCCATCGCGGTATGAGAATACAACGAAGCAGATTTGACAATAGGCATAACTAGGCCCTGATATCTAAGGAATAAGTCAAACCAGTTGGCTCATCTGACTTTGATCATCGTGCTATTGCTACCTGCTAGTCGCCCAGGCCTATTCATGTGGGCTTGCAATTCTCAAGTTGATTTGAATGGAAACTAGTAATCCGGCAGCCAAGCCAGCTTTGGAACAAAACCTGACATTTTCGTATACTCTTCTTCATCAATCTCTTTGCCCGTCTCCAAGTCTGTCACAGTAATCTTCAGCACATCGCTCTTTGAAAGGCGATCCTTGAACTTTCCAGCTGGAAGAACCCTTGTTGCGGTTGGCTTGCGGCATCGACTTGTGTTTGGCGGCCCTGACCCATCCTTTCCAGGACCCATGCCTAGTCGTGTCACCTGCCCGATAAAGTCGGGGTTACCGACTGCATCAGGGATAGTTGAGTTTGCCCCAGCTGTGAACACGTCGATTTGGTAACTGGATGTTGTGCAGCCAACTTCAGTGAAGATGACGTAGGGGATGAGCTCTCTCTTATCAGTGCTTTTGGTAGAGTTGGTGACGATGCTATCTTCATTATGGCCTGGTAAGCCAATAGGTAGAACTATAGCTTTGCCTCCACTTGGGACAGCACGACGAATGCCCTTTTCTTCAGCAGTCTTGCGAGTGTAGAAGTCAGGGCTTGCGGGTTCACCGTACATGTAACCAAGTGCGCGTGTGTCCTTTGCCATATCACCAATAGTAGTATAGCGCCAACGCCGAGGATCATCATAGTCAATATCGGTGCCGTTGTTAATGAAGGGCTGTAGAGGGAAGCGAGAGGTGAACTGATTATCCGGGTTGGCATCCATAAAAATACCAGTTAGGCGGTCCATGTTTGCGTGGTACGATAGGAAGATAGGGTCGAAAGCAGTGTAAGTGTTATCGGCCTGATGTAGTTTCAGTAAAGTACTCAGAATTCTAGTAAGGATATGACGCACCATATCCGGGCCTACCCAGCCGTGGAAGTTATCATGCACCTGCTCAAACAAACCATCAAAGTCGAAACGAAAAGGATAGTCTCCATCTGGTTGGTCATCACTGAAGTTTGTAATGTTAGCCCAAGGTACGCCGAAGTGTTGAGCCGACTCTGATGTTGTATATGTTGACTGCTGAAGGGCATGAGATATCTGCTCATGATACTTCTTGAAAAGTCCAATCTTCTCTCTCCATCCAGGAGAAGATGGGCCTTCAGTCAAGATTGAGTTCCTAGTCACAGTAGTGTTAGGTGCTTGCTTTGACTTGCCGCCTAGTGCTAACGCAAATCGAAGGGGATTCGGTCTCGTTTCGCCTGACGGATGCTCATATGTCTCTTCGAGAAAAATAGGGGGGATGCCTGCGAACTCCGAGGTTGCACAAGAAGCTTGCTTTGCATATCCATTCCAGTAAGGAATTCCATAGTCGATCAACTCTTCAACGTATCTAAGATATGCTCGATGCCATAGAAAAGTAGCTTCTTGGTAGTGAAGACACCAGTATGCATCTGCAATGATGTATAAGCTCGCTTTCCAAGACAATCGCAGTGAAGAAGTCGGTCCAACTCACGAAGAACGCCAAGTTCCTGCCATTTGGAATCTAGTTCTCTAACACGGAGAATGTCATCCAGCTTAGACTGATAGATCACAAGCTCCTCTCGACTCATGCTCATGATATCCTTTCTCACCCGGTAGAAGATAGGAGGGTCATTGGGCTCCGGAATGACTGGCTCCAGGACTTGTGTATGTACGGCATTTACATCCTTCGGAAAACCATTGTTTGCCCAGTTCCGAAACACCTCGAGGGCGTCTTCAGGCCAGTACTGGTCCGGGTTCCGAGTGACCGGCATCGCCTTGGAGCGGAGATGCTTGTATATACCAACTGCTCTTTTCTTGACATCGTCGTAATTAGAAAGTTTCCATCCGCCCCATTTTTGCATCTCGTCGATCCATGTTTGGCCTACTCCTTCTGGGTCATCGGCGACCCAGTAAGGCGCTTTGATCATTGGCAGGACGTTATCTTCCCAGTTGCAGATCTTATGGCTCTCCATCTTGATAAAAAGTAAAGAATTGTAAGTGATACTACTGTGAGCTAATTATCATACATATCTCAGGCCATGATAGTATGAGCAAAGTTGGGATTCAGGAAATTGTAAAGTTATGTGGAATGTGATGTTTAGGCATGAATCTTGGCGTCTCTGTCGCCCCTCCTTTATCCAAGGTAACTAGGTATAGATAGGACCTCACTAGCTGGTCTAGAATAGCTAGTGTGCAGGAAGGTGGCGAGCTGAAATCTTGTCTCAGTACCCCTCATTCTGCATCATGCATCCCAAGTCACGAATGTGACTCCGGCAGCGCCAAGAGTATTTTGGAGTCTAGACCTCCAGTGTCGTAATATCTAGCTTGTTTGTGGAAGTATTAACCTGGCTTGTGAAAGGGATAAAGCTTACTGCATACAAGACATGCATTGGCTGAAAACCAGGAGAGTAAAGAGGAGCAAGGCAAAATCCTGGCTATTGCGTTTAGCAATCATATTGATACCACTAACCGAGGCAAACCTCGTCGGTACAAGACACTGAAATCGCTTAGGAATGCCGGCAATCAACAATATCGATGAGTCATTGCATCGGATAGGTTCATGTTGCAGCGGAGAGGTAAGTTAACTATCAAGCTGTTCACTATAAGCGCCTATCACAAATGGAAAAGCAACAATCCAACGAACTCAAGGTTTTTGATTGACGTGGATTCCTCTAATTAGATAATAGATAACATAGAATGTATGACGTACGGACTTGCGCAGCAACTTTATAGGTGAAACTGCAGCAGTGAAAGAGTTTGCCATTTCTACCATCATCACAAAGAAAGGATGTTAGACTCTTTGTATCTCACTATCTAATAGAACAACTATCCACAGACTTCTCATATGTTGTCTCAGTTAGTAGTCTTCGGCTTGATAGGCTGGAAATCCGGCCCATTAGGAGGACTAGGCTCCGGCATGCCCATGTAGTCGGGAGGTCCCTCCTTCGCCGCAACCCTCAGTTCCATCATCTTGAGTTCCGGTACCGTTACAACGGCGTTGACCTCTCCAGTCGCAAAGGTGTTGGCCGACTTCGTAGTGATATCAATATCTTGGGGAGGTCCCAGAACCTTGGGCTCAACAAAGGGCTTCTGCAAGTACGGCTCAGTGTAGGTGATGGCGGGCTGAGGTTTTCCAGGCCACTCTTTCGGAGCTTTGCTAGGCTTGGGCCCAACAATACCAGAAACACTCATGAAGATGTAATCGGCAAACTGACTTCCATAATGAACGTAGCGACCGCCGTTGTTTTGGTCAAAAAGATCGCTGACGTTGAGGTCTCGGCTGCCATCATCTGTCTTCATGCCTTTTGGGATAGAGACGCGCAGATGAAGGCCCATGTTCTTGGTGATATCGCCACGATCGCTCCAGTCAAAAACACCATCGGGAACGGGACTCATTTCCCGGGTGTTGCCACGTCGCTTGCCGGTGCGATCTAGCAGGAAAGACGAGAAATCTGCATCATACATGTACAGAGCAACGGGGTCTTTGACTGAGATTGTAGCTGGAATAGGTAGCACTTTATCCCGTGCAAGACGACAGACTTCGTTGACTGCTGCGCCAATCTACAAATCATCAGTTACAGCATGTTGTTTAAGAAAGTGGATTCCTTACCGTGGGATCAGAGTTTCTTCCCGGATTACCGTAGGAAGATCCATCACCGCAGAGGGTAATCATATTCGTGATAGGTTCACCATAAACCAAGTCGGTTCGAGTGACAGTAGCTTGAGCAGCGATGTCAATCTCAGCACTGAGACTGTTGTTGATTTGGATGAGGTGAGCAATGGTACCGGTGTTGGTATGGCCATTCCACTTGTTATAGATGTCATAAGTTCCATCTTCCTTGACGAGGTCATCACCTTTGATTTGATGCGCAAAATCAGGATTCAGCTTCTTGTAAATGTCGAGGATCTTGTTGTTCCTCTCAAACTCTTGGGGTGCTGGATTCTTGATCGGGGTTTCAGTTAGAATGGGGTTGTACTTGGCTAATTCTTCCCAGTACTAGTCATCAGTTAACTTGAGATGCTCAATAAAGCAATATTGATCAGTACATACCTCTGGTCCCTCACAAGTAAAGCTCACTATCTGAACATCTCCATCGACCTTCTTGGTAGACCATTCAAGATACTCGTCCATCACCCAACGATCTTCTCGTTGCTGGGTAATAACGACAGTCTCATCTTCTCCCGTCTGTGGGTTCTTTTGATGAAACTTGCGGATCAAAGGAGGGACATCACGGCCTGGAGGAGCACGCTGGTTCTCAGGATCCTCCGCATATGCCCATCGAGCGTCATCTGTGGGCTGTTTGATTCTAACCTATAATTCCGTTAGATGAGTGCATATTCTGCTGATGAGCAACTAACATTGAGTGGAAACCCAACCCATGTGATGGGCACAGCGGGGAGGGACGGGTCATAGGCAAATTGGGTGGGGTTGAAGAACTGAGTAAGAATCTTCCGCCCTGCCAGTCTACCAGCGATTTCGTCGCTGAACCACCCATTGACAGTCTTGGACCATCTGTCCAGCTGGTCGCCCTCCAGATCTTCCAAGAAGGCAGGAGGGTGAAACTTTTCAAGCTTCGTAAGTCCAGGCATATCGCTCTTTGATAGATGAGAGTGAAAATTGTGTAGTATGGGAGTATGAGAGGACTCAGTGAGTTTGCGAGATCAGCTGCAACATCTGAGAGAAATGATATTGATCTTGTCTTTGGGGATGCCTGAGTGCTAGGAGGCTGATGAGTCGCCACTGGGCGGAGAAGATGTTCCGAGTTATGTGATAACTCATGCGTATGTTCCAGTTTGTTAAGTCTGGCCCTCTTGAGGCTGGCTGAAAGTTGAATAGGGTACCAAGAGCTAATGCCAATATTCTCACCGCACGAAGTCGTGTTAAGACAGGCTATTGAACGCAAAGACCATCTTTTTGGGCGGTGAATGCCCAAATCGTCCAAGTTCGTCTTAATGCAGACATGTGATTCCAGAATGAGAGACACGCATCACTCAACAGTCCAGGTCTCTTCAATTCATCGCCAACATGTCTTACTTTGCTATCACGTACCTTGACGAATAGGAAGGTTACCAGCATACCATACGAAACCCTGGGCCACTATAGTGGTGGGGACATCTAGCCTATTGGAACAGAAGTATCTATCTTGAATCAATAATGCAACGTGGAGGCTTAGCTGACCTGAACATTGATCAAGGTCTAGAATGGGCTGCGTGCGGGGTATCACCAATGTTTCAGTTATAAATCGCAAACGGAAAACTAGTGAGTGGGCCGAGCCTAGCCTCCGGAACTCAGCTCTTATGGAGTAAGCCACAAACGGGCGAATTTGCTAATCGAGGCCATCTGAGTGGTCAAAAAGGTTACTCTTAGACATTATTCGTATGCTGGTGGTCCAGAATGGAATGTCCGTATGCACCGGACGTATGTGATGCAGTCTTGTCAGTGTCCGCGATGTGACGGCGCCTGGCAGCATGCTTCCAGCCAGGCAAGCCTCTGGCGGAGAACGCTTGAGCTCTGATGTCGCCCTCGTCTATAGCGCTTGATACCCAGCCGCTGAACCCCTCGGCATAAATCCCCAAGCATTTTCTATCTAGATTTTCTCTCTACCATCAATCGCAAGACTTGCACCAGTGTGACCATGGCCGACCCAAAGCGAGGAAACTACGAAGACATCAACCAGAAACTATGGTATCGCAAGTTCAAACGTGGAATCAATCCTCAGTCACATCAGCCGTACCCTGATGAAGACACGCCCGCTACAGCGGAACAGCTCAAAGATGACTTTGTTGATTACTGGGGCAAGCGTCTCCAGTCTGATATTGCCTTTCGAAAGCATAACACTTACAATGAGCTGATGACGCAGTTTTGGGGTTCGTAAATATTCATTATCACCGTTGTGCTAGTAAACTGACAGGATACAGAGGACCCCGACATCGTCTTGCAGACATATGCAGTTGCAGATGGTCAAACTGTCCCGAGAAACAAGCAGAAGAAATGGTTTCGATCGGAGCTTCGTTTCATTTCTGTCATTTTTCCTGCTGACGCAAACCACAAGAGAGATTCCCAGGCACCAATTGCATCTGTGTCATGGGCGCCATGGTTTGTCCTCATCGCAGCGTAAGCCACCAAGTCAAGCTCATTACTGGGTGCTAAGAGCCTTTTAGATCTTCTGCAATCCACTCTGAGAAGGACATTCTTCACATCATGAGTTGGTCTCGAGATGATGGTCAGTTCAGGTACTATGCTGTAAGTGCCTCCTTAACCTACATTGTCCCGTTTATTCAGGTTACTAAAGATAGCAGCGCGATCTCATTATGAATGATGAGGCTAGGGAGCAGCACGGTTGGGTATACCTTTGCTCTTCGATGGATGCATTCGACGCTCCAGGCAAGGCGTACCTCGGCCCGCTGAATGGTCATGTAAACGGAGGCATTGTCATGAAGGAGATCCACAAGTGAGTTGTTGCCAGGTCAATATGGCATAATGGACTGACTGATTGTCTTTACAGGCCCTGGATGCATTGGCTCGTGGGTGGCCGAGGTGTGACCGATCTACTTGACTTCGAGCTTGCCAACGAGCTCATGGAGGCCCCGTGGCTTACTCATCCTGGCTTTCCTCCCCTTTACGGAGCGAGTGTGCAGTCCGGTGAGACCTTTGAAAGAATTGTTCTTGACTCTCTGAGAGTCTGGTTCACCAGCCGACGCAATAAGGATTTCCTGAGCGAAAAGGGAGAGACGGAGCAGTATCCGCGCAACATCCAACGTTGGGCGGCTCACTTCTTCCTTACCACCAACATCAACATTGCTGCTACGTCCAACAACGCCAACATTGTGCCGTCTGATCATTTCTTCAGTTATGAGATGCTCAGGGGATATAGTGATCTTTTGGTAAGTGCTGCTGCTCTTTTATCACTTTCATCCCCGGACCGATTGCGAAATTCAGGCAATATGAGACTAACAATCGCAGCCCAACAGAAATATGTATGACGAGAAGTGGCTAGCAGGTCACATCCTAAAGGAAACGCCAGCTGCATTAACAAAGTGGAACGAAGACCGCTTCGGAAACGCAAAGCATAAGTACTATACCCAAGAGAAGTGGTTCAAGTCCTATTCCATCAAATCTTTTCAGTACGATGGTCCATCGTATCTCTGGGCGTCGCGTGAACTCAAGCTCTGCACCTTGCAAGAGGTGGCAAAAGCGGAAGACGCACAGCTCATCGTCCCCAAGAAGACTCTAGCTGGTGGTATCTTCATGGGTACCCTCGAAGATGGCAGTGAGAGAATTGATGGAGGAGACCAGGTTAACTTTGCTGTTCAACAATGGGGTGAAGGTGATAACCCGTGGGTTATCCTTCAAAGCTCTGTTGATGACGCCCATGGCGTATGGATGGCACAGAAAATGTTCTTAGGTGACGACAAGAATGCAGCGCGGTGCCAGCTCTTTTCGGAGAAGACTTTCAATGCTCTTCAGATGGTTGACTTTTGGAACCCAATCTACTCTTGGCGACGTCTCAAGTTGATGCAGTACATCCCTGTTGCGGCTCAGCTTGTCGAAACTCCTACCAAGGACCCAGTCACTGGTGAAGATGTCTACACCTATGATCTCGAGCAGAACTTCATTGAAGCCGTCAAGAAGAGAGTCAGCGGCAAAGGCGACTTGAAGAAACTCCAGAACGAATGGCCAGAAGCTGAGTTCCTTCTGAACTTGGAGAAGCCACTCATTGAGCATCAAATTCGCATTTCCAGATACACCAACAACATCGTTCAGAACCTTGAGGATTCAAGCTGGCTTCTGGAGTATCTCAAGCTCGCTGAGTCGCGACGCCGCATGTTCCGTCCCATGCCGATGAACTTCTTTGGAAGCAACATTCCATACTGTCTTGCTATGCCAATAGATCATCCATGGTTAGAGATGACTGAAACGGCTACCGTGAGGAAGATCCCCAAGCGCGGTCGTAAGGTCTTGGAGGACTGGTTGGGATCGCTGGCTGGTGCCGATCCAAATGTTATTCCCCAGAAGCAGAGTCTGAAGGAGATCAATAAGATGATTAAGGAGAATGTCAAGCAGGATACTGTTGGGTTGCCTGTTACCTTGCTGCCTAGGCCGTCGACGATGAGAATGGCTTGTCAGAGGTTCATTGCGGTGACAAATCCCGAGACTTCAGAACGGCCTCACAGTTGTCCCTTCATGGCGGGAGAGCATTTGGCCTCGGCCCATACAGCAGTTGAGGCTTGAGGGTTGTAATCTTCTAGTAGTCATGATCACTCTTTCTAAGTTCAATTGACTACATTGTAAAGCCTATAATCATTCCATTGAAGCCCCACAATCACAGGTCTTAATGAACCGGCTCATCTCCAATCTCAGCCATCTTCTCCTCCAGCATCTTGGTCATTTTCCGAACCACGTCCACGTACTTGGGTTCATTATAACAATTGAATAGTTCCAACGGATCCTCTTGACAATCAAACAGCTCCCATTCCTTCTCCTGTCCACCATCTCGTGTACCCTCAATCTCAAAGCCTTCGTTATACCAGTAAATCAACTTGTACCGCTGATCACGAACGCCATAGTGCGCATATGCTTCATGAATAATATCACGATGCATCCAGTACCGGTGATACGCAACCTGCTGCCAGTCCTTTGGTGTGTTTCCGTCCAAAAGAGGACGGAACGACACGCCTTGCATGTAAGAAGGAATCCGTGCGTTTGCAAAGTCCAGGAATGTCGGCGCGAAATCAACATTGCAGATTATATCGCTACAGACTGACTGGGGCTTAATTTCTTGAGGGTATCGGATCATAAAGGGCATTTGGAAGCTCTCCTCATACATGAATCGTTTGTCGAACCAGCCATGTTCACCAAGGAAGAAGCCCTGGTCGGAGGTATAAACAACAATGGTGTTCTCTTCAAGGCCCTCCTCTTCAAGCCAATCAAGCATGCGACCAACATTGTCGTCAATGCTCTGAATGGTGCGCAGATATCGCTGCATGTATCGTTGGAACTTCCATTCAGCCAGCTCCTGTGGAGTCCTGAAGGTGAATACCTCTGCTGTTTCTTTGCACATGAGCCTCAGCTTTGTGACATCCTCTGGAGCTGGGATCTTGCGGTCAGTGGATGTGGCATTATCCAGCATCTTCTCCCCGACTAGGCTTCTTGGTCCTTCAGGTTGAACAATCCCCAGATCGGTGTAGGTCAAGTCCTCGGCGACTCTCATTTTGGCAACCTTTGCAGCGTTGGCGCGATTCTTGTAATCATCACTGAAGGTGTCTGGGAGCCGAATGGGATCCTTATACAGATCTTTATGCTTATGGTCGTACTCCCAAGATCGATGAGGAGCTTTGTGGTGGCACATCAGAAAGAATGGCCGAGACTTATCACGCTTCTCCATCCAGTCAATGGACTTGTCAGTGATGATGTCAGTTGCATAACCGGGAGTTCGGGGTGTACCCGAAGGTTCAATGAACTGAGGATCCCAGTACTCTCCTTGCCCAGGAACTATGCTCCAGTAGTCAAAGCCAGTTGGCTCGTGATAATTACCTTCACCAAGATGCCATTTGCCGATCATGGCTGTTTGATATCTTGCAGGGCTTGATCGCAGCTGTTTGGCGACATTAGGGAGCCTCTTGTTGATCTTCGAGTCCAGCGTCAGGACTCCATTGACGTGATTGTGAGTGCCGCAAAGAATGGCAGCACGAGAGGGGGTGCAGATGCTGTTGGTGACATAGCAATGGTCAAATCGCATGCCCTCATTTGCAATGCGGTCAAGATTGGGCGTTTTGTTGATACCAGCGCCATAGCATGAGATGGCTTTGGCTGCATGGTCATCGGCCATGATGAAGAGGATGTTGGGGGGTTGAGAAGGCATTTTTCAGGTATGAGGCAGTAGTAAGTTAATGCGCAAGAAGAAAGAACGCAAAAGAGCTGGAGGAGTTCAAGGAGATGGTGCTTTACGAATACCGTTTCATTGTATTGAGTCCCCTCCCGATTATCAGTCGGTTGCTAGGCCTGCTGGTCAGAAATACTTGCACATATATCCGCCACGAGATGGTGGTCTGGTTATTGGCAGCTGTATTCTCCATTCACAAGTGGAGTGCTTGCTTCGGGTGTCGGCCCATGCGTCCCGTGATTCGATAGCGCATTGACGTAGCATCCGGATTTCGGGTTGAGTGTTAAGAGAGTGGTTATACAAATCATTCCTGACATGATTCTGGGGATCAAAGTGTAACTATGCATTTATTTGTTATATCAAGGGCGCAAATGGAACCAATCCAATCCAAATGAATGGAAGCTGTGCGCTATTATTGTTCTAAAAGATAATCCTGAAATATCGTCTCGGTCGCTTACATCGACTGTACACTAATTTTACATAACAAACGCCCCTCATTATTCGACGATTCACCCAGTGGTAGAACCCGATATCCCTCCTTCAAATTGTCGATCTTGGCAATGCCTGAAGTGATCGACATGGAACGGCCGTTCGACATGGTCTTGACTGACCAGTGCAGGAATGTGAGATGAGAGTAGTTCGTCTCCACCAACATCTCCAAGTTTTCATCGAACGCTAAATCTGAGTCTTGTACAGGCACAAATGCAGTCCGTGCCCTCTGGGTCAATATATCAGGTGCTAATAGCTTCATCTTGACATAGACCGGCCCGTTCCCTATCGATACCTTCAGGCCCCGCGCCATAAGAACGTCAACTTGGAGTCGTATCTGTGTTGGCTGCGGCGGAGCTTTGAGCACATATCCTGAGCTCCCATGAAACATTGCCTGGTTCAGGCTCATGTAAAAGTCATCAGTCTGACAATTCAAAGCTGCCATCTGAACGCCATGTCTCCAACACTGGAGGGGATCGAAATTAGATGAATCGACTCGATTTGGGTCTGGATATACGCGAACTAGATGTTGTGTTTCGGCTAATTCGAGTGAGCGGTTGTCTTTTGTATGCTTCTGCAAGTTCCGCTCCGAGACAGAGTAAATGAAATTCCGATGCGTGTCAAATTCTGCGTCTTTGGGTAGTCGTCTGCTCGCGCCATATACTGCAAGACTCTGTAGCAAATCGCCTGGCAGATCTTGGCAGTCCCTCCTCTCAATATATTCCTGATGCCCGTTCAAGTTGAGGTATTCGGGTGCTAGTGGTTCCTGACGTGAGTCCGGATCATGAGCTACCTTCACTTTCAGCAGGATCTTTCCACGGAGCTGATTGGGCGAAGGGAGTTTCTGTGAGCATGTATCAAGTGGCTCGACCGCCAGACTTGATCTGAATATCTCGAGCATCGTGCGAGCCATGATATCCCTCTGGGCAGGGCTGCAGTGTACTTCCAACGATAGCCATAAGGGCAGGTCAGAAGCAAAGAAAGCATAATTTTTGATAGTCTCGATGACGGATCGGAAGCTGATAGATGTTGTCAAACTATATCCGTGCTTGACTATAGGCTGCCCGTCTCTTCCGTCCCAGCAGTCCACCTCAACAGATCGACAACCTTGAGAAAGCGTTGCGATATAGCCTTTGAGCTTGGAGCGGGCAGCGACTTGGCGGCCGCGAAGGTACGTGTTATGAGAAGATGAGATGAAGTATTTGTTGATAGGACGATTGAGGTTATGGTAGAGCGGTTCGCGCCGGATAGCTGAATTTCCTTCCGAGAGTAGATGAGCGACTAGGTCGTCTATTGAGATGTCTGGGATGGGTACGATTTCGTCCTTGGAACGTTTCGAATCGGCAAGGGTGCTGGAAGAGTCGTTGAAGACTGCCGGAGTCTTTTCGATGTCGTTTTTCGTATCTTCCCCTCTTACCTCTTTCAGAAATTCCGTTAATGCTTTCTGGGATATCGGACCAATTTTAACATTATTTGTTTCACGCTTTAGAATCATCTCCAACAGAAGCTGATTGAAGCCTGGTGAAAATCCTCCCGTATAGCTGTTCGCGTCGCCATTCTTGATAGATTCCGACTTTTGAAGCTCTTCAGTGTCTGTTTGAGCGCGCTGAATGGGTCGAGGAGCTTCTCGGATAGGTGTTCCTCTTCCGGTGTCAGCGATTGTTACGGCCCTGCCGTACAACATAAGATGGGCCATGTCGAGAACGGCAGGAAGAAGGAAAATGCATGTGAGCACAATGACATGCCCGCAAAGAATGATATAGGCGACAAGCATCCTGCCTGAATGACTAGCGAGCCCAGGAATAAAGCCAATATGAAGTGCGAACAAGGCCAGTCTTGAAACTGGAGGAATGCCGGTAAGTGAGATGAAGCATGCAAATCTCGTCCAGAACGTCATTGCTAGCAGCTGAACAAGCTCACATCCTAACAGAACACCAAGCTGAACAGAGGTGTACGTCTGCAATCCACCAATGACACTTCCTCGGAGGAACATCAAAGAGAACAATACCAAGGCGTAGTATTGTCGCCCGGATTCGGGGTCTTTGTTCAACCGGCCGGGGCTTTGTATGACCAGGGATCCCATTTGAGAATCCCGTGTCCAACTCCACCAGAAGCCTGCTAATAGCACAATCAAGATTATGATAGCCATGGCTGAGTTGCGATATCCAAATATTTGATCGTCGAGAAATTGGTAGGTTGCCCATGCACTAATCGGTAACATGAAACAGCTGAGAAAAAGCCTGACAACAGCCCAGTATCGGTCTTTGAGCTGCGCTCCTAGAGTTGCTAGGGTAATCGTCGAGTTCGACCCGCGGTGGTTCAGCCGGAAGCTGATATATGATGATAAGTAAAGAAAGAAAAAGATAATGAGTGACAGGACGAAAGTATTCATCCAACTTTGAGGCTTCACTGGTGAGCCCGTCATTTGCGTCAGAAGCTCCAAGCCCGGAGCCCCAGTGATTGTCCCATTGTGTTCGTAGATGCCGTCTTTCACACCGGCTCGTGGATAAGGTGAGGAGGCTTCTACCAGTCCAGCCGGTAGCATCAGAGTAGACCAGCTACAGAGGCCGACGAGAGGTTGGAAGAAACCAGGGTATCGAAGGCTGAGAGCGCCTGAAAAGAAGATGAACTGGATATAGGCTAAAAGATCGATGGCACGTGCGATACGGCGGTTCTTCGATGTTAAAGATTTGATGGTTTGTTGGGCCGGCCAACATGCTGCGATACAGGTCAAGGCGAAAGTGGCGATGGGGAGCCAGAGACTGAGAAGGCGGAATGGTTCCGGAGCAGCGGGAGTTAAGATTGCTCGGATGCAGGATAGTGTTTTGTTGTCTTTCGATGTCATCTCCAGGGTTGTTCGAAAGGTATCGAGAAGAGCTGATCGGTTGAATGAAGATGCGATGGTGAAATGAGCTCTCGGGCCGAACCACTCAGAAGTGTAGCAAGACATGTTGACGATCTCTCCCGAGATTTGTTTAGAGTCGCTCCCATAGTCGATAACCGTAAGTCTTGGTATAACATCTCCAACATCAATATCGCAGGAATTCCGATCCGCCTGCCCAGCGATAACATCAAACCGCCACTCAAACCCCCCTCTCTTTTGTTCAACCTGCGCGCGAAAACTCTCGGGAATGAGCGACTTATCATTGACTGCATCAGCACAGTCTTGAAACTGCACATATGCAGCCTGACAGCTTGCTGCCAAGAGCGTGATAGGAGTGACCCTTGACAGCTTCATTGCTATCTCGATTCGGCCATGGCGGGATGTGAGAGATCAAATTAGGCTGCAGGTGGATCTTTTTCTGTATGCTGGCTTTTCTCCCTCTTTTCCAGCTATGACAATAATGACTAATCTCGTAGGGGCTATTAATAGGTGAAACGGCCAAGAAGTACCTAGTAGTGTTTATTTTAGGGAGGACATACGAGATGATCCACTTCGGAACATGCCACTGTTGTCTTGACCGATGTTTGAATGGTAATGTAGCCATAGAAATTTCTAAATCAGTATCTTAGACCCTTAGACGAGTTTCTGCCGTAGCATCAAGACGTGTAATAATCGGTCATTAAGGCCATTTCGTTATTTCATGACAGCCCCCCTCCCAGCTCGAAAGCCGAATCCGAGGATAGGGAACCGAGGCTGTCAGGGGCATCCCTGCAGGCATTGAACCAGACTATACCAAAATCATGCAAGCGGGGCTGTCACTAGACTTTTTTGTGATGTCATTACCCTAGAGAGAGTCAGAATTTATTGTTGTCTATTAGACAAGCTGAGGATGCTCAAGCAGCGTTCCTTTTAGTTGTTCTTAAATTCCGTCCGTCTTCGTGTTAGAGCATTGATATTAGAAATAACAGTAGTCTTTTTTCCGCATGACTAATATTTGCAATTCAGGTCAGGCTCAATATCCTTCAGCTCCATAAGTACGTGAGCAATTTCATCAAGCGTGGGCCTCTAAAGCAACACCATCGTAAAAACACGTTCAGTTGAGTATACAAGTTCAAATAAATTAAGTTATTAATTCAAGAATTGCATTTGCTTGAGTTAAGACCTCTATTGTACATTGCGAGCTTGACTGATACAGCTTTGAGAGACTGTCCATCTCAAATGATTTGGGCAACTTCTACTGCAAGCTCAGCTGGCTGCGGAAGAATAATAGCAGGACTTGCTAGCACAGTATCCTTCGTTGGTGCACCTATAGTATCAGTAACAACAGCGATGATGATTCCTCTACTCTCGAAAGACTCCGGGATCTTGACATCAATTATCTTCTTCTTGGGCCAGTCTTTCGTGTCGATTGGGATCGTGGTATTCCACGTTCCGTAGAAGAAGGTCGTGTAGTACTGGCGATCCTTTTTGAATTTGGCAAGATATCGTTATCCGTGAAATTGAAAGTAATAGTGCTTCCAGGTGTAACTGACTTGTGGATAGGGCTTACGTTAAGTGAGGGAAGACCTTGACGTGGGTTGGGGTAGACAGGATTCTCGTTGGGGCAGCTCCCTTTGATGACGAAGCCATTTGTCAAGTCCAGGATCTGGTTGGCGTATGGGAAGACTGTATCCGACGGCCCCGAAAAAGGATTGACGTTCTAGATGTCGATCAGAGACCATGCTTCGTGCCGCGTCTCGACTGCTGCAATAGCAGTCATAGCACCCTGTGAGGCCGGAAGCTTGGCTATCTGGACAAGGCCAGTAAGAAAAGCCATGCTGGCGATCTCGATGAAAGTAGACAACACAAGAAATGACTCTGTATCATGGAATGGGTATTGATTACTTGCAAGCCCCAGGCTTCAGCGACGTCTCCGAAATCTGATCCTGGAAAATGCGCAGGTGACCAGCCTCGTTATCGCGAATCTCTTGAATACGATCATAAGTGGTGTTGGGGTAGCCAGCCTTGGCGAAAGATGTCTTGTCAAAGGCCTCTACTCCTTGTTGGTAGAATGAGAAAATAGCCCATTCGGCGGAGAGCAGATTCTGCCAGACCATATCATCAACTCCCGGCTCGCCTCTTCTGGTCGGCAAGATTGGATCCGTGATGTTGCCGGGAAATAGAGGCTCTTTCCCTCGATATGTACTATAAAGAGGACTTCGTCCTGGAACAGGACCATAGCTGGGGTCGGCGAGCTTCTGAGCTTCAGAAGAGGATCTCGGGATTTTCATAGCTGTACCTCCTGAGATAGATGACAGGATTGCCATATTGTTCAAGGCTTTAGTTATATGCATAGTGTTCAAGACAGATAAGTTAAAAAGATAAAGTATTGGATCTGCTCTGGACACAGACTTCGACTTCTAAGATGTGGAGGCGTTGCTCACTTTTATACTTGATGAATCAGTAGATCTGTCCGTCTGCTTACTTTGGGACGTCTAAACATTAATTCTTCCCTATTCAGACATCTTTTGTGGCTCCAATTCTAGATGCTAAAGAAATGGAGATCTTTCCACTCGAGCCGTAGTAGAGTAATCTTGGCCGGATATTCGGCTTGCCCTAGAAGTGATAACAGTTGCCAGGGAACACTTTTACCAATCGTACATAAAGAGAGGACCCACAAAGTCCGCGATCGTAGTGTCTAATCAAGTGTTGATACCATTACCAAAACCGGAAGCAGTTTCGATGTCAGTTGGGTTCGTAGGTCAGCGCAAGGCACGCGTGAGAATCTCCTCGCAGTTCCTTTTCCTAATGACCCAATTTCCAGAGCTGTTCGTTCCGGCCAGCCATTTTAAAAAGAGTCATGAGAATTCGCTTCGAAGATGGGCACTCGAGTCTTAAAAGCTGCTATCGCCCTTTGCTCATTACACAAGCAAAAGTATTAGAAGATGCATTATGCCCGCTATATTATCTCTCAGCGAGACGGTGCTTGTTCGCCGTAAAGGCTAATATTATCTCTTTGGGTGGTATTATCGGAAGTTATAGGCTGTCAGTTGAGGTAGTTGATTATCCACCTCACGTAGGAGCCCTTAAGTCAGAACTTAGATGCCGACTTGGTTGACAGAAGGGATTCATGATGAGCCTTTCGGCAGGACCTAGACGCTTATCACATAAATAATACCCCTGGAACCTTATGTTAGTGCGAAAATCGTTATTTGTGAACTCCAGTGATTTATTTCTGCGTTTGATCTGATACACCAATCGCACGCAATTCTCGTATAGCCCTTTCTGCAGCAGCCTTTCTTTATCCGGGATCTCAGAGCTTTTAGTTGGCATTTTATGCTTTGTCAGCGCGATTTTCCGCGGGTTTGAACCTATGAGAGAAGCGCTGGTGCTTAGAAAGCAGTTCAAAGATAAGCACTTGCTTACGCATCGTTGGTGATGGTTAGTGATTGATGATGGATCGTATTCAGTGCGGGGGTGTTGACTGCGCCGCTGATGTCGTCAATTGTTGAAGACATAAGAGACATGACAACCGCTGAGATAGTTAACTGGCATTATCTCCAATTGATCCTTAAGCATCCTGTTTAATTTATTGTTGCGAAGAATAATCCAATATGGACACTTATCTTGACCCTATCAACCGCAAGTTTGCGGATGCGGCCGCCGAAGGTCCACCGCTCTACACTAAGACTTATCAGGAAGCTCGCGACATCTTAGAAGGCATTCAGAGCTACAAGACCGCGTCCGACATCAAGACTGAGGAGATTAAAGTTCCCGTCAATGGTGAAGATGTCACCACCGTGATATTCCGCCCTGCCAATGCCCAGGGTACGCTGAACATGATCTTTTACACGCACGGTGGTGGATGGATTCTGGGAAGGTCAGTCAGCCGCCGGCGATTCATGAAAACGTGCTGACAAGGGCAGTCCAACTGCGCATGGAGCTTTGATGGAGGACTTTGCACGCCAAACTGGTGCTGCTGTCGTCTTTCCTTATTATACACCGGCTCCAGAAGCTCAATATCCCGTTCAGTTTGAGCAAGTCTATGGGGTTCTTGATCATTTTGTCAACAACGGCGACAAGTATAACCTCAAAGTTGATCGCTTCGGCCTCGCTGGTGACAGTGTCGGTGGTAAGTATTCCTATCATTTTCGTAAGAAAACCTGCTAATCTGTTACTAGGACATATGGCTATCGCAATGACACAGCTCGCCCAGAGTCGCAACCTCCCCTCCAAGATTGGGCAGATCGTCTTGCTTTACCCTGTCACAGACACCCACAGTAAATCCGAAACTTACAAGACATTCAAAGACGGACCTTACCTCTCCGAAAAGACCATGGACTGGATGATCCCCGCTTTTCTTCCCAATGAGGAAGATCGAAAGCTGCCGTTGACTTCTCCCCTTCAATATGCGCCAGATGAGGTTCTCGCAAAGTTTCCACCTACAACTGTTTTCCTTTCCGGCGCTGATCCTTTAATTGGCGAAGGTGAAGCATTTGGTCATCGCCTGCAGCAGTTGGGTGTTGATACGGCCGTCATCAGAGCGGATGGACAGATTCACGATTTTGCTATGTTGGCACCTGTTCGGGTCTCTCCTACAGCCCGAGCTGTGGTTGAACTTGCGTCTTCGAAGTTGCTAAAAGCATTCTCTGACAAGTGAAATCTTCTGATATTTCCTATTTTCATCCATGCGTCGGATCATTGGAAAGGTCCATTAAGAGTAAACGTACTAGATAAATCTTATTATAATGGATTCGATTGATTGAATAAGTGACAGGAGTGTATAATGTCACATTTCCTCCTACACCATCCAGGGGTATATAAGTCAGTGCCATCACCAATTTACAACGGACAAGAGTAATACAAACAAGGCCGGGTTCAGAGTTAATCCGTCCCTTTCGGAGTACCAGTTCTTCTCCGTATCTCAATCTGCTAACAAACAAATATCCACTTAGTCAATTCTCTGCCGTCGGAAGATTATACGCCGAACCAAATAAACCATCCCCTCCTTATTTGTAGGATGGGGTTGTCAACCACAGCAATTTTTATCAGGAGCCGAGTTGAAGTCTTATGAGAACTGACCGCTCGGTTGTATATGTTGACAAGGCGGAACCAGAAGCTGTTTTGAAAGCGGAAACCATATGGATCGACGGCCAGCCTTACGGTCCGCCGTCAATGGCGGAGGAGACCAGTGCCGATCTCACTCGTGAGCACGACATTTGCAAGGCGATTTCTCCCCATCAGTATGTAACGAAATGCTTTGGTCTCGTTCAGGATGATGATGGCCGCGCTATCGCACTAAAGCTTGAACGAGTGGCCAAGGGCAATCTTCGTCACCTTATTGAGGAGACTCCAGAACCGCCCTCGATGCGTCGTCGACTTGGTATGGCTACTACTGTTGCGGAGAGTATTATTCATCTTCATTCCCGCAGTGCCATCTGGGGAGATACCTCGACTCGAAATATCCTAGCCTTCAGTGATAATAGCCTAAAGATGTGCGACTTCGCCAGCTCTGCCCTCAACGATGCTTACCCTGAGTTCTGAGCCTGCGTACTGTCCACCTGTACCAGAGAATCAAGTTGGCAAACTTTCCATGATGCAACGGGAGCTGTATGCCCTTGGATCTGCCATTTACGAAATCACAGAATGGAAGTTCCCATATGCAGGAATGGACGGCGATGCTTGGGAAATTGTTGAGGCAGGCACGGTGTCCGTTATTAGCAACGAGAATATTACCAGAGAGATTATCAATCGATGCTGGAGCTTTGGATATGAATCTGCGAGTGCTATATTAGATGACTTAGCAGCTCGGGCGAAACAGCTGTCGAAGGAATGAGTGGAATCACAGAGCCACTGATTTGGATGGAGATATGAAGAATAGAGTTCTCAGTATTATTGCTACGTGATGAAATAATGGTTTTCATAGCGGTTCGAGTCAGGTAGCAATGCGTAGACGTTATTCAAGACAAGGCAATAAAACAGATTTAGGCAGTTTAAATGAAATGCTCTTCTTTCGAGGAACTATGGTCGATAATGATATGAGTGCTATTGTCACATGGCCTGATTCCTACTGTTCAGTCAGATATCACATAGTCGAGAGCGCTTATTTCCCGGTTTATGCGCAGTTCATCATCAAGACGAATGAGCAACGCGGTCCCATCCCTATTATAACGCACTGACTCCGTTATCTCCCCCTCAAGATGATCGTGAACTATGATCCCGCAGGGATCGAAATATTGAAATAGGCGGATTCACTCCAAGATCGTCATTAGTTCCGGTCTTGTTTCGCGAACCGTTACACATTGACTTATTATGATATAGAGCTCAGATCCAATCCAAACGATAGGTGAGAGCCGGTTGCCATAGTAGTCTCGGATGGGGGCGAATGCGTGATCTCTGCGCGCGAGATGTCTTTGCGAAGAGTTCAAGGGCCGTCTTGCATGAAACCAGAAGATGATCATCTGATCTCGTTGGTTGTGGAGACGGTTCATTTTGTATACGTTATATTTCCAAGCGTAGCTGAGTTGGAGTATTACTTTAGGTGAGACTGAGTGGAAGAACAGCGCCGAGCATGGCCTACTTATATGTCTGAAGGCATTTGACTCTGATAAGTCTGGTTCTTATCTGTGATGGGTCGTGATCAAGTACTTTGACAGGTGATAATCCCTTGGTCACGCCGGAAACTGGTCACCGTCCTTGAAATCTACGCTCATCACATTGTTAATCACATCATCTGTGAGCGTTGATTGTAGGACACAGGTGTACTTGCACCACTGGCAAGGAAGTAATTCTTCGGAGAAACGAATTGATGCGCTCACTGGTATTCAAGAGGAGAGGGAGTCCTTTGAGGACAATGGCGGTCACCCATCTTCACACACTACGTACAACAGTACGACTTGAAAGAAGAAGGTCATCTGAGAAAAGATTGTTTAGAATGATAATGGCAGTCTTATGGGTGCAATATGGTCGGTCTTGGATACTTTGTCGATTTATGGAGTCACCTTGCTGAGCTCCGCCACCATCTCGTCTGTTGCTCGATTTGGTGTCTTTTGGGATGACCGACGTCTCTTTGCAACACCTGACCCGATCTGAAGTAGGTGAGGGACTGCCATCATAATCGTTGTCATCATCACTTGGCTGCTGCGCTCCACTCTCTGCCGGCAAGCATCGAGACCGTGTCCGGATTGGGGAGCATACGAATCCCTTCCAACGCTGTGGTCTGTAAGGAGTAACACGCTTCTCCTTGCGCTTTGTCTCCGGAATGCTCCTGAACACATCCTCATCCTCCACACGCCATATATCGAGGTTTTCGGCAGCGCTGTGCCAGGCCTGAGATGGAGGCGGCGATCGGATGGCCTGAAGGACAAAGGCAAAGACTTATGCGACAGCTGTACGATGGAGTCGGGTCTCATCTTCGTCTTGGACATCTAGGCTCAGTACACAGACAGAGTAATAGACGCAGGAAGGATCATCCGGAATGTGGAGGAAAACGTACGTCTCCCCTGTGCACACGTACCCGTACTGGATGCCCTTACCCACCATGTAGGAGAAGAGCTGGGTCACGACGGCGGTGGTAAGCCTTTTCGCTGCGAATGCAAATTCTTCACCATCCTGGTTGATTACATCGCGATCTGGTTCGATCTCTGATACGAACCCTGTGACAACCTCGTCCTGACTCAACCTGTGTGGTGGTTTGTACTCTATCGCGACCGTTGGTATATTTCGATCGTCGGTGGTACGGTATATGCAGACTGATCCGCTCGATTGCCCTTTCCCCGAGCCTTTCGACGATGAGTGGCCCGGTTGGGTGGCCTGGGGAGTTGCGTCGTTGTTGCCCCACTGCCGTCGGTGTCTATAGACATTTGCTCCATGGACTCAGAAAGTGACTCATCGGCGTTTGCCAAGATTCGTGTGGCTTTCGAATGTTATCGTTCCATGAAGGCCGAGACGACTCCTCAGCGACAGATCGTTGTACGTCTTGTCCACCAGCTTCTAGACCGCGTTTTCCACGACATCTCGCTGGGAGTTGCGGAGTCCAAGCTGGCTACTAACTGGGCGAAGCAGGGACCTCACGTATTCCAGCTGGTGTCGGGACGGAAAGGCGGCTCGGGAACAATTCCAGGGACTGAAGGAGAGCTGATCCCAGATTTCTTCTTGTCTCGTTGGGAATGTGGTCCATGGGATGATTCGTCGAGGATAGATTCGGCCGGTCGGATTCGTCGTGTCCCCTTGTGTCGTTAGGGAACGGTCGGTTACTACTTCGATAGCGGCACTGAGCGAATGACACGTTTCAAGATGCCGATGGAGTGTCAACGGTTGTGATGCACTCGCACGTTCTTCAGCTTCTTCGCGTCGGCGCTGTTCTTCTCGAAGCTATTTTCGCAGCTCTTCAAGTTCTTCCATGGAGGCTGATGAATTTCTGCATGACGAGTGCGGATAACCAGCGTCAGGGTCTGGTTTTGTGTTTGATACCCCCCAAACAAACAAGTTGGTTAACGGGGAAACATCGGCTATCGATAGGCTTCCCCAGCCAACGGATGGGCAATTTTTTTTTCTTTCGGTTCCTCATTTCCGAACTCGAAACTACATATTTTCTGATGAGGGGACGCGTATGCACGGCCGCGAGTTTCGAAGAAACTCCCTGTCGTTGCCGAGGTAGTTTATCATTGGTCTTTTTGCGACACCCCCAGATGGCGCTTCGGCCTCGGTCACAGGATTTGCCACGTCACCGCCCCCATTCAAACTCCGCATTTGATCCAAGAGCAAGGTCCAAAAGTATCCTTTGCTTTTAGTAGTGGGGAACACGCTATTTTGGCACCTGACTGGGCTGGCATCGGATTATTTGTGGGTCGTCTGCCCGGCACGTTCGCTGGAGCAAGCAAATTCTGCTCCTCCTAAGCACGTCCTATCATAATATGGATCTAAAAACCTCAGTCCTCAGCCCGGATCCGGATGTGATCTCTGACAGAGAGATCGTGACTAACGTGTCGAGTAGTACCCCATCCTGGCCCCAGGTCGCGAAGGTGGGCGACATTACCGTCTCCATTTACCACCACACTATCCCCAACAGTAGATCAGACGATGTGTCCTGTTGGACCTATGTCTCGTCAGGCCTCCAGAGCGTAGGGCAACCCGAGCTCGTCATTACTCTCCGGCGCCGCAGCAATGAGCGTCCCCTGGACTGGTCCCGCGAACCCCTAGATTGGTTCAAGATTGTGGCTTCGTGGGGCCGCTCGGGGAGGATTATCGACGCATTTCACACCCACCTCTTGACCTCGCACCACTGGTTGGGTAGTAAGAACCTGGAGACCGTCACGTACGGCCAGCCACATCGGGGTCTTCCTAACCTGCCCCCGGACGCCCTACCCCATGTCCGACTACACGGCATTGCTCTCACAGCAAACGAGACCTTAGTCGCAAAGGCCTACGGGTGGACCCGAGCCATTGGCCATTACGGGTTGAGCAATCGGTGGTGGCCCTACACCCCCTGGATCGACCGAGACCGGAGCGACTGCATCACCTTGGACGACATGCAAGGCACTATGCGCCTACGGACATTTGACGTTAAAAAAGTCCGCGGCGTTAGCTTCCGGTGGATCGACTCGAGCCTGATCCTTGAGATCCCCAGAGCGCGGGCATTGGAGATCAGGGCACTTGTAGCCGCCCTGCGCGATGAGGAGGTGCTGGCCCTGGATTCATGTCTGCATCCGGAATCCGATTTTTGCGCGACATGGAAGGCCGGGCAGAGCAAGGCATTACATGGCTACGGCACCGGGTTTGGCATTCCCATCCCCTATTCGTCAACTATGGAAGTGATGACTGTCTGACAAAACACGAGTCTGCAGAACCACGGACGTGAAGAACTTTGCCTTTGTTGTGTTCTGCCCTCAGCAAGAGAGTGATTCTTGGCTCTGTCTAGAAGATGGGTGCACATGTGAGCAAGCCGTACTCTGCCAGGCGGTGGTAGAAACACTGCTAACGCACAGAATACCTATGAAGTGCTTCTTACAGACTCTAGCTGGGCTGTCATCCGAAAAGTATTAGCATCTAGCGAAAGTCCGCAAACCCAGATACGCTTGGGGAGTGATTTTAAAGAAACCCTGCACATCGACTTTTCAACAACACCATATTACGATCACTTCATTCCTCGCCCTCTTGCGCCCAGCCCGGACCAGCCACTTCACGAGGACGAAGCCCACGTAGTGCTCAAACTTTTGTTTCTGCCTAACTACCCATTCAGCGACAACAGTGGTGAAAACATCCTGATGAACTACCTCAATGGCATCACACGGGCGCTACGCAATGTTATCCCACCAGAGAATAGGGGGTTTACACCTAAGGGGCTTATCTTGTCGGTGGATTTCCCGGGTTCGAACGGGAATCGGCTGACCATAACTGCTAATCCGGATGAGGCGGGCCTTAATATGGATGCCCTTATTGATGCGGCGACGGGGGTTGCAATACCTATGGAGTGGGTTGGACACACGGTTCGGTTCGCTCCCGTATTCTCGATATGGGGTGCAGAAGTGTCCGTGGACAATCATGAGCAGGAGGAAAACGGTCAAGTAGTCCCAATGAGAGTCTGAGCCAAGCAATTCTCATATAGTCCCAGCCAGGTCATCTCTCTTATGGCTGCCTCTATGTATCCAATATTTAAGAACACTTTGAAATATCTAGGAAATGAACACTGCCTTGCTTCTTGAGTGGGTAAACCATGCGTGCGTTGTTTGCTTATCTGTGATCAAAATCCCGACGCGGGTGTACGATCCGGGGGGGCTAGCAATACTCTTCAATACTAGCGCGGCGGAGGTGGATATCTGCAGACACAGCACTTGGCCTGACTTCTTGACCTCTGCGGGTTCTGCCCTAGCCAATACTAGGGGCACATCTAATAAACAAGTCCCATATATGTGGCCGTGCTTCCCCACGAGCTCGGCGCATGTGTCTGCACCGGCTCGGTCATTCGCACCCGCAGCGCGTACCCTAGATACGGTGGCTTCCTCTACTGGGCCTCGGATGCGGAGATAGCCCCCTTTGATCCGGCCTCGGACGTCGATCCCCTCAGGCGTGCAAGAAACGGCAATGACAGTCGCTTTCGGCTTGGCATTGTCATCACTTCGGTAAGACGACGCTGCGAAGTCCTGGACGTGCGTGATATGGCCCTCAATCGACGCCCACGACCACGACGGCGCCCGGTATATAGCTGGCCGATACGCCCTCCGTTCCGCGCCTCGGCGAGAAGGCGACCAGTGCAGCGACTCTATAAGCATGCTCCGCCACATCCCGGCAAGGTACTCGTCGTGTGGCCGCCCAAACGTGATTCCCGACAGTGCCGGTAGGCGGTCGGCATCGTTTGTGATGTCCAGGTCCATATATTGCTCGACGAGGGTGCGGTAGGCTTCGAAGTCCTTGGAACGCTCCAGGGGCTCTGCCGCTTTTGCAGCCATTGCTGTCGCGGCCAGGCCGCCTCCACGGCGATGCCGGTGCCTCGGTTCGACCAGGCGTCCGTGGGCCTTGCGCAGCCGCGTCTCGGACTGCAGTGACTCGGCGCGCTGCTCCCACCCGCGGCATTCGCAGGCGACGTGCGATACACACTCCCAATACAGCTCGCCACAGGCAAAGTGCAGCAGCCGCGGGCTCAGTACCTGCTCCTGCAGCACCCATGCCCGCTGCAGCAGCGGTGCGCGGGTCAGGCCATGCTTGATCTGCGGGCCGATGCGTAGGCGGCGCGAGGCCCCGTCGCGGTCCGTCGTGGCCGGCGCCGGCGCGAAGGCCGCCCAAGCGCCGGGGTCGGTCACGGCCCGCACCTGCCCGTCTGTCTCCACCAAGGTGAATGGCTCTGATGCATACCGTGTGAAGCAGCCACCGGCGCCGTCGGCGGCCCGCGACGCGGCGATGGTAAGCTGCGCGTTAGAGAAGACCTGCGCCATACGTGATGCCTGCTCGGCCCAGTCGTCCGGGTCGTCCTGGATAATGCACAAGCTGTCGATCCAGAGGTAGTGGAAGCCCAGCCTCCAGGTAAATATAATGGCATCCTGGAATGTCTTGGACAGGGACGGCCAGGGGATGTTCTCCTTGTGGTCGCGGATGTTGGCCCGGAGCGTGCGGACCACGGGGTTGCGACCCCAGCAGTGGCTAAGGGCCACATAGCGCCCGATCTCGCCCTTGGTCTCGCGTAGGAAGACGTTGTGATTCGACACCACCAGAACACGCGATGGGAGTTCCGTTGTCGCGGGTACCAGACAGTCTCCGTGGTGTTTAGTGCAGGTGCTGAGCCATTCCTTGGCCAGGCTGACTGCTGCAAAAGTTGATGTGTCGGGAATCCAACCCCCAACGGCGCCCGAGCCACCGGACTCATCGGATTCGGAGATTTCTACTCGCCTTAGAGCTCCGCTCTTGCCAACAAGGCCTGAGGAAGGCAGATTCTTTACTCACCTGTCGCAGACAAGGAGAATGAGGTCCATGGTTTGCCCTCCTTTTCCAGTCTCACGCTGATATTGGACGCGTCGGCCAGCAGAAATGAGTCCCCCACCGACTTCTGCTTGACGAAGGTCTCCCAGGCGTCGAACTCGCCGACCAGGAGGAGGGCAAAGTGATTGATGCCCGCGTGCAACGCCGAGCAGACTTCGCACCCGGCGAGACCGGCATGGCGCAGCTCAAGCAGCGTAAAGCCGTCGCCGCGCTCCTCGAGAGTTAGGATGCGACTACATACCTGGCAGCCCGTAGGCGGATAGGCGGCGGCCCGTGGGGCCCGCTCTCCCATTTTGCGCGCCCGCGGATGCGGCCCCAGACCGCCGAGCATGATGGCACGCCCACGGAAGCCGGCGCGGAACAGCATGTCGAGGTTCTCCTGCACCGTTATGTTGCGAGCCGGACCCAGGGCACCCGGCACACTAAAGATGGACGACTCAGCCGGCCGCCCCATGTCGGCCTCCCCGGTCATCTGCAGGATATAGTCGGGCGGCAACGTTTTGCCGTAGTCGTCTACTATGGTTGGATACCCGGCCGGATCTAGCGGCGCCGAAGGTGCGTCGGTTAGGGCTTTCATCCGCTTCAATCGCTCATCCCGGTCCCTGTCGTCCTCTTGGGGCGCCATGGCTACCTATAATCATGGACGGGTTTGTGCTATGCTGTTATGGCTTATCAAGTAGGCACGTTGGCTGAATATTTCCGATTCATCAAGGACGCTGCCCGGGAGGCTCCGCCCTTGTTCTCGGAGAGTGGGGATCTAGGCTGCTTCCATTGCCAGCCACCGACGTAAGGAGCATTTTAGCGATGCCGCTACTGGCTCTGTTTGCCCGTATGGCTGAGAGGAGTGCGCTGGTCGCGGTAATCCGGCTTGTGACCGAGCTTGACTGCCTTAGTGAAATCCTCGTCCTTCTTCTAACCATGTAGCGGCATTCCTCAGCGACTCGAAAATCCCTTATCTACGCTCGAATTAATAGACAGAGCCTCGCGATCGCCTGCCAACTACGCACCCCTGGCGGCGCTTCAGAGTAAAGGCAACTCTCTATAGGCAAGACACCTTATCATGGAGGAGCGCGGACTGCGGATTCTCTCTCTAGGTAGGCGGACAACGTCCTTTCTTTGCGTCTATCATACTTAGAGCATATGCTACACGCGCCCGTCCAGTACTGACAAGCCCGCGCAGACGGAGGAGGCACGCGAGGGCTCTCGTCGATATATATCCTTCGCGAGATTCTGGATCGCGTAGCTCCGGGACACGGCGGCCATGTAAGGCCGAGCGAGTACTTCGACTTTATCGGGGCATCCGGGCCCAATGCGCTTTGCGCCCTGCTCTTTGTGCGGTTTGTAGGTCCTCCACGGGCTACTTTGTTATCATGCACGCCTCCGAATTTGAAGACCAGATACTGAAAGCTAGCTTCCACTGACAGGGGCTCACCATTAACGAGTGCATTGAGTACTACCATGAGCTGTCTAGAAGGTTGGATGGCGTGGAAGATGTCTTGAATGCGAGGGAAGGCGAGGAGCTCGATGACGTCGACTTCGCCGATTTTGACGCCGCGGCTGACCCGGCTAACTCCCTCGAGACGATTCGCCAGCAGGTGGTTGGCCTAACTTTCAAGGCGATGATTATGCGACACGTCACGGACTGGCTCGAGCGAGCCAAGAACGCGGAAGCAGGCCAGTTCAACTACAAGTGCCCCATGGCCACCGTTGGTGTCGGCCAGTGCCGCGCCGCCGTTATGGGCTCCGAGTCGGCAGGGTATGGGAGGCACGAGAGCACCGTCGCCCACCGGCAATACCATGTGCCCATCTGGCATCGAACATACCTACGGCGCAATACCAAGACAACGTACACGTGCTGGGCCCTGGCCCTGGGGACAATGGCGTCACCCAGCATTGTCCGACCTGGCGTCGTCTTCCCAGATTTCACAGCCACCGGCGCCCATAGCGTGCATAGTCCGATAGAGTTGGTTCTAGAGGAGTGCAGGAAGATCTGGCCGGGGTTACGCCCGGGCGTCATCGTCAGCGTTGGGACAGGTGGTCTGGAGGCCATCTCGGATGAGGCATGGGGCGTGAATGCGCCGTCGCGACCCCTAACTCTCGTAGCCGCCAAAGTCTGCGCAGAGATGGTCGACGCCAACGAGAGCATCACCAAGCAGTTCGAGCGCTATGTTCTCCCCCACGACGAGACGTTGAGGCACACCTATTTCCGTTTCAACGCGCGGGGACCTTTCCCCTTTTTCGAGTATGACGCCAGGGAGAACATTCTCAGTGACACAACCAGCTGGATGTCGTCGGGTGAGGCGGCAGCACGTTCAGCTCGAGCCGCCGCCCTGCTGTCAGCGCCGCAGTTTCCGGATACCTTGGAGGATCAAATCGGTCTTTCAGCCTTGGCGGGACTTCTTGAGTCTCTGACTTTGCACGGCTATGCCGAAGAGGCCGAACTCCTGTCGGATACGATGACGACCTATTTCTTGTACGAACATGCGAACGCGGGACGGCGGTCGCATGGCAAACTCATGATGGCTGTTGCCGCTGAGCGGCTGGCCGACGCCGTTGACCAGCAACAGCCTGTAAAGCAGGGCCAAGAGCCAGATCGCTCCAGTTCGTGCGCCGCTAGGCTCACTATGCACTCAGCCTACGGTTTAGGCTTGGAGTGGATGTGGCAAATAGGAGACTTGTCCTCGGCTTCTGATGTCGCTGCAACGGCATATTTTCTTCTGATTATAGCTCGGCGAAGCAGTCCGCAGGAGATGGGTACCACTCTGGCCCAAAGTGTGATTCGTTCCGTGGCCAAGAATATTGGCATGGCACCGGACTTGGATCCCCTGTTCATCGCGCGTACCGAAGAGTTGTTGAGGCTGTCTTCGCTTGCATGTCTCTGCCAATCAGCCGTCGTCGAGGCTCTTACCTCCGAGCCACGCATCATCTTCAACGGGCCCTTCGTGCGCTACCTCCACGAGACGATTCAGGACACCAATCTGCAGATGCTCAGTCCAGTGGTAGCCGGACCTTTAGCCACCGCGCTGGCAACTATTATCTCTCTCGGCCGCTGGTCTAGGTTCCGTGATCAGACAATCACGTGCCTTTTGTCAAAGCAGCTCGGCAGCCACGACGCCCTAAGCTATCTTCCCTTGCTTAACTTGGCTATTAACAGAGAGTATATATCTCACGAAGGGCAAACACACGATAAAGAGGATGTTTTAGATGCCTGCAGCGTCACTCTCAAGACATATGGTCTCCCTCTGGCACACCGAACCCCCGAGGTCGCCCGAGCGTGTGTACAGAACGGTTTCCTGGGTGTCCTTCGCCGATTGCTTAATGGTGAACGCATTGACACTCAAAGCGGTCCAATTACCAACCAACCCACGGCTACAGCACATAAGCTGCTCGCCGCGTCTATCACAGATGCCGGCGATAACCTCCTGCATCTTGCTACCCGCAGTGGTTTCATCGACGTTGTCAAGCTGCTGCTGGAATTTGCTGGAAAGGGGAGAGGAGCGCTGTGCCTAGGCCAGCTGAATCAAGCAGGCCATACTCCTTTCCACGTGGCCTGCATCCGACGCGTCCATGTCGACGTTCTCAAGCTTTGCGTGGTCGGAGGCGCGAAGTGCGACCAAGTCAGCGGTGTCGGCCGCTCGGCCCTTCATTACTGCTTTCCGGACAAAGAAAGCTTTCGCCCCTACTATCCCGATCTGGTCAAGCTGTTTGAAGATTTCCAGCTGCTAGTTACTTTGCCACTTGACTGCTGGAAAGGGTGGACGAAGGACAAAGCAACAGTAACCATTGATCCTCACGTGTACGACCTCCGCCAGCTGATTCAATACATCTATTGTAGGGGAGCGGACATCTGCATCCAGGACCACTTTGGAGCAACTCCCGGACATCTTGCCGTGCGGAGGGGATGGCATGTCAACACCGATATATTCTTCGCTGGGGCGAGAACGGAGGATGAGAGGGTAGTACACTCCTTCCTGCGGCTTCGGGACCATGATAGGGCAAGTATGCTCGACTTGAGTCGGGCGATGGGAGACAAAGCCGCAGAAGATATGATATCTAGTGAAATGAGGAAGAGGTGTATTGAAGTGCCACTTTCACCGCCAGTATCACTTCAGCTACCTCAACCGAGTAGTTCAAACAGCCACTCACCAGATTTACCCATGACAACGCCGCCACTGAACCAGCCCTTGGCACAACCAGCGAAGCAGATGCTGTCACCAGCAACGGCCACGGGCTACAAGTCCTCGGCGACCTATAGCCCCACTCCCAGCGCTTCTTCTAGACCATTCACACCCGTCTTTTTGCAACCCAGCAATGCACCCACAGCATCAACACACTCGAGGCCAGCATCCACGGCAGCCACGCCAGATTCAGCGCACCAGTCGCCCCACACTCCACAAAGCCCAGTCGTGAACCCGGGCCCCCAATCGAGACCAGTGCCACAACATGTGCCCTCGCCAGGCTACAGCCCGGGCGGCTGGAGTGCGCCGGCTCCCACCCCGGCCTTCCATCCGAGCCCAGCGCCTCCACCACAAATAACGGCGCAACCCCTGTACGGCATGCCGCAGCCGGTGCTCTATAGTCATATGGGCCCGCCACATCTGCCGCACGGCTATCCGCCCCCGACTGCCTCACCCATGGCCAATCAGTCATCTATGCAACTCCAAACCATGACTGCTCCACCTCACGGAGGTGGGGACGGGGGAGCAGGTCAAGGAAGAGGAGGAGCCTCCGCGCCTCTCCAACCGCCCCAGAAAAAGGGATTGTTCAGGAAGTTAATCAGGCGGGACAAATCTTAATGGTGACCTTCAAGTCCTCGTCGTCCTCGAGGGGGTCATGGCGACCGCTTAAAGGCCTTCCAACGCTGCCGTTGGGCACAACAGTTTGACCATATTCGCAACCAACACAATCTACACAGACCCCCGTATCCAATTCCTTTATGCCTAGCTATTCCTAACCTTCCTCCAGCAAGATTAAATGGCTTTAGATGCATATTTAAGCCATCTTGCTATCAGATATGTACCTCGATCCGCGAGATAAATTATAATTTGCGAGATATCTATCACGATCTAAGCTATTTCAGGAAGAAAGGCAAACCAGCAAAGGGAAAAGAAATACCAATTACTAATCTGCACTTTTGGTATTATATTTACCATTAATATCTATTTCTAAAAGGTCCTTATAGTAAGTATTTTAAGGTTAATCTAATAGCTAAATTAGTAGAATTATTTAATTAGGAAGTTATTATTAAGAACTTCTTTAGTAATTACTTATTAATTATTTAAAAGGATACCAACCTAATAAAGGAGCTAACTAGTTTATATAGCCTTCCCTGTGGCTTAACTAGCTTGGCTTTATAGCTTATTTTTAGGACTTTACTAATAAGAAGGACTTTTTATTTAGCCTTATCTTTCTTAATCTTAACCTAAGTCTTAAAAGCTTTAAGGAATTTAATAATTTTATTTATCTAATAGTCTTTATAGTATTTAATTAGTAAATTTAAAAGGCTTAGGGTCTAATTTATTATTAAAAAGTTTTTTTAAATATATAATTTATAGTTATAAGATATAATTTTAATATAATTAGCAGGATATTATTTAACTTCTATTATAAGTAAGAGATAAAGTAGTAATATATAAGTATCCTTAAGTAACTTATTATTTATACTTTTAATTATTTTACTTTTAAAGATTTAGCTAAGTATAATAGTTATAGTTTTTTAAGGGATAAACTAGTTTATACTAGGTTTATATTAGTAAATAATATACAATATAGTACTAAGTAATATAAAGTATTATATTACTTAATAGTTAATAATATATATTAGGCTTATTAAGGTAAAGAAGATATATTAATAGCTAATAAATTAGAATTTATAAAAGTATTAATAAATATAATATATATATTAATATAATAGTTATAATTTCTTAAGGAATAAACTAGTTTATATTATATTAATATTAGTAAATTTATAAGGTAAAGGGTAAGTAAATATTAAAAGTTATATCTTTTAATAATTAAGTAATATATATTAAGCTTATTAATATTAAAAAGTCTTATTAATAACTAATAAGCTAGAATTTATAAACATATTAAGAAATATAATTTATATATTAATAATTATAAATAGTAATTAATAAAGTTATTATAAGATTAGTATTAATTATAATAAATTATTAATTATAATAAATTAATACTAATTATAAAGGCTTAATATTAATTAAGTTTTATAAGAGTTATAATAATTAAAGGAAAATATAAAGTATATAAAATAAGGTAATTAGGGTTATAATATAATCTCTCCCTTCTTTTAGGCCTTATTCTTAAGGCCTAATTAATATATTTTCTTATTAGTTATTTTTTAATAAGTTTAATTTAGTTTTATAATTCCCTTAAGATATTTAATTATATAATAAAAGCTAAAAAAAAACCTCTATTAATATATAATAGTTAGGTCTAACTATATTAAACTAAGCCGTGCTAGGTTTATTATTAGCAGGTAGTATAGGGCATATACTAAGCGTTATTAAAGTATTATATCTCTTAATAGTAGATTTAATGCATATTAGGCTTAATTAATATAAAGAAGTTTTATTAATAGCTAGTAAGCTAGAATCTATAAAAGTATAAATAAATACGTTTTATATACTTTTAGTAACTTATAGTAGTGAGTTAATACTTATGCATAAGCTATAAGTCTTATTATAAGTCCTGTTAAGCGGCTTATAATAGAAATAAGGAAAATACATAAGTCCTTAGTTAATTAGAGGAAATTTATAAGGTCTATGTAATATAACTGCAAGGATTGTAATATATTTTAAAAAAAAGTCTAATAATAATATAACTTTATATATAATAAAATCTATTAAGAATTTATTTATATAAAAAGGAAATAAGTTATTTCTTATAGTTATTTTATTTATAAGAATTATAAAGTTAATTAAACAAAAGTTTTTATTCTTTTTAATAATTAAGAATTAAGGGTTTTAATAGGCTTTATAGGATTCCTTTAATATATCTTATATAAGCTATTTTTTTAATAATTTAATAATTATTACTTTATATCCTTTTAGAATTAAAATATCTCTTACTTATTATATCTTATAAAAAATTACTTTAATACTTATAAAAAGGTAATAATTAAATCTAGCTATTTATATTTTATAAAGTCTTAAGCTAGTATTACTTTTTAATTATATATAATCTTAAGAAATATATTAAGTTTTATTATAATTAGTATTTTACTTACTTAATCCTTTAGTTTTTTAAGCCTTTTTCCCTTTAATTAACTTTCTTATTTTAATTTAAAGAACTTTAAAGTAATTTACTTAATATACTTTATAATATTATTAAGTATATCCTTAATTTAAGCCTATTTCTTCTCTTTTTAAAGAAAGTTATTATCTAAAACTAAACTATTTAAAGGTATATTATTTATTAAATAAATCTTAACTCTTTTATATTTATATATTATATTAACTTTAATATTAATAATTCTAGACTTTAGTTTATTAAGGTTTAAAGGTATAATATATTTTAAGTTTTTCTTTCTTTTTTCCTTTTTCTTTCTTACTTTAATAGCTTTCTTTTTTATAACTACTAGCTTTATATATTATTTAATTTCTTAACTTATATTTTTAAAGACTTTTTTATATTATTTTATATCTTTTTATATAATTAGCTTAATAACCTTATTTATAGATTTTTAACTTATTACCTTAATAGTTAATAGGTTATTATCTTCTTTTAAGCTTATAATATCTTTAATTCTTTACTTAATATAAGAATTAATATTTATTTTAAATTAATTAATCCTTTAATTTTAATTTTTACTAGCTTTTATTTAACTAATTTAGTTATTAAGGTAATAAACTTTATATTTCTTAATTAATAGATTAAAAGTATTAAACTATTTTATAATAAGTAGTTAAATATAGCTTAAATAAATTAAATAAAGGGCATATTAAGCATAAAAGGAATTAATATTATATCTTCTAGGGCTATAAAGAGGTATTATAATATCTAAATATTTGTTAAATATACCTTAGCTTTAGTTTAACTAATTATCTTTAGCTTATTACTTATAAAGGGAGTTATAATTACCTTTATATTAATAACCTTTAGCTTATAATCCCTTATACTCCTTTTTAAGATAATATTCCCTTTAGATCTTATATTTATTATAGCTTTTATAACTTTATTATTTAAGTTATTAAGTCTAATTATAATTTTTAATAGCTCTTATACTTATATTAAGGCCTTATTATTATTCCTTAAGTAGAAGTTAACTTTAATATTATTAACTATTAAATTTATTAATTTCCTTATATAGATTAGAATCTTATTATATAAGGAATCCTTTTATATACTCCTTAAGGTTATTAGTTAAGGCTTTGCCTTTTATTTTTTAATAGTTTAAATAATATATTTAGATTCTTATAAGGTGCCTTTATTTTTAATAATTTTATATTTTCCTTTAGCTAGTATAAGACTTATTTTATTATTTTATATACTATTACTAATATAATTAATTAATTAATTAATTTAATTTTAATTTTTAAATTTAAAGAAAATAATATAAATACTAGCCCTTTTACTTATATTATCTTAATAACTATTATAAAAGTCCTAACTATTAAAATAAACTATATTTATAAATATTAAACTGCCTTAACTAGATTAAGGGTTTTTAATTATTATATATAAGATCTTAAAAATGCCTTTTATTATATTTATAAGTTTATTTATAATCTCTTTAATATATATTTAAGGTTATTAAATTAAATAAAGAAATACTAAATTTCTTTATATAAAAGTTACTTTTAATATAGTTATAAATAAGGGCCTAGTATATATTTAGGTTATTTAATTTCTTAATACCTTTCTGTAACGGCTGCACCTAACCACTACGCCACAGGGCAAAAGATCGGGCTATAACTGCTATTGTAGTAATTACAGTGGTGCATTCAGCTGCTTATAGAGCCTTATAGCGCTGTTACGGGCACGAATCGTAACACTTTCCCTTTCTTAATAAAACTAAGACTTCTTAAATCCTTTTTTATAATTCTCCTTTTAGAAACTATAATAACTTATACCTTATCCTTATTTTTAATATAAATATACTTCTTTATATTTATATTTATATTAATATTAAAAACTTAAAGGTCTATAAGTAATAAGATTACCTAATTAATTAGTTCTTTACCCTTATTAATATTAAATATAAGGAGATTTATTTAAGCTATTTTAAAAGTCTTAATAGGCTAAGTAAGGTTATTTGCTTTATTAGTTACTTTTATTAAAAGATATATATTACTATTAAAGTAAATATATGGTAAAGTATATATTTTTAAGTATAAAAGGCTTTTATTTAAGTATTCTTAAATAAGCTTATTTAGTTTATTATCTTCTTTTTTATTTAAGTATTAAGTATTTTAATATAACCCTTAATTAAGTCTTTAATAATATTTATTAAGTTAACTTATAGCTTTTATATTATATTAATATAGTTATTAATATTAAGTTCTTTAATTAGCTTAAAGTCTTTTTTAAAAATAACCTTAAAAGGGTTTTTAATAAGTTTAGGCTTTTAAACTTTAAAAGTATTTTTAATTTCCTTAAAATAATAATAATTTTTAACTTTAGTAATTTTATTATTAATTATTAATTTAATTATTTAAGTAAAATCCTTATAAGGTATTACTTTTATTTTATTTTAAGTTTTTTTATATTATAAAGTAACTTTATTTAAGACTTTTTAATAAATAGTATTAAGGATATTTTTTAATTAAATAATTTA